CTAAACCCTCTTTAATCTTGATGCAATCATGGTTGAAACTTGCACTCTGGTTTAACTATACAATTGGGTACTTATGCTTGGTTTTCCATCTGTTACTGCAATCTCTTTATTGGTTTTTGTTCATAAGTACATTTGAACTCCATCCTCTCTTTCTGGTCTGGCTTAATTCAAATTATGAAGAACTAGGAGAACGAATTTTTTTTTGTCTTTACATTACACAAGCTGACATCCACAGCTTTTTTTTAACTTTTGTTTTGCAAACTCACTATTTTTTCCCACAGAAATGGATTTTTCAACAATCCATTAAAGTTATGAGATTTATTTTGGCATAAGAGGGAAAATTTTTGGTTATAATTCGACTGGTACTTTGGATTCTCATTTCTTTAATACACCTTTCAACATTGTTTTAAGTGAGACTATAACGCTTGAATTTTAGGTATGTGAATTCACAACCATGGTTTACAATTTTGATTAGAAGCCAACTAACATTATTTGAAGGACTTGTTTTAGATTTATATGTCCTGATCTCTGTTTTTTATCACCACCAAAACCCTGAGCTCGTTTGTTGACTGATTCAAAAATTTTTCCACTGCCATGCTGTATCAGGAATGTACCGTTGTCTATGTTTATATCACTTAGCATTTTTGCTTCGTTTTTCTATTATATCTGTTCTAATTCTACTTTTCCTGGCCCAAATGGTTGACACATCAATGGAGTTTTTGAATTTTTTAAAACCTTTTCTGATTATTATTTTCGACATTTCAACATTTTTTTTTTTTTGATTCAACCTTTAACTTCAAATTCTTTGTGCTTTGGTTTTTTTTAAAAAATTTGAAGGTCTTGTGTTTACTTCTATACATGACCTCGCTAGTACACCAGCATTCGAAATGGACTTTTCACCTTTCTAAAGTTTAATGTTTAGCCACTGGTTCTTCAATTTGATCATATACTTGTGTTTTTTTGCTATGGAAATGTTGGCAATAACCAAAAGTCTGATTGCAAATATGCAGAGGCTTTAAAAAAAATCTTTTTTTTATTTTTTTGAGAATTTCTGCTGGGATTGAACATGAGACCTCGCATCATGAATGAAGTTAAAAACTATCTCGGCTATTCAAAATTTTAAAAAAATTACAAAATTGAATTAAAATATTTATTTGTAACAAAGGAACACTATAATTTTGTTACTTGATATCTGAGGCCCATTAAAGGGGGGAAAGGGCTGGATGGTGTAAAGGGTAACACGTTCGCTCGATAGCGGAAGATACTGGGTTTGATTCCCAGAATACCCCCTTTTCCTGAGGATGTGTACGGGAGTATACACCTAGACTGAAAACCATAGGCTACCCTGGTTACAGGAATGCCGACTCTTCCGTACAGTCTAAATAGCCTGCAGGTGATTGCGGGCCGTATCTCTGACGGAAGAGATTAAGAAATACATGGGCGTCCGTGAAGATAAGTGGAAATGGGTTGGGAAGGTTTTGGGACCGACAGACTGGTTCTCCCTGTTCCTCGTAAGCTGGCATCAGGGCCCATCTTCCGGGCTATTGGAGACGCACAAAATTGAAACCACCCGTACTAAAAAGGTACAAATGAAAACCGGCAAGTCACATAGTCAGACAATAAAAGGATAGCGCAGATGCTGATGTTATATAGTTCTATAACCCTTGAATAAAAACAAACAAACAAACAATGAAACTCATTGAACAATAATTACTGTTCCACTCTATTCATGGTAACCATTGAATTCTATGGAACACTTTTATATTGGTTCCGATGTCAAAATAACTTGTACTGAAAATGTCCAACCATAAAACTGCTAATTGCCAAAGTAAGAAAATTATAATGTTGATTATATATACTTCTATAAAACTTAAATCTTTTCATCTCATCTATCTATTAATATGTTTTTTTATTTTATTTGAGTTTCTTTTCATTAAGTTATGTTTGTTTTAAAAAATGAGTATCAACTTGACCGCTGATAATAGTAAGAAACTTTGGTATGAATACAATAATGGATTATTAATGCTAATAAGTAACTTAATATTAAATTAATAGACTTTTTTTATAGTAAATGAGAAGGAAATTTTAATAAAATAATCTAATAATAGAATAAAAGAAGAGGTGGAAAAATATAAACGATTCAAGTCACAGTATTAAAGACTAATAAATGTTAACATATAGAATATAAAACCTATACAATTTTGTAACATAAAAATGAAATGAAATGAAATCTTATTCGTCATATCTATATTTAACTAAATTTCCTTTTATTTAAGCTATTTTATAAGACTCTCAAGTAATAAAGAGGCCAGTTATAACTGTATAAAGAATTGGGCGGATATGTCAGCTAACTAAAGGAATGGGGTGAGGTCGACAACAGCATTGATAATGACTCTATAGCAGAGATTTAGGGCTTGTTAGAATTCTACATGATTGCAAATAACACATATATAAACATAATTAGTCCTAACACCCGGGGGGATTATGTCGCGAGGAAAATGGCTTTAAGGGGTGGCCCTAACAAACTCCCAAAAATCAAAATTTGTTTGACAGCTACCTTTTATAGAAGTCTCATAGACTTTAAATTAAGTTCATTTGAAGCACAACTATCCAAATATTCCTATTATTACTTTTACAGATAATTCAACAATTATTTTCAAAGTTATTGAGGAAAAACGAAAAAGAGGGTCTAAAATTTTCAAAAGTAAAATTAGTTTGTTAGTAAAGTCGTATTTTACGCAGGGGTTAGGGTTTTAAATTTAAAAATATTTTAAACATCAATTACTAAAGAAATAGAAATTTAAACTAAACAAAAATTATATTTCCTATATATAGAATTAATTTTCAATCAAATAAGATATGTTTTATAAGTTTTCAATGACGGTAAAAGGTTCCGGTCTAGAATTTGCGGTCCCTGTGTAAGTGTCAGTACGGTTCCGAAATATAAATATATGAATAACTCAAGTATCCAGCTTCTTATTGGTAATCTAATTAATGTTCCATGTTTAGCTTAAAAGGCTCTATATTATTATATATATATTGTCACAGGTCAATTTCTGGTAAGCTCTAAAACCAATGCCAGCCATAACACCCACTAATATCTATGGTATTTCTAGGGTTGGGGTTTCACTTCATTGCAATAAATGGTAGAAAATCTTCATTTTCAAAATCTTTAATTACTCGTGCCATCATAATCGGAACAAACTCAAAACAAAATAAAAAGAAAGAATTTATATATATATGGCTATAATTCAAAGTAAATGGAGACTCTATTTAAATACTTTTGTAAACCCTAACCCTTGCGGAATTCTCATTTTGTGTGGAGGTTCACTTTCAGCAGTTTTGGAAATAAACTTTTGACTCCAATCGGCTTCAAAGTGGTATCAATCGACTCAGAAATGAATTTTGAGTAAGTTCCTTAAATATGAGGGTATGTGAACAACTGTAGGGTGAGATATTCAATGTCGAAATCTGTACAGATACCTTATTAGCAAAATTAAAATATTATGTAATAAGAAACTGTAAATATTAATAATGATGACTAATAAAACATATAATAAAACACGTTTAAATTACATAATCAGTTCATCGAAATCGTTGATTTTGGTATCACAGGTGGAAATAGTTAAGGTATCAAGTCAGTTAAAAAAACAAGAGAACAAAACACTTCATCAAATATCAATTTAATAAATATGGGTAATACAGAATAAATATGACAGGCCAATTATATATAGTATCTGTTGATATAATCATAAAAGTATTCATCAATAGAATTTTAAACTGAAAACACGACAGGAAAAAATGGTTAATGTACCATCTTCGTAGGTAAAAGTATAGGACAAACAAAGCGAGGTAAAGTGCAAAAAGAAAAGATGAAATATACCAAAATTAAATAAAAAATAATGAATAGTAGTAATAAGAGAACTTTTTTTTTGTCAAAAAAGCAGAGTATTTAGTTTTGTATAATGTTTGTTTTGAGTGTAAAAAGATTGAGACTTAAAAATTTTAAATAAACCTCTAAGAGAATTGGAATCAAAAATAATTGGCTCAGTGGAGTCATAAATACTAGCTTATGATCCAAAAAACCTGGTAATTATTATTTGGTATAGTACAGTATAGAGCAGTGAAGTGTGGCGATTGCAATAGATGTTTTATGCACTAAATTGACTTTCAAGAATAGTGAAATCAATCTCAATTGGCTCTGAGATCATACAGATATCTGTGAAACTAGCAGTCACTGGAAATAAACACATCATTTAACCGAGAACTTGTTTTTTTAAGAAAAGAGTTGCTGGAATGTATTGTCTAATGTTGATACCCCATATTTTGAAAGGGTTTACGTACTTAATTGCCTTCTTATCGTATTATCAATCATAACAAAATCAAATTTGGTGGACTCAGAGGAATCATAAGGCCTAGAAAACTCATTTAAATATCTATTTACCGTGCTTCAAATCATTCTCAAAGTTGCTTCAGGTATATATGTGATGATAAAGGTGGCAACATTTGTTTGGCGTTATACCTTTCGAAAAGATTTCTGCGTTCTGGAATCTAGTATCTTTCACTAATTAAAAGAAAACTAAGTATATTGTGGATTCGTTATTTTAATCAAGACACAATAGTATATAATATGATTTATAAAATCGTAGCTTGTATCAAGCTAAGTATGCTGAAACAAGTGTTGACGATGGTGTGTAAAACAATTTTTTGTTTGGTTTTAATTTATTTTTATGGTGGTGGTGTTGATAAAATGTACCCCAATATAGTGAATGTTTTCTCTATAGAGAGTGAACATATTGAATAATGGGTTTTAAAGTACATTTATTTTTCAAAAACGTTTCATTTTTTTTTTTTTTTTTTTTTTTTTTTTTTTTTCAAAACATAATTTATCACTCTAACTATTCTATAGATTTATTACATGCTTGATTGTTTATGAATTTAAAAATAAATATAAAAATAAATGCTTTCATTTTAAACCACTTGATTTTTGTACCAAGATCTTAAGCAGGTTGATTCTCTTCAACACTCTCGTCAACCTCCTTTTCTTCTCCATGTACTTCTGCAGCATAATCTCTACTGCAAAGTGGACAACTTCCTTTAACATCACATAACCATTCTCTAATACATTCATCATGGAAAACGTGATGACATGCCAGTCTGCGGACTAAAACGTCATCTCCTCGTGGACTAGGTGTATGGGGAATCTTTGTCTGTGTTTGATCTGAAGCAGCAGATGCTCCGCAATTATTATCATCTTCTCCTTCTCCTTCTCCTTCTTCTTCTTCATCGTCATCGTCTTTTTCATGTTGATGAGTTTTCTCATAGTCCTCATCTTCTTCATCAGATTCTCCATCATATGCTTCTTCTTTCCCAATGACACATTGACATATAGTGCACATGAGTGCTAAGTTTTCTGAGGGTATTGGATACAATACTGAATTCCGTACTGACGCGTCTGGAGGTCCTGCTGGCGTTTTTACATGAGTTGTACCATTTTCTCGCGTTCGTTCTTCTTCAGCAATTTTTTCGTCAGCCCATTCGCGTTTTAGCGCGGCTTTGAGTGCACCGTACGTTTGAACTGGGAAAAGTTCGTCCAGTTCACTTTCTTTGAGACAATCCCCGCGTTTCTTTTTATTTTCATCTTCAGGGTTCCTCCGTGGCATGGGCATTGCGACGCCTGCTCGGAAAAACATGGTTGTCATGTTGCGATGGGGTTCACTTGTGACTGGAGCTACCGTAGTAGCAGTAGTATTATCTTGTGGAGTGTAACCGATATTACGTTCCTCATCATCTTCTGTTGGATCAAGGGGTTTGGTATATACCCAGTTGGGATCGCCATACTGCCATTTGAGAAAGTCGACGAGTAGACCGAAAAGCGCGTAGGGGAAGATGAGGAGACCGCACCAACATAAGATGCAGAGTGGGAAATACTTGTTGGAGTAAAACATGATGTTGTAATATCGCTGATAAAGCCGATCAGCAAAAGTTTCTGGGACCATAGGCTCGGACATTTTTTTTTTGTTAGGAATTGACTGAGTTGTATGATTTTGAATATAAGTTTATGAAGAAGTCCTTCATTTAAGGGGAAGTAAAAGATGATTAAATCAGAGAAATTTATAAATTTAACTAATTAGTTGAAGTTTTTAATAATAATAAAAAAAAAAAAAAAAAAAAAAGGCTGGGCTGGTAAAACAAAAATTGCGGTCTTTTTTTTTTTTTTTTTTTTGGGATTATTTTTGTGTGGGCGCGTATCGTGAGTATCTATAAATGTACCCCAGACGGCTTTTGTTTAGAAGTCAAACAACCCGGGTTCCGAAAAGATCAAAAAAAAAAAAAAACACATTTCTGGGTTCCGTGGAGTTAAAAAAAATAAAAAAAAATTAGTTTATTAATTAATGATAAGTTTTAAAGTTAATTGAACATTTCTAAGGGTGTTTTTTTTTTCTTTCTCTTTGATGATGATGATATTTCAATTCAAATGGAGGACTTTTTTTTTTTTTTTAAATGAAAGTTCCCAAAGTTTATTTGCCACGTGACACTGAAAATCTTTTTTTTTTTTTTTTTTTTTTTTCTTCATTAAAACCTCCAAAATCTTCATCAACTCTCTTCCATCACTTTTTGATTCAAAAAAAAAAAAAAAATTATAAACTCTTCAACTATCACAACCATGTCAAACACACCTAACGGATGGAAAAATACATCTCGCACTACGGATTCTTCTTCTCAAAATCATCCGTACTCGCGTAACTCAGCTGCAAATAAGGCTCTTCGAGCTTTTGACCAGTTTAAAAAGTCGCGTATGTCTGGGGGGTTCCACAATAATAACTTTAACAACAATAGGCATCATCAACCTCATTCTATGGACAGTGCAGGCAACCCGATTTCTTCGGCTGCTTTGACCGATCCTATGACTCCAGAGCAGTACGATGCTGCTATTGCGTTACAACAAAAAGCTTACCATGATACACCTGTATTCTCTTCCTCTTCTTCTTCTTCCTCCTCTACCTCCACCTCCACATCTACTAACTTGTCCTCTAGTTCGTTGGTCGTGGGGCCTGCAGCTCCTCCCGCTAATAGTAATAGTAGCAGTAGTAGTACCAAAATAACTTCTACCCAACCACAAAATCTTACAGTCAAGCGTCAACGTGCTGGTATGGTTTGGACCGACCCATCGCTACTGGAGTGGGATCCTTCCCATTTCCGTCTTTTTGTTGGTAACCTTTCAGCCGAAGTTACAGATGAGATGCTTCATCGAGCTTTCAAGTACAACCCAAACCCTCGTCCTGGAGCTTCAGTGAACGAGGCACGATTCCCCAGTCTAACAAAAGTACGCGTAGTTCGGGATCCAAAGAACCAGTTTCGGAATAAGGGCTATGGGTTTGTGGCATTTAGTGATCCCAAGGACTATTTCCGCGCGTTTAAAGAAATGAATGGCAAGTACGTGGGGAACCATCCTATTCAGTTACGCAAGGCAACAACAGAGATTAAACCGGTGATTTCAGGGACTCCAAACCATGCGAAAAAGAATAAAAGACCGAGAGATGAGCCTACAGCCCCAATGCCTAGCACTGCAGAGGCTGTGATGGCGTCAACTACTATGAAGACAACAGTGTTTAAAAAGATCAAGAAGGATGAAGAAAAGGTCAATAAAGAGGAAGAAAAGAAGGAAGAAATACAAGAAAAGAAGGTGGAAAAGAAGGAAGAAGTGGCTACAGTGGAAAGTCCTTCGACAGGATCTGTTCCTGGTTCTCCAGCTACAGTAGATCCAGCTGCTGCTGCTGCTGCTGCTCCTCGCAAACGTGGATTCAAGCGGTCAACATTTGTAAGTAAAAACTGAGTGTAGACATATATAGAAAAAAAAAAAAAGCCGTTGATAACTAAAGTGTGTACACGTGATGATGGTCAATTTGTCAGCATCGAAAATTTGTTTTAAAATTATGAGGAGGCAAAAAAAAAAAAAAAAAAAAAAAAAAAGGTTGCCACTTTGAATTCTCAACTTTACCTTTTTATTTATCTTAGCAACTCAAGAATAATAATAAAAACAATAGTAATGGACCTTGAAACACTTGAAAATATCAATAGCGGTGCGATTGTGACGTTTACGCCGAAACATACCAACCCAATTATTGCATGCGCCAATTGCGGGAACCCAATGGAATCCCAGGGGGTTGCCATTTGTCCTGAATGTATTCGGCTTTCTGTGGACATAACTCGAGACATTCAAAAGTCAGGGACACTTGTTTTTTGCCGTAAATGTGGGCGACTTCAAGTTCCTCCTAGCCATTGGGTTTATGCACCACCAGAGAGTCGTGAATTGCTTGCTGCCATTTTGAAGCGGATCCGCGGGTTGTCAAAGGTGCGGCTTGTGGATGCTAGGTTTATATGGACAGAGCCGCATTCACGACGACTAAAGCTTAAAATTTCTGTTCAAGGAGAGGCAGAGGAGTATCAAAATACAGTTGTTCAGCAATCTTTTGAAGCGGAGTTTGTGGAACAGGGCTCGCAGTGTCCTGATTGTGCAAAGAGCTACACGGCCAATACCTGGGTGGCAAGTATCCAAGTGCGGCAGCGGGTTGCACATAAGCGGACATTTTTCTATTTGGAGCAGTTGATCTTAAAACACAAGGCACATAAGAATACGGTGAATATCCAAGAGAATAAGGAAGGGCTTGATTTCTATTATAATGATCGGAAGTATGCGGTAAAGATGATGGAATTTCTTCAATCTGTGATTCCAGTTAAGGTGAAGAAGAGTGAGGAGTTTATTTCTCAAGATACTCATACCAGCAAGAAGACATTTAAGTTTACATATCATGTGGAGATTGTTCCTATTACAAAGGACGATTTGGTGGTGTTGCCTAAGAAGATTGCCAATTCGCTTGGACTTTTACCGACCCAGCTGGTTCTGTGTCGACGGATTGCCCATACTATTCATTTTCTTGATCCTACTACAATAAAGACAGCTGAATTAACAGCAGCCAATTATTGGAAGACACCGTTTGGGTCTTTGGAGACTATGAAGAACCTGACGGAGTATGTTGTGTTGGATGTGGATCAGGCAGGTGAGAGTAGGGGGAATCTTGTTCTTTGTGATGTTACAGTTGCGCGCAGTTCTGATTTAGGGGTCAATGATACGACTTATTATGTACGATCACATTTAGGTGGGATTATTCATCCTGGAGATACAGTGATGGGGTATGATTTGGAGAATGCTAATTGGAATAGTGAGTTATGGGATGGGTTAGATAAGGATCGGATTCCTAGTGTTATTTTGGTAAAGAAGGTATATGATGGAGAGGGCAAGCGGAAGGCGAAAAAGAAACGCAATTGGCGGTTGAAGCGGATGGCGGTGGAACATAATGAGAGAGAGCAAGAGCGGGCGGCAGATGCAGTTGATGTTGGAGGGAAAGGAGGAGGAGGTGGAGGAGGTGGATTGAATAAGCAGGATGCAGTGATTGCAAGACAGGAACGTGATTATGAGGATTTCTTGGAGGAGCTTGAACAGGATGAGCAGTTACGATCTGATGTCAATTTTTATGCTGATGGAGATGGAGAGGAAGTTGTAGATGATGATGATTATGATGATGATTTGCCTGAGATTGGAATTGATGAGCTGAAGATTGATAGTGAGGAAGAGGAATGAATGAGATTTGATTGTATTGTTACGTAAATATAGGATAGAGTTTGAAGACAATATTTTTTTTTGTTAATGTAATCACTTGGTAGTTAATTTTAATTTAAAACTATTTAATTGATTAATTGATTAATTTTTAAGACCTTTTAGATTGGGATATTGTTGAAATATATTATACATATATTTATATATTCTAAGAGAAATTACTACTTTTGGAAATTAGCACGGCTATTTTTATGTTTAGTTTAATTTTCAATAGGTTTTATAAAAAAAAAAAAAAAAAAGGTGAGGAGGGAGGGAGGGGAGAATAAAAAATTAAAAAGAATGGATGATTTTTTCACAAGCCAAAAAAAAATAAAAAATAAAAAATAAATAAAAATAAAAATAATATTTTAGAAAGTAAATAAAAGAATTTAAAAAATGAATAAATTATAAATAAAAAAAAAAGATGAAGAAGAAGAAGAAGAAAAGAATATTAAATAATAATAATAATAATAATAATAATAATAATAATAATTGTTCATAGTCTGCAACTGTACGATTGATGAAAAAAAAAAAAAAAAAAAAGGGTCTTATTTTTTTTTTTTTTAATTGTTTTTTTGTATGTATTAATCACTGATAATTTTTAAATAGTAAATAGTATATTATATTTTGTAATACAAATATATATATTAGAAAAAAACAGATTTTACAAGACAAGATATTTATTTAAAGACCGTAATAATATTGAATAAAAATTGAATAAATAATAAAATTGAATATTAAAGATTGAATATAAATTTGAATATTGTATGGGTTACTTACTTGACGATAATGATGACAACCAAAGACCACTGATTGGTTCTAATAGAAAAGAAAAGAAAAGAAAAGAAAAAAAAAAAAAAGGTGGAAACTTTTATTATTTTATTTTTATTTTTATTTAATAATTTATTAAGAAAAAAATAAAAAAAATAAAAAAAAAATAAAACTTTTAATTGTAAGACTTATAATAATTATATATAAATATATATATAAAATATATATATATAAATAAATATATTTAAATATACTTCGGAGAAAAGTCGCTTTCAAAGCTTCTTTTTTTTTTTTTTTTTTTTTTTTTTTTTCTATTGTATACCGTAAAGATTTAAACAACAACAATATAACAACAACAACAACAACAACAAAAACAACAAAAACCTCCGGAGAATTTCGGTCATTAAAAATTAAAAATAAAAAAAATTAATGTACGGAAAAGATTATTTTAATGGCAATACTTTGACGAGGTAAGTTGGTTGGTTGGTTGGTTGTTTACAGCAATAAAACCAAACAAATTACTGCTGATGCTGCTGCTGCTTTCTGTTTGTTTTTTTTTTTTTTTTTTTTTTTTTTTGACTGGTTTGGTTGTATGATGTGTGTGTGTGTGGTCGGTTTGTTTAATGCCGAGGAACCAAAAAAAAAAAAAAGAAAAAAACACTGGGCCAAAATAAAAATAAAATAAAAATAAAATAAAAATAAAATAAAAATAAAATAAAAATAAAAAAAATTAAAAAACGGGCTTTGAGGTCTTTTATTTTTTATTTATTTATTCTTTAATTTCAAATAAACTATTTGAAATATATATATGAATAATTGAAAAAAATTTTTTTTTTTTTTTTTTTTCAATTCTAATTATATACTTTAAAATCTCTTCTGGTACCTTCCAAATATAACTAAAATCAACTTTTTGTGTGAACTTTATATATTAAAATAATATAAAAATAATATAAATAAATTAAATTAATAACTCTGTGGCTTCTTCTTATAATTATAATTATATATATATATATATATATACCTCTCGGAAATTTTAATTTTTTTTTGTTTGTTTGAATTAGGACCTCGGATGTTACACTACTTACTACTACTACTACTTTACTATACTATTATACTTTAGTACTAATATAGTACTACTACTAATGACATAATATATGACTCAGCTAGTGTGGAGTAAATTGGAAATGCGCCGGCGCCCATTGCAAGAAAATAATTTTTTTTTTAAAAAAAGTTGTCTCCCCTAATAAATATTAAAATACAATACATATAAATACAACTCAAATTCCTCCTCCCCCCCCCCACTTTAACTAACAAACATTTTTATTTATCCCCCCTCCCTTTCCTCTCTCATTTCTTTCTATTCACTCATCTATATTAATATATATACATATATATATATACATACATACATACAAATCTCTCTAAAAAGAAAAAAAATGGTTGACCACGATTATAACGCTGTCGCTGAAGCTATCCGCAAAATTCTTCCTAACGAAGACTACGATGACGGTTCTACAGGTCCTGTTCTTGTACGCTTAGCCTGGCACGCTTCAGGAACTTATGATGCCGCAACCGGCACAGGCGGCTCCAACGGATCTACCATGCGTTACAAATCTGAAGCCATGGATGGTGCAAATAATGGTCTCGAATATGCTCGAAAATTCCTTGAACCTATTAAACAACAATTCCCCTGGATCACATATGCAGACCTTTGGACATTTGCTGGGAAAATTGCCCTTGAAGCTATGGGTGGTCCTCAAGTTAATTGGGCCCCAGGTCGTATCGATTATGTAGATGACTCAAATGTTCCTCCTAATGGCCGTTTACCTGATGGTGCTCTTGGACAAGACCATCTGCGAGTCATTTTCTACCGCATGGGATTCAATGACCAAGAAATTGTAGCCCTTTGTGGTGCTCATAACCTTGGCCGTTGCCACAAGGATCGCTCAGGATTTCAAGGACCTTGGGTTACTAACCCTATAAAGTTTTCAAATACTTACTTTAAAACCTTACTTAGCAGCAACTGGGTCCTTCAGAAAAATGATAATGGCATTGAACAATACTATGATGCCGATGATGATGAAGAGGACCTTAATGAACGTCTTATGATGCTCCCCACTGATTATTCTCTTATCCAAGACCCCTCCTTTAAACCTTGGGTCGAAAAGTACGCCGCCGATAAGGATCTCTTCTTCCAAGATTTTGCTAAAGTCTTTGCAAAGCTTCTTGAACTTGGTGTTCGCAGAGACCCTGCCTCTGGTCTTGCTGCCGTTAACTATGTTGGCAAGATTAACAACCCTCCCAGCCAAAAGATTTAATCAATTAATGACTTGTCTCTCTCTCTCTCTCTCTTTTTTTTTTTTTTTTTCATGTATAATGTAATGGTTTTATGAATAATGTCTTTCTGTATATTTTTTTTTTTTAACTTCCTCCCTTTTGTCTTTTCATCATTTGAACTATCTTCCGCTTCCCCTTTTTCCCCTTTAGATTACTTGCAATCGCTGCCATGGCCCTATTCTGTGCCCGTTTTGTTTCCTGTTGCTTAAGCCTCTTCTTAACAGCATCAGCATCTGCTCTTTCAAAAACATAAATTCGTGCAGCCCGTGTTTCCGCCGCCTTAGTTGTATCACCTTTACCTAATGTCAACCTATGCGAATATCCAGGGAATGCTGCCCACTCAAACCCTGAAGATCTTTGTAATGATAATCCATACTGTTTGGCCAATGCCTTAATCCCCCATAAATTATATGGAGCACCCTCAAATAAACTTACAACAACTGTACCTGTCCCAGGCTGTAGCAACGGCCGTGTTTTTCGTTTCTTGGAAACACCTGAACCAGCACCTTCTGCCGCTACACACGACCCAAAAAACCCAGACAAAAGCCGCTGCTGTGCTGCAACGTTACGTGCTTGGTCTTTAATCCCAGCACCCGTGTGTGGGAAATTAAACAAAATCACATCATAAGGCCCAGAGGTACAAACTTGCTTATGACGGTGAAGAGCTTGAGCATCAACCTCATACAACGGTGCCGCCGTCCATTCACCGTCCCCGTCCTCTAGGGGGGTTGTCGATTGTTTTGGTGCACCACTAGAACTGTCCACCAGGTATTTTCTGTAATCATACTTCTCGTCATCATTACCTTCATTATCTTCATTTTCTTCATTTTCTTTATCATCTTCTTTCGGTAAAGCTGCATGGAAATTCTTCAAGTATGAAATATTCTCCACAACACAATCAGGATACTTTTTCTCTAATAGAGTTAAGGAATCAAGATTTGTGGGCCGCACATATTTCGCAAGCCCAGATTCAAGAATACTCCGTGCAAAGGAAAAGTCTCCCTCACCAACAAGTAAAACCCGATCGGTGGGCTTAAATGGAATAAATGCTTTACGTGATAATGTTGGACCCCTTTTCTCTGAGGAATTCGATTCTGGTTCTGTTAAATCTTTTTCTATAGTTTTCTCTTCCAGTTGTTCATCATCATTATCATTGTCATTATCTTCGTGTTCTTCGCTTTTCTCTGTAGGTTCCTCCTTAGGTTCTTCTTCTTCCTCTTCTTCTTCTTCTTCTACCTTTTCATTGTTCTCCTCTTCCTCCATTTCATCATTCTTCTTATTATTATTCTTCTTCTTAACCACATTTCCCGATTGTTTATTTTTATTCACCCCGTGCTGGGATCCCTTGGTGTTTGGAAGCTTGTTTTGAGATCGAAGCTGTTTATTCTTCAACTGTTGCAGTTGGCGTTCCCGCGCAAGAGTCGCATTCAATGCCGCCAAACCACCTGACTTTCGTTTTGCCATAATGATGATACTTAAAATTAATCTAGAAAGAAAAAAAATAAAAATAAAAATAAAAAAAAGTGTGTTCAAGTTCAAGTATAGAAAGATGATGATTAAAGAAAATTTTTTTTATTTTTTTTTTCTTTCTTTAACATCCAAACACTTATATCTGAAATCTTCACCCACCAGAAAAAAAGTTTTTTTTTTTTTCCCTCTTTTTTGGCAAAAAAAAATACAAAAAAAAAAAAAAATTAAATTTTTACTTAAAAAAATGCCGTTGCCCAGAATCGAACTGAGGTTTCTTCGGATTCGATTCATTTTAAGAGCCACAACGAAGTGTACTAACCACTATACTACAACGGCTGATTACATAATATTATAGAATTCTACAAAATTATAAATCTATTTTATAATCTATCTTTTCTAAGCTAATCTCAAATTAATCACAACGATGTTATATAATTCTATAACCCTTGAATAAAAACAAACAAACAAACAATTAACCACAACAAAAATACTAAAATTGATATTTGATGTAATAAAAAAATAAATTTAAAATTGTCTTCCACAATTTTAAATTCAGTATTCTCTTTATCATGATGTTTCTGACATTAAAACACTTATATAAGACGTTTGTGGAGAAAAAGAAGTTAAAGTAAGAATTAAATTAAATAACATTTAAACCTATAGGTTTATATCACATGACTTTGGAAAAATCTTTATGTTATAATATTTAAAAATTTCTCTTTTCTAAGGAGCGTTAGTGGTTTAGCGGTAAAATTCGTCGTTGCCATCGACGAGCCCCCGGTTCGACTCCGGGCTGACGCATTGAAAGTTATTCTTTTTGTCATCATTGATCATTTTTTTTATGTCTTAAAAGACTAAAAACCAATGTGGTCTGTATTCTTCTTAAGTTTGTTAACTGTCATGGAACGAAAGTTATTATTTTATTTTACTCTATAGTTTTTTTTCTGTGCATCCCCAAATGGGATTACATAATCAATATTGACGTATACACACTTTCAAAGAAAAAAAAAATATTCTTGGAATTCTCGATACCACCACCACCACATCAAGCACCTCACCACTCTCTTTAGATGACTCTTAATGGAATTTAAATAAAAAATAAATAAACATAAATGGGAAAAAAATAAAGCTCGGCAACGGGGAATTGAACCCCGGTCCCCCGCGTGCTGCTATTGAATAGCTGACAGGCGGAAATTCTAGCCACTAAACTATTGCCGATTATTAAAAATGTAAAATACAGGAACGAAATATCGAACAACTTCAAGATTCATATTTAATGTGATAACTGAAGTGTTAGTTTTTGGGTAATTAGAAATAGTATAAATAGCTACATAGTTACGTACTCTCTTCCAATCCTCATCGATTTTCCGTGAGTAATTCCACAAATTAAAAGTTTATTATGGAATTTTTACAATATATATATATATTGTAAAAACAAAAAGGATATCACAGATACTGAAGTTATATAATTCTATAACCCTTAAATATATACAAGCAAAACAAACAAATCAACTACAATAAAAATACTCAAACTGATATCTACAGATATAAGAAATAAAAACATTTTTTTTTAACTAAACCGATAGAATTTGAAATACAGGAATTGCTTTATAAAGACATTTCTCATGTTAATACGGTAATATATATATAATAATAATAATATAAGTAGTCCCTTGAAGAAAAAAGAAAGATGTACTAAATTTTCAATTAAACAATACTTAAACCTGGGGGTTTATGTCATGTGACTTTACCAAAACTTCAATGTATATAACTTGAAAATTGATCCTTTCTTAAGAAGCGTTAGTGGTTTAGCGGTAAAATTCGTCGTTGCCATCGACGAGCCCCCGGTTCGACTCCGGGCTGACGCATTGAAACCTATTCTTTTTGTCAATATTATCGATTTTTTTTTCTTTTTTTAAGGACCAAAAATTTGCTGTGGATTTGTCTTCTTCCTAAGTTTGTTAATTGTCATGACTGGAATGTTCATATTTTAGAAATAATTATTTTATTTAAGTTTTAGTTCACCCCAATATCTGATTACATAATCTCACTATTACTTATTATCACTTTGAAAAAAAAAAAAAAAACTACCATTGAAAATCTTGTCACCACCACAACATGAAGCACCTCTCCTCTCTCTTTTGATGACTCTTTAAAAAAATAAATAGAAATAGAAATGAAAAAAAAGTAAATCTCGGCAACGGGGAATTGAACCCCGGTCCCCCGCGAGCTGCTATTAAAAGCTGACAGGCGGAAATTCTAGCCACTAAACTATTGCCGATTGTTAAAAACATTACCACTCAGAGACTACATACCGGGCTTGTCAAAGATTAATATTAAAATTAACTGGTGCAGCGTTTAGATTAAAGGGGAAAGGGCTGGATGGTGTAAAGGATAACACGTTCGCTCGAAAGCGGAAGATACTGGGTTCGATTCCCAGAATACCCCCTTTTTCCTGAGGATGTGTACGGGAGTATACATCTAGACTGAAAACCATAGGCTACCCTGGTTACAGGAATGCCGACTATTCCGTACAGTCTAAATAGCCTGCAGGTGATTGCGGGCCGTATCTCTGACGGAAGAGATTAAGAAATACATGGGCGTCCGTGAAGATAAGTGGAAATGGGTTGGGAAGGTTTTGGGACCGACAGACTGGTTCTCCCTGTTCCTCGTAAGCTGGCATCAGGGCCCATCTTCCGGGCTACCGGAGACGCACAGAACAGAAACCACCAGTACTAAAAAGGTACAAATGAAAACCGGCAAGTCACATAGTCAGACAATAAAAGGATAGCGCAGATGCTGATGTTATATAGTTCTATAACCCTTGAATAAAAACAAACAAACAAACAAACAGCGTTTAGATTTTGGGAAAGGGCTGGATGGTGTAAAGGATAACACGTTCGCTCGAAAGCGGAAGATACTGGGTTTGATTCCCAGAATACCCCCTTTTCCTGAGGATGTGTACGGGAGTATACACCTAGACTGAAAACCATAGGCTACCCTGGTTACAGGAATGCCGACTATTCCGTACAGTCTAAATAGCCTGCAGGTGATTGCGGGCCGTATCTCTGACGGAAGAGATTAAGAAATACATGGGCGTCCGTGAAGATAAGTGGAAATGGGTTGGGAAGGTTTTGGGACCGACAGACTGGTTCTCCCTGTTCCTCGTAAGCTGGCATCAGGGCCCATCTTCCGGGCTACCGGAGACGCACAGAACAGAAACCACCCGTACTAAAAAGGTACAACTGAAAACCGGCAAGTCACATAGTCAGACAATAAAAGGATAGCGCAGATGCTGATGTTATATATAGTTCTATAACCCTTGAATAAAAACAAACAAACAAACAAACAAGCGTTTAGATTTTTTGGCTAATAACATACCAAAGAAATAACTATGATAGTTATTTTTAGTTTAAAAATTAAAATAATGTAAGTTTTTCAATGTTTAGAAAAACAAAATAGCTAGATATCTCAAAAAAATTAAATACAACTTTATCTGACCTTATTAAAAGGCACTAATTACAATGATTGTCCTAAAATGAAAAAAAAAATTTAAAGTAATACTTAAGACAATGAAATTATGGAGTTAAATGCTTGTCTTAGATGGTTGAAAAAAAAAATTAATTGTGAAAGCACTTAAAAAAGGATACATTGTACTGATTCATACATGGTGGAAATGTGAATGCTTTTAATATTCTTCTTCCCTTAATGGGAAAAAATATCAAAATTTTGTATGTTTTAATAAATACTTTTTATTTGTATAAATAATTGAAAATTTACCCAAATTCTAATTCCCCATGGCCATGTTTATTTTAAAAATCAATTAAAAAAACAAAAGAAAAAAAAAATAATCAAAAAATTCCAATAAAGATCCCCAATTATTAATAGAAAAAAAAAGTCACTATAAACAATTTTGTGCAATAAAACTTTGTAAATTACAGTTTTTTCTTTTGTTTTTAAAATGGTTTAGTATATATGAGTTGAAAATAATAAGATGATGGAAGAAGTTCATCACCATAATATATATACATCTAAAAATGTTGTAGATTATCTAGAGTAACTCTAAAAAAAAAAATAATAACAAAGTTGTAAAAGAAAAGAATTAGCCCTACGGGGGGCTCGAACCCCCAACCTTGAGATAAACTCTTATTAAGAGTCTCACGCTCTACCGATTGAGCTAGCAAGGCACGTGACTTATAAAGTTATGAAACTAATAACAATATCAGGAAACTTAACAGAAAGCTAATAAATCTGTTATTTATTTTATTTTAAAAAAGAAGATACTGGGTTCGATTCCCAGAATACCCCCTTTTCCTGAGGATGTGTACGGGAGTATACACCTAGACTGAAAACCATAGGCTACCCTGGTTACAGGAATGCCGACTCTTCCGTACAGTCTAAATAGCCTGCAGGTGATTGCGGGCCGTATCTCTGACGGAAGAGATTAAGAAATACATGGGCGTCCGTGAAGATAAGTGGAAATGGGTTGGGAAGGTTTTGGGACCGACAGACTGGTTCTCCCTGTTCCTCGTAAGCTGGCATCAGGGCCCATCTTCCGGGCTACCGGAGACGCACAGAACAGAAACCACCCGTACTAAAAAGGTACAAATGAAAACCGGCAAGTCACATAGTCAGACAATAAAAGGATAGCGCAGATGCTGATGTTATATAGTTCTATAACCCTTGAATAAAAACAAACAAACAAACAATTATTTTAAAAAAAGTTTAGTTTTAACAACCCATTATTTTTTGTAAATTAAAATAACAACAACAAATAATATATATTTAATTTAAAAAAAGTAGCTTTGATGATGATTTAGTATATTTTTATATAGTTTGAATAATAATCAAACAATATATATTCTTTTTTTTTGTCAATTTGAATCTATTTAAAAAATTAAAGATAAACTGCATTTATTAGATCTAATGTTAGAAAAGCCTCGCTACCATGTTCAACATAAGATTAAGGATAAGATAGTGCTCGAGCTCAACTGATGGAACCGGGAAACTTATTATGCTTAGACTATTACTTTAATTTATTAACTTTTATGTATAATTAAATTTATTTAAGATATACTGAAAATAAAGTATTAGATTTTATTGTATGTCTAAGACATGCTGATTTTATAACGTGACTACCCTTCTATTCAACTAAATTATTAAAAAATGTGAAAAAAATGAAATAAAATATATGGTTTTTTTTGGAAATATTAGTTTGAGACAATTTCAAATTTGTTTAACTATGAACTGATATATTATTGTAAAAAAAATTCATTAGGGATAAAAAGTTACATTGAAAGTCTGGTATTCATCATGGGTATGAAAAAGTACCCAAAGTTAAATTTTTTATAATTTCTTTTTGATAGAATTGAAATAACCTACCAATTTGGAAATTCTTAATCGGTATCACTATTATCATCCTCATCCTCATCCTCATCATCTTGTTCAAGCTCAAATTCTTCAGAGCTAATAGAACTAATATCAAAGGTATCCATTAAATCCTCAATTTCTTCGTCATCCGTTTCTTCACCTTCCAATATGCGTCTAATATGCTCAATTTCTGTGTCAATCTCTTCTTCAAATTCCCCCCATTCTTGTAAAAATTCCTCAAAGTCATTTTCAAAATCCTGTTCAAAGTCTTCATTCATAATTATTACAACAATCAGCCCATTTATAGTAACAAACCTTCCATATCCAGGAGGCATTCCAAACATTTCTCCCATTTGATTACCAATAATATTTAAAATTTGCCATTGCCGATTCGTAAACATTTCTTGTATATAAAAAGGTGCGTTAAGATAGTCCCAAATATTTTCTTCAATATTTGTGCGGATCCTGTTAAGTAACGCTTCCAATTGGTCACGGTACCGAGGGGGGTCGCCAAAGTAATCAAGAAGCAAAACTTGGAGTTCGTGCATGTTTTCCCAAGACATTAACATAAGTTCTGGGGTCCTCTCAGAAGGCCCATCAACAGGGGGCGGTCTTGGAGGTGGCAGAGGTGCAGGTGCTTGGTCAGGAGGTGGTGGATTAGAAGTGGTCAGAGAAGGTTGAGCAGGTGAGGACTGTTCCTGTTCCTGTTCCTGCAGCTGTTGCATTTGTGGATTGGAAACATCAGGCTGAAGCGGCGGAGTAGGAGGTGCTGTCCCTTGTTGTTGACTATGTTCATTTGTAGTAGAAGTCCTGGGATGTTCTGAAATAGATGCTTCAAATCTCTGGTCAGGCTGAATAAAAGATTGTCGTGATTGTATAGTAAGAGTGTCTGGAAATCCTTGACTAAATTGATTTGTAGATAAAGGTAATTGCCTTGAGGGTATATTAAGAGGTGGAAGACGTATGGAATTTTGAGGCCCTGACAAGGGTCCTGACAAGGGTCTTGAACCTGATGCCCCAATTGGGTATCTTTGTTGAGAAAAGGGTAATGATTGTTGATAAGTTTCTTGAGATTGTCTCGAATAAGTATCAGAGGGGTATAAACTTAATGGTGATTGGGGGGTTGACAATGGTCTTGAAGCTGTATAACTGGAATGAGTAGAGTATATGGCACGTTCAGTTTGTGCAGGAGAAAGGCTCATTGGGCTAATACTCAGTGGAGATTGAGGCCTAGAAAAAGATCTTAAAGCAGGTAACGCAATTGGAATAGAAGACTGCTGAGTTGGAGAAGGGTCATCTAAAAGTGTGCTAATTGGTATCAAGCTTAAAGGAGACTGAGGATTTGACAACGGTCTTGAATAAAGGTGATTATGTTGTGAGTCAGGCTGCGAATGGGACTGTTCTGATTCTTGTGATTGTTCCTGTGTCTGTTCCTGTGTCTGGTCTTGAGCCTGTTCTTGAGCCCGATTCTGAGCCTGTTCTTGAGCATGTGCTTGTGAAACAGGTGTAGAATAAAATCCTAATCTCTGGCGTTCTTCCATAATCTGGTCCGACATGGGAGGATACCACAATTCCTGCGAATCCGGACCATTGTTTCGAGACACTGTTCCTGGAGGGTTTGGTGGCCGTTGTCCTGGTCTAGGTGGGCCAGCAGGTAAGTCGCGTATTCCTCCGGATAGAGCTCCTAAAGCTTCATCGCATGTATGCATCTGCATATGAATAGCAGGAGCAGACCGAACCCCTTCGCGAAGTGGCCCAAAAAAGCTATGGAAAAATCTAGGATTCCATTGCACAGTTTGCGCTGGCCGGCGTAGAAAATGAAGTGAGCGTTGATGCGACTCCAATTCATTTTGCATTTCATTTCGACGACGGTCCAGCTCCCGCCGACGCAAATGTTCATTTTCTCTCTCTTGTTGTTCTGCTTCTCTTTCCATTTGACGAAGCCGCCATGTATGAGCATGTCCTAGTGCAGGGGGCAATGGTGGTTGTCTAAGCCTAGTGTTTTGCTGGGATTGGTTTAGAGAAGGTTGTCCTTGTTGCGACGTCGGTCCACTTCTAAGCTCAGAAAGTTGTTGAGGTGCTAATACAGGTTGAATATGGGGCCCTAAAGTATTTAAAGGTAATTGAGTAGGAGGTCTAGTCCCCAATTCTTGTGATTGCTGAGGTCTATGCATTAATTGCATTGTAGAGAAATCTCTTCTTTCGAGTGACCCGGGTTGTTGTTGAGAGCTTGTTGTTTGTGCAGATTGCTTGGTGGAACTATGTTCAGGTTCAAATGGCCTTTCTGAGGATGACCCAACTTGCCCTTGAGTAACTGATGCTACTGTAGTTATGGGCCTAACCTCTGACATTGGTGGCCTTTGAAGCATTGGTGTTGATTCCGTAAAAGGTCGTATTTCGGACTGTGTTAGTATTTGAAATGATGGTGGTGGTGGTCGAGTCACTGAAACTAGTTGCATCACAGGCTGTCTCCCATGTTCTTGAGTTGCCGTCAAGCTTTGTTGCTGATTTATAGGTACCAATTGTAGCAGGCTTCTGGGTTCCGTGTCTGCATATTGTTGAGATGCAAACACATTGGACTGTTGATAGGGTCCTTCATGTTGTTGTCGCAATACGGGTATCTGTGATTGCGGCACTGGTGCGCCTGGTTGAACTCTTGGGGGAGATCCCGGTTGCAAAAGTCTTTCTGATGTCTCTGTCAAAGGTCTCTGTCCATTACCTGCACTGAGCTGCAAGAAAGGTTGCGGGGTCAATGATTGATTTTGGTTTTGATTTTGCTGTGCAGCAAAGTCAAAAGGTCGTTCAGAGTTTCTGCCTTGTTGTTCCAACTGTGCAGATAATTGAGATTGGCGTTCTTCATAAATTTGAAATGAAGAAGGACCATTTATGATTTCATTTCTCTCAACTTTCAAAACTTCCCCCATCGACCTTTGCACCATCATTTCAAGGTATCTATGTCCATTGCCAAATTCAATCCCATTAGTTCCCTTATTATACCCTCTACTCAACATGTTCCCCAATTTCCGGTCCTCCATTTCTTTTTCCAGTCGTGGACCCATTTCCCGTTGCAATTTTTCTTGTTGATCACGTTGTTTATTGACTATCTCAGCTTGCTGGCGTTGCCTTTTTTCAACAAAACTCATATGTTGCTTCAATCGTTCAATCTCTCTTTCCTGTCGCAAAAGGTCTTTAGTTGAGAAAGCCGGCCCCTTCTTCATTGCTTTAACCATAGCTTCCGTGGCTTCTTCAGCATTGCGTGCAACAGAAGGTGGGGGTGAAAGATTAGGACCTGGCGGTGGCGAAATCTTGGGAACCTTTGATCGTCGTTTGTTCCGTGAAGCTTTAGGCTCTTGTTTCTGGGACCTGGAATTTTTGCGATTATTGCCTTGAATTTTTTTACCCCCTTTTGCTTTAGTGCTGCTTCTAGCGCTTTCATTACTTAATTTTTTATCTGTATTTCTCTTGCTTGAACCTCCTGAAGATGTAGCTGTCGTAATACGATCATCATTATAATGAAAATCTGTTGCTTTTTTCTGATCCATTCCAAAGTGCATTCTTGATCGTAGTTCTTCAGAGCCTTTTTCCAAAACAGGTAATTCAGATGAGTTCACTTGCTGCACTGTATTCTTATTAGATGAGGATCCTTTTGAAGATTGTCCCGTGTTGGGGTGCATTTCGTCATCAAGCTTTAACAACAGCTGCGCTGCAGTATACTCCAGCCGTGAATAAGGGGGATGCACTCCATCACTATCACGGGTTTCTTCACGAGCCTCTGCACGAGTGGACTCTTGAATCATTCCAGATTGATTTTGCAGATCCTGTTGTCGCCCCTGCTGTTGCCCCTGCTGCTGCTGCTGCTGTTGCTCCTGAAATCCATTCCTGCCACTTTGATCACTCCCCTCTTCAGGGGCTTCTTCTCGCCTTACTCTTCCCCCTCCCCCTTCTCCATTTCCTCCTCCTCCGTCATCGGCGACTTGTCCGGTACCGCCTTCCTCGGCAAACCTTTCTTGGATAATGTGCGGCGAGTGCGGCGGTGTAACAACCCCAGGTGCAACTGCCCCAGGTGCTGTCTCAAGGTCGGCTCTCTGTCCATGAATCTCTTGAATCTGGCGCTGAGCTTCAGGTCCGCCACCAAGAACAATGAACATGTCGCGCGGTCGCTGTACTACCATCATTTCGGCCACCTCTGCACGTGCATTGTCTCGCGTCGCAAGGGTTCCTGGTCGCTCTTCTAAAAACTCGTCAACACGGGCCTCTTCGCGCTCTTCCTCTTCAAATGCTACGCGTGCAAGTTGGTGTTCAAACACGTCTTGCTGCGCCGGTGTTGCACGCGGTGGTGGGAGAGCCGGAGGTCGTGCAGTGTAATGTGGCTGGTAAGTAGTATGCTGACGCGGCGGATAGCTTGCATTTTGAAAAAAGTGTAGAGTCGGGTCAAGTGAAGTTTCGGAAATGCTTGGCCGAGAAGGTTGTCTTGGGATTTCAATTGGCACCGGCGGAGACGATGTGGGGAGTGGGGGGTCTGTGGATGCAAAGTCAAGAAAGTAATCGTCGTGAGACGCGCGAGAAAGCTTGAGATTACCACGGTGGCCTACTCTGGTTTGCCAGTAAGTCATGATATTTGTTTTTATTATAAAAAAAAAAAAAAAAGAAGAATTAAGCAAATAGCAATGATAATAATATTTGATGGTTTTGAAGATGATGTGCAACAAGAAGAATGGAGCAGTTGGGAATTATTTATATGATTGTTTTTTGTTTACAAGATTACCTAAATTAGTAAATTAACAAACATCTAAACTATTTTGAAAAATTAATACGCCAAGTAGCCGTTTTGACCTTCAAGTACTCTCCAATACCATAGCCTAACCCGGCTTCTTTTCCGTAACCTGAATCGTGCCAACCTCCAAAGGGAGCTTCTGCAGAAGTGGTCATGCCAACATTAAGTCCCACGTTGCCAGTTTCAATACCCTCAAACATGCGCCAAAGACGGTCAGAATCTTGTGAAAAGACATAAGAAGTGAGTCCCATGGAAGTTGCATTAGCACGACGAAGCACTTCGATTTCAGAGTCAAAAGTGAAAAGAGAAAGAATAGGAGCAAAGCTTTCTTCTTTGGCTACAAGCATATCATCTGTGACGTTTGCAAGGAGTGTAGGGCTAAAAAAATAGCCGGTAGTGGTGGAGGGGACCTCGATTGAAACCACTTTGGATGCACCACGCTGAATTGCATCGTCAACATGAGACTGAGCCTTTTTTACTGACCGTGGAGTTGTTAAAGGACCAATTGTGGTTTTATTATCCAAACCATGACCTGGATTAAGTTCCTTTTGCATACGATCTTTGAGCATATCCAAAACTCGGTCATAAATGCTTGCTTGAACAAACACGCGTTGGGCACAAACACAGGTTTGGCCCGCATGACGGAATTTGCACGCCATGAGATTAGTGACTGCCTTTTCAAGATCAGCATCCTCAAAAATGATAAAGGGACCATTACCGCCAAGTTCAAGAGTAAGCTTCTTGAGATATGGAGCGCATTGGGTAGCTAAAAGTTTGCCTACTGCAGTTGATCCTGTAAAGCTGATTTTGGCTATGGTTGGGTGTTCACAAAGCGATTTGCCAATAGATGGAGTATTTCCAGAATCGCAGGGGAGAATGTTTAAGACACCCTTGGGGATTCCAGCTCTGCGTGCGAGTTCTGCTAGAGCCAGAGAAGAAATTGGAGTTTCTGGAGAAGGTTTGGCAACAACGGTACATCCAGCAGCAAGAGCGGTTGCTACTTTTCTCACAAAAAGAGCAATTGGAAAGTTCCATGGAGTTAAACAAGCAACAACACCGACAGGTTGTTTGATGACAACCATACGATTATCAGCAGTAGGTCCTGGACCATTGCCATTGGCGACTGATCCATGTTGGCGCTCTGCTTCACCGGCCATCCACCAAGAAAAGGTCAAAGCATAATCGACCTCACCTAAAGCTTCATTGTATGGCTTTCCAGTTTCAAAAACTAGAATATGAGCCAAGTCTTCACGGTTACTTCTGATGAGGTCGTCCCAGGCAAGAATTAGTCGTGCACGTTCACGAGCTGAAAGTTTACTGTAAGAGGGGAATGCAGCAGTAGCAGCGTCAACAGCACTGGAGACATCTGCAACTGTACAAGAAGTAAGGGCGATCCAAGGTTTCCCAGTAGCTGGATCGATAACATCAAAGGTAGGACCCTTTGGTGTGATAAATTCGTTATTGATAAAAGCGCCTGTTTGAACAAGCCGAGGATCAATAGATTGGATGGAATATTGAGAGGAGGACATTATAGATAGATAGAGATAGAGATAAAGAATAAGAAGAAGAAGAAGAAGAAGAAGAAGAAGAAAAAAAACAATCAAAGAAGAAAACAAGCCTATATTTATACTTTTAAACCCCCACAATGGAGGGGAAGATTCATCATCTTGAGGGGGGTTGCATGGAAATCACAGGGACAGTAAAAGTGTGGGGGGTCTTCATATTTACATCTTTTTATTATGTACAATAGATACGGGTAATCTTTATAAAGTATTTTCAAGTCATTAAGTCATTAAAGGTTGAATAGAAATGCATTTTCAATGGTGTCGTTAGATTATCGGGCGGCAGTGTACTTGTCAGATTCGTCGGACTTTTTGATAATAACTTGTTGTTCAATAGGGATAGGGGTTGCACCTGCAGCCTCGATAAATTCCTTAAGGATTTCGTCAGAATGTTTGTGCTGAACGGGGATAGCCTTTGAGGAACCGTCGGCAAAAGTGATTGTAAGAGTAGCTGGAATATTTGCGTGTTCCTCGCGGTTGTTTGCCCAAAAACGGTTGATGGAAATGGGGACCTGGGGGTTGTTGAACTGAACTTGAGGAAGGTAAAGCTGCCAGAAACGGCGAGCGCCCATGTGGCCGTTGGAGTTTTGGAACTTGAAAGAAAGAGCGATAGAAGAAACTTTAGTAGGAAGATTGACAGCAGCAGGTCCCGAAGAAATGCGGTTAAGAAGGGCGATTTGGCGTGGAACGCGGGACTTGGGGAGAGCTTTGAACATTTTTAAAGAGTGTGATATGAGCTTTTGGATTGGATGGTGTGGTGGTGAGGATTTTTTTTTTTTTCTTCTTTGATTTGGTTATTTTTTTTTTTTTAGACGGAGGTTTTGAAAATTTTTGAAAAAAAAATAAAACCAACACAGACTTGTTACAAATATTGTTACAAATATTGTTACACTTTATATTTCAATTACGTTACTTTTAAATTACATTTTTTGTTACACTCCCCCCCTCCCCTCCATTTTTTTTTAAGGTGTTGCCTGAATGCATTCAACCATAAAAAGCCTTGTTTTGACCCAACTGAACGGAAGACTTTTCAACATTGAATACTTTCATTACTTTTAACGTTGAGAGGGGGGGAAGGGAGATGGGAGGCGGGTTTATTAGATGAGCTCTTCGTATATATATATATATATCCAAGACCAAAAGATGACCATTGGTAGAAATGATTCCCAGGCCTTAAAGCTTGTAAGGGCCTTTCCCGCCGCGCATATTGACCAAAGAATAGGAATTCTCCAGTACGACCCTGAGGAAAATGTGGGAAAAAAAAAAAAAAAAAAGAGAATTTTGGAAAATGTGAAATAAAATATAGAAAAAATCATTTCGATATGCTTAAATTCTTTAGACCCGTCGGTAACTATATAATAATTAGGGTCTTTTTATATAAACCATTATTGGTACTACTTAGGTAACAACCTTTGAGACTGGTGTTTGAGATTGAAAAGCCTATGAATAATTGTAGTAATAATTTTTTATAAATTAAAATGGTCTTAGAAAAAAATATAATTATAAAAATAATTATAAAAATAATTATAAAGATAATTAATTCTATTATAATTATTAATTACATATTATAATTACTCTACCGAGATATTATGATAATAATAATAATATAATAATAATAACAGACTCGTAATACAAAGACTTTTTATGCGTAAGGTTTATATTGTCGGTAGATTCAAAGCTTATGAATAAATATATATATTGAAGTTATAGATATAAACAAATGTTATAATGAAGGCGGACCTCAACTAGAATAAATAAATATATGACCTGAAAGGAAAGAGCTGAGGAGAGAATATATGAAATGTCCAGCACATGGCACATTAGTGTAACCGTTTGTATATATGAATTAGAACACTAAATGTAAGTCAAGAGAAGTTGATTGTTAAAAATAAATTAAAAAAAAAAAAGTTGAATAACAAAATATAAAATAAGAATTGAAGAACTTCATCTTCATAGAGGCAAAAAAAAAAAAAAAAAAAAAAAAAAAGGAAAGCCCTAACTACTTGTTAATCATATTCCGGGACTCAAACAACCCCTCCTAGTGAAGTATATAGTTGGAGTACCGGTCCTTGCAAAAGACTACACTATTTCTTTATAACATTCAGGTGTGCGACAGCTTCATGTTACTATACAATAGAACGGTAAGCCATACCTATAACATCAAGTTATAGTGTATATAATACGTACTTATGTCGAAATATATATATATATATATACATATATATATATATATATGATGTTATTTCATATAATAATATAAATATCAACACACCCATCACTATCACCTGCCAACAACTTTGATTTTTCTCTTTTGGATACACCAAAAACTGCAAAGTGCATATAGACAAAGCCATCATATCGCTGGGTGCCAGTGACTCCTTCATTATAAATAAATCAAATCGCTTCCCTATTTTATTAATTTGAAGTACTACTACTACTGCTGATATATATATATTCTGCACAGTTTTTTTTTTTTTTGTCTTCTTTTAATTTTTTTTTCATCCCCTATAATAATACTAGTCTGGAAAAGTTTTGTCCAATAAAAAAAAAAAAAAAAAAAAAAAACGGTCTTCTAGTTTTTCTTTTTTAGTCTTCTTTCTAGTTTTCTTTTCTAGTTCCATTCTCTGTGTTGGCAGTTTGACTGGGCTAGTTTTGAAGAATCAAACTAAAAGTTTATATCAATCTGATTGATATTCATGACAAACTAACTAACTAACTAACTAACTAACTAAAAAAAAAGCCACACTCAATCTAATTCATTCAATGCTTTCGAAATCCTCTTTTCTGGATTCTTTTAGAAGACGCCGTAGAGCGTCTCAATCTTCTTCTTCAGTCGAGCCTCCAGCAATTTCAGAAAATTCAGACCGTGGAACTAACATTTCTAACAATCCAGGCTCCAAAGTTGTCATAATCACAAGTGCAGACTTTAAAGACTCTGAACAACTCAAACTTGCTAGCACATATCAAGAAGAAGCTTTGAGTAAATCATTGTTTTCTTCTTCTTCTTCTTCTTCTTCTTCTCCTAGCAACAATAATAAATCTGGCACGAAGAATAATACCAACTCGCCTCCTATTTCCAACACTGGTGATGATAATTATATTGAAACCAACTCCGATGAAAATAATAATAATAATAATAATAATATTATTATTATTATTAATTCTCCTTCTCTTCATCCGCTCCATTCCAAAGCTTCGCAACAACGACGCCTGTCGCGCAGTAGTGAGACGAGTGGGATTGCTTCAGATATTGTTGATTTGTACCAAAGTCAACATTTACAGCAGCAATCACAACAGTCTTCCCCTGTTTTGCAGACAGAATCGTCGCCGACCAAGCGCATCGCTAACTCATCGCAGGTAAGTTTTTTTTTTTTTTTTTTTTTTTTTTTTTATTTCTCCCCCCTCCTCTTCCCTCATTTTATTATAATTATATTTTGTATTTCTTCGGCTATTATATTATTTAAATTGGCTATTATGGCCGTGCGAGTATCCTTGCTGTATTGAAACTTTTTTTTTTTTTTTTTTTTTTTTTTTTTTTTTCCATAATTAAAAGATGAAGTTTCTTCTTTTTCATTATTATCATTATTATCATTAGTATTTTTTATTTTTTCATTCCTATAAAAAAGAAAAGTCCTCTACCAAAAAAAAAAAAAAAAAAAAAAAGAAAAAAAATCTCACACACCAACCAATTTTTTGTTTTTTTTTTTTTTTTTTTAAAATATTTTAGAAATTAAACCCTTCTTTATCACAACCACCACAACCAACCTTAACTTCTCAATCTCAATCATCATTGTTCTCTTCATCATCAAAAACCTCAAGTCCTGACCTTGAAAATTTTACAGGGTTTTTAGAAAAACCAGTCAATCGTTCTCCTAAAAATAAAAATAATTACTATTCCAGTACTAGCAACGATAGCAATCATATTAGCCCTTCTTCTTCTTCTTCAGCACAATACTTTCCAGATTTCTCCTATCTTTCTCAAGACCCTTCATCTTCTGCGTTTTCTTTATTTGCACCAGTCCCTCCACCAAAAGGTCTTTTTAACCCAGACCAACTCCAAAATTTAAAAGAACACATGGTCATCCGAGATAATAAATATAATAACCGCTCACGGTATGAAGAGTACGAAGATCTCGCAGATAATTTAGACAAACTCGCGCCAGGGGGTCTTAGTGCTAGTACTACTAGTGCAAACGCCCTACGCCAGAACTTAGCGCGCACGTCGCCACAAAGCTCATCCACTCATAATTCGTCTTTAACAATGTCTCCACGCGCCATGTCCTCATCCTCCATGTCGGCAGCATTATCCACCGGCTCGCCAGTCCCTGGAAAATACTCTCAAATCAAGCACGACTCACAATATTATGATCAGTTTGATACAGATGTATATGATGATCACGATATTGATACATTTTCTACAAGAAAGCCCCTTTCGGCTTATGCGGAACGACAACCTGTATCGCGTATAGCATCTACTCCTGTCCAACAGCGCTCTGCCTCTCGACAGCGCAGGTACTCAATTGATGAACAACAGCAACAGTATCTACAATACTCATCTCAAAACTTAAATACTTATCAAGAACAACCTCAAACAGGAGCAGCAGCGTTTTTAAGTGGAAAGGACCATTTGCGGCAAGATGTGGTGCCACGAGCGTCATCAGCAGCAACAACAACAGCAGCATCATTCAACAAACGTTCATCATTACAACCACATATGCTGGGATCTAATTCTAACGGATCATCTGGGACATTATGGGATGACCTGGAGGCTGTCAAGGCTAAACTGCGGCGCATGAAACTGTCGCAAGGTTTGCACGTACAGCAGCAGCAACAGCAGCAGCAACAGCAGCAGCAACAGCAGCAGCAACAGCAGCAGCAACAGCAGCAGCAGCAACAACAACAACAACAGCAACAACAGCAGCTACAAAAACAACAAAAACAACTAAAACAACGAGAAATGTTTCATGACCCTGATGATGAGTATGAATCAAGTACGTCACCTGTTCTGGCTCGAACAATGCCTCCTCTTTCACAAAATGAACCACAGGTAGACACACGTCGGCACTCAGCATCATTCCGACATAGTACGGGAACTCATCGAAGTACAAGTGTGAGTAGTGTGGAGCAGCGTCTTGAAGACAGCACAGAGTACAGACGCAGTAGCGGGTACCCCACAAAACTAAACTCACAAATTCAGCAGCAGCAGCAACTGCAACTGCAACAACAGCAGCAACTGCAACAACAGCAACAAACTCAGTACCGCACAGCAGGCGAGCGACATTTAGCCGAGGTTCTTGCATACGCGCGGCGGACCTGGTTAGGACCCAGTGAAGGAGCAACACCTACCGCTGATGCGCTTTTATTGGAGCGCGCAGCTCAAGACGTGCTTCTGTTGTATGATACTGCAGTGGGTGGAATTGACGAAACTAGTGCTGATAGTTTAGATGAGGAAAGTCTAGCAGGGTCTATACGAGGCCGGCGGTGTACGGTTGCACATGTGGACGCGTTAGACCGCGCAGCCTTGTCTTTGGCCGGGTTTCTGTTGCAGTATCTCAATACAAGTTCAAGAGCAGTGTCGGCGCTATCGTTACATCACCCTGCGGTATCGCAGCAGCAACAGGCTCATGCGAGTACTCATAGTTTGGAGTCTGCAGCAAGTGGCGGGTCTGCGGGGTCTGGTACCCGTGCGCGGACCAGTCCAGTGGTGGGATACTCTCAAACAAATTCATCTCAACATCAACAAATGTCGAATAAATCAGCAAGTTTGGCGACTCCACGCGTAGCTCCCAGATCAAGTAGTGCTTTGGGAACACCATCTATGACAAGTACTCCTGGATTTGGAGGTAAGGGGTTTCCAGTACGTCCATGGCATGGATTAAGTAGTAATTCAGGTGGTGGAGCCATGGTTTCATCTACGATTGGTGTCAATAATAATAGCCCATCTGAGAGCTTGTTTGAGTATGACTCGCCAGACGATTTGCGTATACTGAGTGTAAGTGCAAGTGGAAACTCTGGGAACGGTAGCCGACGCGGAAGCATTGGTGGTGGAGGCGGAAGTAGCCTTTACTCTTCTACACGCAGTAACAACAATGACCGGGACTCTAGGCGGTTTGGTGGTGGAGCCGCTACTAGTCTAGGACATTATAGTGGCATGTGAATAAATAATGTGAATAGAATAAAAAAAAACACAAAAAAAATTTTTTTTTTGTATAAACAAGAAATTGAATATTAAAAATGGGAAATAGAAAAGATAAATTCAAGTTATTTAGTTTTTTTTTTTTTTTTTTAATTCAACGGAAAGAAATTATGTACATGGGATGGGCAAAGAGTAGGGATATAAAGCATACTAAAAAAAATGTACAGCTGAGAAAAAGATGATTGATTTGATGTTTTTTTTTCAAGGTGGGTTTTTTTTTGTATCGTCAAAGGTCATTATTATTCGTTCGTGAAAAAGACAGATGGATGAATGGATGGATTGATGGATGAAAGAGGAAGAATGAGGGTTGTTTGTTTTTTTTTATAAATTCATCTGGAAAGGTCTTGTGAGAAAGACGTTAATTCTTTCTAGGGTTCTTTTCTGGGTATCTTCATTATTGCTGATACGTTTAATCCAAAGAGACCTTACCACCAGCAGCCTCAATAGCAGCCTTAATTTTCTCGGCATCCTCCTTAACCACATTTTCCTTAAGAACCTTGGGTGCGGACTCAACAAACTTCTTGGACTCGACAAGCGAGAGACCAAGCAGACTCTTAACCTCCTTAATAATCTTAGGCTTAGCCTTAGGGTCGAAAGATTCAAGCTTAAGAGTAAACATAGTCTTCTCCTTAGGAGCTTCCTCAGCGGGAGCCTCTTCGACGGGGGCAGCAGCTGCTGCAGGAGCACCGGCACCAGCGGCAGGGAAAGAAATGTCGGGAATGTCGAGGCGGGTCTTAAGCTCCTTTACAAGAGCAGCAGTCTCAAGAAGAGTCAAAGTAGAGATAGAATCGACAATGGCGGAGATCTTAGGGTCGACTGGGGCAGCAGCTTCAGTCGAGTTGAAGCGGCGCGCAATGGCCATAGAGGGGACAACCGATCGTCTAAAAAAAAGAGAGTTAGTATGATTTGATTGGAAGAAGAATTAAAAAAGAGAAGGGGAGGGGGAAAAAAAAAAAAAAAATATGGCGTACCGGACAGAAGCGACGGCAAGAGATCGGGCAGCAGACAGACGAAGAACCGCGGACATTTTATAAGCTGAGGAAAGCTGGGTGATGTGGTGATGGAGATTAGAAAAGAAAGAAAGGTTTGTAAAATATAGGAGTGATAGGAGGGTGGAAAAAAAAAAAAAAAAAAAAAAAAAAAAAAGGGGAGAGGAAAAGGTTAAAGGAATATTTTTTTTTAATTCGCTGGCTGGTTGGCTGGCTCCGTGTTAAATTTTTGTAGTTACTACTAAGTGATGGGGGGGAAATAAAAAAAAAAAATTATATCTGTGAAAAATGTGTGAAAAATTTTTTAAAAGGGGAAAGGGTTAGGGTTATTAATGGTGGTAGTGCGTGAATTTGCCAAGGATTATTGGTTATAAATATATAGTACTTAAAACAAAGTATTTGGTATTTAATATTTAATATTTAAAACTTATTACTTTAACTTAAAGGTTTATTTATTTTTAATTTTTTGTTTTTGCTTTTTTTTAATTTTTTATGTGCAACTTTTTATTTTTTAATTTCACCGCCATTCCAATTCTTTCCATCATCTCTTCCTCATCCTGAAAAAAATAAAAAAAAATTATACAAATAACTTAAAAACCAACCAACCAACCACAATGGCTTCTTTCAAGTTTTGTCTTGATTGCAATAATATGCTGTACCCACAAGCAGATAATGAAAATAAACGACTACTTTACTCATGCCGTAACTGTCCATACTCTGAACAAGCTGATAACCCATTAGTATACTACCATCGTTTGGAAAGTGACCTCAGTGAAACAGCAGGTGTTACAAATGATATTGGTTCAGATCCAACTCTGCCACGTTCCAACAAGGAATGTCCCAAATGTCATAACAAACAGTGTGTCTTTTTCCAATCTCAACAACGACGTGCCATTACTTCCATGGTTCCGTTTTTCGTGTGTCTAAGTTGCCACCATACGTTTCGACCCACAGATCCCGAGAGTCAAGGATAACGTAAAATCTTTGAAATTTTAAATTAATGAGTCTTGTTTTTTTTTTCTTTTTTTTTTTTTGGTTTTTTTGGTTTTTTTCGTTTGTTTGTTTGTTTATTTCAAAACTATGTACAATGGTATAAATTATATATTTCCTAATCCCTTCTATTCCCTAATTTTTTTTTTTTTTTTTTTTTAAACTGTTCGTGGAGCAAGTGCAATAATCTTATTGAAACCCTTATCACGAAGCTCTTTGGCAACGACACCATTGACACGCGTACCCAGAGGCTCTCCGTTATTGTTAATAAGCACACACGCGTTATCATCGAATCGCATGACAGATCCATCAGCACGGGGTTGCAGCTGTTTAGTACGGACTACCACGGCATGGCGCATATCACCCTGGCGCAATTTCTGAGAGTTGGAAGAACCAGCAGATGGGCCGCCAGGACCAGACCCTGCGGCAGCCAAAGGACGGGCCTTTTGAACAACAACCACAATCTGATCACCAATGCGGGCATGGTTCTTAGGTTTTTTGCCGAGAACTTTGATGCATTCAACAACAAGAGCACCAGAGTTGTCGACAACGTTGAGCAGGGACTTTAAGTAAATCATGGTGCGGGTTTGAGTGAGTGGTTGGTTAGTTGGTTAGTTGATTATTTTTGTGGTGGTAAAAAATAAAAAAAAAAAGAGGGATTTGGTGGGTCTGCAAAGGATTTCAAAAAAAAAAAAAAAAAAAAAAAGATTTGAAAAATTTTGACCAGCCAGTTTTTTTTATTACAACTTTGTATTACATTTATTTTTGTTAATAGAACGTTGAAACAAATTTTTGGGAGTTCTTTTTTTATCTTAAAAAATTAATTTTTTTTTTCTATTTTTAAATTAATTAAATTAATTATAATTAATTTAATTACTACTGTATACCTAATTATTATTTATAACAAAAAAAAAAAAAAAAAACTCCCTGCCTGTCTTTTTCTGTTTGAATTTAAATTTTGTCTTGCCTTGCGTGTTTACGTTTACATGTGCCGCCCAAATTTTTTTACTTGCGCTGGCTGCCTTTTTTTTTTTTTTTTTTTTTTTTTTTTGTACTCTTCCAATCAATCTCTCCTTAACTGGAAACTTAAATCTTAATCTTTTAAATAAATAAGAAGACCATCATAAAAAAAAAAGACTCTACTTTTTTTCAATAATGATCTTTAATAGCGTTGTCCTAGCCCTTTTCATCTGGGCCTTGGGACTCGTCCAAGCTGACGTTTCAGTCCTTAAACCCACCTCTGGGTCCACATACACAGCCACAGGCACTATGGCCATTTCTTGGGAAGATGATGGTAATGCGCCATTACTGGACTCTGATATCTCCACGCTGTCCATTCTGCTCTGTACAGGTCCAAACTCCAATATCAACTGTTTCTATACCATTGTCAATGCTGTCGCTCCTTCTACCTTGGGAACTTCTTACTCATTTTCAATCTCCTCCGCACAAACCCTCGCAGCCTCAGGGTCTTTCTACCTCCAATTTTATGCCCGCGCTTCTAACGGCGGATATACCATCCACTATTCAAACCGTTTCACAATCTCAGGCATGACTGGTTCTCTTACAGCCACTGCTGGTGACTCAACATCTCCTCCCAACGACGAGATTAGCTACAGTACCACCACTGCTGCAACGGATTCCATGCTGGACCCCGACACTGCTTACACCATTCCATACACAATGCAGACTGGCATTTACCGTTATGCTCCAATGCAACGACAGCCAGTTTCTAAAGTCACCATGAAGCTTTCTGCGTCCCGACGCTACCCCACCACTTCGGTATCACTCTTCACTACTTGGACCCTGCAGCCTGATGCCGTCACAACAACCACAGCCTCCATCACTTACTCTACAACGCAGGCCGTTAATTGGGCTACACCAGCTCCACAACCCACGGTTGTCGGATACTATGCTGCATCTGAGGCGCTTGCGCGGACCATCAATGCAAAGTCAAAACGCGGGTACGTTGATCTGTAGAGGAGGGTGAGAAAAAAAAATTAAATTAAATTAAATTAAATTAAATTAAATTAAAATAAAAAGGTATTCACGTGATATAACAACTTTTAGATTAAAATTAAAAGCATTTATTTAACAATAACGTAATGTAACTGGGAATTTTAAGTAACAAAAATAAATCATTCAAAACATTTTAAATTAAATTAAAAATTAAATAAAAATAAAACTTTTTTTTTTTTGGCCACCTAAACTTTTCTTTCCTTTTGCAACGTCCAACTATATTTTTTTTTTTCTTTTTAACAAAAAAAAGACACCCTTCTTTTAAACAAATCAATCAATCAATTCAAAATGCCTTCTCAAGAATTCCTTAACGCTGTAAGTTTAATTTAAGTCTATTGTTTTTTTCTACTTCTTTCAATTGAAGAGTATTACAGATTCTAACAAAAAAAAAATTCCATATAGGTCGACAAGGTCAACAAGCTTACCAAGCGTCCCTCCGATGACGAACTTCTCGAACTTTACGGTCTTTACAAGCAGGCTACCATTGGTGATAATGAGACTCCTAAGCCTGCCATCTACGACCTTAAGGGCAAGTACAAGTGGAACGCTTGGAACGAGCTTCAGGGCACTTCTCAGGAAGAAGCTGAGAAGAAGTACATTGAGCTTGTCGAGAAGATTTCTGCTCGTCTTGCCGCCGAGTAAATAATTGTTAATTAAAATTTAAAAAAATAAAAAAAAAGTAAAAATCATATATATATTTAATTCAATAAAAAAAAAACATTAAAAAAATAAAGAATAATAATTTGATTCGAATGCTTGAATTTGGTGTTCCATATAGTATAATGTTGTGTACCCATCATACTCAACAAACCCTGTTTGTAATATTTATAATAAAAAGGGCTTAGAAAAATACTCCACCATAAGTCCCCCTCCCCTTTTTTTTTTTATGACCCCATCACCATCTTAAGGGATCCTTTTTACTTTCTTCTTTCTTTCAATTACACCCATAACTTATCATTCACACTATGGGACTTTGTGGGCTTCTGCCTCCTAGAATTTGCCACGCTGCTGGCTACTGCTGCTGTACTTGCATCTCATGGCTTCCACGTGCAGGAGTCAACGCTCTCATGTTCTGGGGCTTCTATACCCACTGCTTCTCGCTGGCCCCCATCATCCTTAGCACGGCTCATCCGCTACTTCAAACAATAGCAATTCTCTGGGTAGCTACACTCTACGGTCTTTCCTTCATTTCATACTTTGAGACCGTCCGCATTGGTGGAGGCTCTCCCTTAGATGTAAGTAAATCAATCAAACAAACAAACAAATTATCTTATTTTGATCTAAAAACTTACACTTCATTGTTTTAGATCCCTGGATTCTCAGTACCGCTGGCGGTCGTCCAAGAATGCTGCACCCTTAGCAATCAACCCTCTTCATCTCCCTCTTCACCTCTTCCACTACTTCCTTCTTCATCCACCTTAGATTTAGCTCTTCTTTCTTCCCGCTCACCTCCACCCCATGTTCCAAGTTACACAGCAAAAGACAATGGCTTGCTCCGCTTCTGTGGTAAGTGTTTAGCTTGGAAACCTGACCGTGCACACCACTGCTCTTCTTGTGGTCGTTGTGTTCTTCGCATGGATCACCACTGTCCTTGGTTTGCAACTTGCATCGGCTTTCGTAACCATAAAGTTTTCCTTCTCTTCCTTGGTTACGTCTCTATCTTTTGTCTTTCATGTGCTCTCTCAGCAGCTATCGGCGTTTATTTGTTTCTCAATACAGAAATTGACCGCCTTAAACATGGAGCAACTGATGCTGCATTTGTCCCCGTTAATTGGATAGCCCTGGCTGTCGTGGCTTCTGTCATGGGATTTGCAGTCACCGTTTTTTTCCTTTACAGCCTGTACTTGGCAGCTAAAAACTCCACAGTGATTGAAAATCTCGAAGAAACAAGATACCGTACTTCACTAGCCCCAGCCCATTTCCGTTACACTGCACCACCATCATCGCGCTCTGTCGGTAATATTTTCGATCTGGGCTGGCGTCGTAACTTGGCCCAGATCATGGGTCGCGACCCTTGGATGTGGTGGATTCCTCTTCCACTTCCTCGTGCGCCTATAGATCATACCTCACCTGCTGCGCCTCTTGATGAAGAGGCTTCAGTCGCAATGCTAGAAGAAAACAACGACACAACTGACTACGATAAGGCAGGACATTGTCGCTGGAACGTATATCCCGTCGGCGTCGTATCTGGTGCCGAAGGAGACGGCACTTGGTACCCAGTCAACCAAGCGCTTCTACAAGCTGCTCACCTGGCGGCTGATTCAGAAACCCAGCGGCTTGCTCAGATGTACGCACACCGTCAAAGGCAACAGGAACTTATGCGTGAACAAATGCTTGATGAAGAAAACTACGCATACTATGCACACCATCAAAACATTCTGCACGAGACTCCTCATGGCGTTCCTCTTGCTGATTTATAAAATGAACATTCATGTATCATATATATATATATATATATATATATATATATAAAGGTTTATAAAAAAAAAATAAAAAAAAAAAAAAGGGTTCATCTAGATTATTATTACTCGACCTTGACTTGTTTCTGGCGTGTTTGCCAGTACTTGAACGCTGCTTCCGCGCCAATCCCGCCAAACACCGCGCCTACGCCAACCCATTGGCCTACCGTCAAGCTATGGTTGAACCACACCACTGACAACAACATGCTCACCATTTTCCGTGTCACCGTTACAGTCACTAGAATCAGTGATCCGTATGTTTCAAGTGTGTGGAAAATAAAAACCTGGCCCAGCGCTCCACACAGCCCAAATAGCGCAGTATCAACCAACACTCGTGGGCCATTTCGAGCCACAAAAGCAGCCGTCATTGCCAGCTGATCTGAGTAAAGAGAAGTCCCTGGCAACCCGCTCTTGAGTGCAAGTGCAGAACTCACAAGGTATGCTCCAGTCAATAAGCAAACGGCAAGATTAAGTCCAAACATCATTCGGGGACCCGTCATTTGTTTGTGCTTGTGGAAAATATGGTCCTGAGTACTATTTGTGACGCCGTCCAGCAGCAAATTAATGCCAAGCAGACCCAACCCGATCCACGATGAGCCCGTCACTGCGGCTCCAGCAACCACTGCATGTGACGTTTTGTTGGCAGCCTTATAGTATGTAAACATAAACACGCCAGCCGTGATAGCAAATACCACCAGGTACTTGTACAGTGGGAATGAGCGCCGGTACACGGTGAGGTGGATCAGCATGACGGGCACAAGCTTACAAGACTTGGCCAACAACAGAGTCAAGTAGGATACGTGGCGCAGCGCTGCGTATCCAAAAGGTGCAGCAAGTGTTTGCGTGGCAGCAACAACAAGCAGTTCCCGACGTAGCGCAGAGTTCCCTGAAAAAACTGCCAACGGCGCGGTTTCCTTGGAGGTTGATTTGACTGTTGCGTAAATAAACCCCACAGCCATAGCTAGAAGGGCCTGTACGGCATTGATGACGAGCGACCCACGGTAGATTTCAGAGTCGGCTCCATAACCAGTTGCAGAAATGCGTTCTTGAAGCAGTGCCCATGTCAAGAATGAAGCATAGATGCCTATTTTTGTGGTTAGATTGAGTGAAATGTTGTTAAAAATGCTCGTTTTTTTTTATAGACATACCAGCCACGGAAAATAATAGATCCAAGGCAGAACCTTTGGTTGAGGACGAAAATCCAGAACTAGACGACTCAGCTACTGCTTCAGTCTTTTTTGTTTCCTTCTTTTCACAGATGACGGTCGTTGTGTCCATCATTATAGGGTTTATTTGTGAAATGGTTAAATGAGTAATTTTGGGGAGGTGGAAAAAAAAAAAATTGAGAATTTAAGAAGAAAATTCCACGTTGTGTACATTTTTTTTTTTTTCAAACAACCCTTAAATTGCAAACTTTCCGTGCGGCTGCAGGCCCAAAGGAGGTGCCTAGTTTAGAATCTTAATTAACTTTAAATTTAAATTTAGAAAAAAAAAAAAATTAACCATCAAAATGATAATTTCATGAGATCATTAAAATGAGAAAAAAAAACTTTTGAGCAAGTAAAATGTTAGAAATCAAAAAAAAAAAAAAAAAAAATTTAATTAATTAATTAATTTGGGAAATTGCCTCTATGAACTGTTGACTTTAAAAGTAATTAGATACTTAAAGGCGTTGTTTATGAAAAGTCTCAACCTTGACCATTTATTTTTAAAATATATCTTTTTATTTTTGTTCCTAATTTATTTTTGTTCCTAATTTATTTTTTTTTTAATACAATTTTTTTCTAAGCTCTATTTTAATTGTATTTTTTTATAAACGAAACTTTTTTTTTTGTTTTTTTGAAAATTAATCAGCCATGTTAGAGATTTAAAAAAAAAAAGAAAGAAAAAGATTATAAAGATTTAAGTGTTAACTTTTTTGATAATCAACTGGTTATCAGATCTTTTTAATCAAAAATTGATCAGCTATATACTTATCTTATCAATTTCTGTTGAAAAAAATTTTTTTTGCTTAGAAACGTTCTGAATCAAACCAATCTAGGGTTTACCTGTATTATTTCTCATCATTCATAGATTTGATCTCGGAGAAAATACTCAAAAAAGTTAACTAGCCTTTATATTTTTATAGAGATTGAGACACTTAAATAATGTTTTAGAAACAAAGTAATTATTTAAATATATCTTGCTTTTTCTTTTTTTTATATCTATTTATGGAAAACTTTTCGAATGTTCTTTAATAATTCACGGATTTTTCCTTTCTTTTCCATTCTATTTTACTCTTCAATGGGAGATATAAACAATATAATAAAAGACATGAAAGATAATACATTCTAGGCTATGTGGGGATTTTTCTAATCGAAATTCAAACTCATTGTATAATGACAAACAATATCTCTAATTTCAAAGAACTGAACTAGGCTTGGATAAATAACTAAAAAAAAGTATAAATATAATTCATTTTTTTTCTGAATTCAATTTTTTTTTTCCTTCTTTTTTTTCCTCATCAGATTTTCAACAATGTAAAGGATCATCTACTCTTCTTTTACACTGTTGGTTTTAATCTGATCAATTTCATCATCTCTTTTTTTTTCCCACAGTTACTCTCAGTCACCATTTTTTTCTTCTTTTTTAATAGTCTACAAACCTCTCACAAACATCCCGTTATCTAGTCACCATTTTTCTATTCTTTCTCTAAATTTTTTTCTCTTTGGCTTTAATCATAAAAAAAAATCTCATTTTTGATTTATTCATACTTTCTCTATTCAAATTTCTCCAAAATGATCTTCCTCATCGTCAACTCCCATAATTCATCATCTTTCTCCTTCATACACTAGAAATCATCAATTCTTACAGAATTTATTTGTCATATTTATTTCATACTACACTAGAAATCATCAAATTTTTAATAAATTTTTAACTACATCGTCTTCATAACCACGCTCTTCATTCTTGCCTGCCATAATATATTAATATATTGCTTTATCTTCTTCATCTTTTTTTACGCTCTACCTTTATCATATGCCATTCTATCAACCACTTCACAAGTCATGTTTTCCTCAACTCATTCATCCACTTCACAATCATCATCTTCATAACTTTTATCATCTTCATCATCTTCATCATCTTCATCATCTTCATCATCTTCATCATCTTCATCATCTTCATCATCTTCATCATCTTCATCATCTTCATCATCTTCATCATCTTCATCATCTTCATCATCTTCATCATCTTCATATTGACCCATTTATAGAATTATAGACTTCACAACCACAACTAATTATAGACATTTAACAACCAACATCCTATATCCCATATCCCACATCCTATATCTGTCACCAAACCCCATATCTTTTTCATTATAGAATTATCCATTTTTTTTTCTCAAAATTACCATCTTTTTGAAAACCTCTTCTCACCATAAGATTTTTATAATCTTTCTCACTTACCCCCATTTTCCAGTATAGAATTGTCGCCACATTTTTGTCTCTTCCTTGCCTCATTATAGAATAATTTCTTACCCTACACTTTTTAACCGATCAAATAACTTCTCAGATTCTCCGCCATCACCATTTTTACCATTTTTCATCACTCTCATCACTCTCATCACTTTCATCACTTTCATCACTTTCATCACTTTCATCACTTTCATCACTTTCATCACTTTCATCACTTTCATCACTTTCATCACTTTCATCACTTTCATCACTTTCATCACTTTCATCACTTTCATCACTTTCATCACTTTCATCACTTTCATCACTTTCATCACTTTCATCACTTTCATCACCTTCATTCATATTAAAATTCCGTCTTTATATTTTATTACTGCTTATTTTCTTTTTTCCCACATTTTATCACCCTGGTTCTTACCTTCATTATTTATCTACACCTCCCGTAAAAACCCTTACCTTTTTCTTATTGATCAACTTTCTCACATTCATCCGCCCCATCCATTCCTCATAACTTAACCATACCGCCCTACCTAGAACTTCCAAGAAAACCCAATAATTTAATTAAAATTACTTTAAATCCAAATCAAAGTTTATTTAAAACTGGATTATCTCTTATTTATTTTCTTCTTCCGAGGAATATAGCTCCTATGGTCTCTGTCTAACCGTTTCAAAATAATCGAGTTCATAAATTAATGAGTTTTTTATTTAAATTTATAATATTTTTTTATCTTGAATTTTTTTTACGATATATAAATTTTATTTAAAAAAATAAAAAAAATCTGAAAAGTACTCAATCGATCTTTAGTTAATGCAGCTTTTATGAAGCAAAATGAAATCTTATTGCGCTAATAAATTAAGACTATCATGCATCTGTATTGTTTAAGCAACTCTTAGTAATTTCACTCTGCTTAATTGTTCGTAATAATCTTTCATTTTAAATTGTTATCATGATCGATTTGTAGTTTCCATTTTCGATCCAATCAAAATGATGAGTTTTTTGATATAAATAAGCCAATGTCTTATTTTTCTTGCCAAAACTAAAAAAAAAAAAAACTGCAAATTGAGAAAAATGTCCGGACCATCAAAAGAAACTCCTGATCCCAGTATACCGTCGCCTGTACTGATTGAAAAAAACAAACCTTTAACTTTGAATGATTCTGAACCATCAACTCCAATTACACAGCCGAGAAATCTTGTATGTCCTGGTGCACCACGTTCCAGCCGCAGAAAAACTTCCAATTCACCAGCAACTACACCTACAAGAAGCAATAGTAGCTCTTCTGAATTTCATATTTCTGATGAAGAAATTGAAGATTCCTATGATATGTGCAGTATTGACAGCAATCAGTTTTCAAGCAAAAATTTTACGCAAAATTATACTCTATCATCTAAATTTGAATCAGAATTGCAACTTTCTGACAAAGAATTTGATTCTAATGATGACCAAAATATGGAACCCGAAGAGAATAAGTTAACCAAAGATTTCAAAGATGAAAAAGAAGTAAATGAATCTAATACAAGTTCTATTCAAGGTTACTTTTGTTCTGATCGTTTTGGTGAAGAAATTATACCATCTGTATCTTTCAAACAGCTAAGTGCTCTTCATGCATACAAATCTATTCCTCACCATTGTCAACATTGTTGTCGTAGAAAGTGTGAAGAATTTTTTACAACAAGGCATAATATTCGCCCCGAAGAAGTTGAAAACACTCAACAGATAGTTGAAAAAAATGATGAGAGTGCCAAATTGTGCAAATTTTTAAACCCAAAGTCTTACAATTATCGGTTCAGTATTCCTACTCAGAATGAATTGAAAAATAATAATTATATTCTCAATCTATCGGTTTTACCAAAAAAACCCAATAATTTTAATTCTCCACTTTTTTTCTCGCGATCCAATGGTGAATCTCGTCTTCAGCCTGACAAAGTAACACTTTATAATTATCAAACTGCACGTTTGGCTCGGAGAGATTTTCGCACCCAAAGGTTTTACCCTGTTTCTTTAGGAGAGCGGGTCCCAAAAAAATTAAAAGATTTAGCTGACTTGGATTTCTTTACAATGGAAAAGGACAATAGTTTGGCTTACTACAAAGACTTTTGGGAACCCCCTGTGGTTAAAGTTAAAGAGTTTTCTAAAAATGGTGTTGAAAAGACTGACTGGGAATCAGTATTGAAGCCCAATGCAGATGCATTAAAAAAATATTTGGAAGAAAATGAACGGTTGAGAAACGAAAAAACATTGTCAAAAGAAGATTTGGAAAAGATTATGAAGGAACGATGCTTGGAAGCTGAGAAAAAAGCCAGGGATTTGGAAAAAAAGAAGATAATGATTGAAAAGTTGGATGATTTAACAGAACCTTTTTTTCTCGCCAATATGAATGAAAATACTGTTGCCAAACAATATGACGCTGCTATTTCTTCACATTTGTCAAAAGGGAATGCAGATAAACTCAAGATTTTAAATGAGCACAAAGAAAAGAATGAAAGCAAGGATGGATTAAAAAACCGGATTCAAAAAAAGGAAGACAGAAAAGGAAAGGGAATCACAATTGAAAAGAAGCATTTGGTTGAAAAACAATTATACGCTGAAGATGAAAATGACTATTTAACGGAAGTAAACATTTTGTGCAACATTAAAGCTAGTGTTGCCGAACAAACCAAGGTAAAAGTTGTTGTTTCCGAAGAACCCTATGAAAACTCTGAGGGAATTCAAAAGAGAATCTCCATAAATATTTCTTTTGACAAATAATCTATTGTTAAGTTTAATATATTTATTTATTTTGTTTTTTGAAAAAAGTAGAAGTTCTATCCCAATGGATCTTGCTCTCAATACTTAATTGTTTTGTGGGGTTTGCATCTTGCTGTCAAATCTCACTCGATATCCCTTTTAGAGATGTCAGGTGCCGATAAGTAAGTGATAACGCGTCTACTTACGTTTATCTTTTTTTTTTTTTCAAAACCACCATAACACAATCATAGAACATGCATATCTTCATCCCAAAAAAGGACTTTGAAATATCCGGTTAGACCTGGCTTGCTTTTAAAATCTTATTAACAATTGATAAAAATGAAGTTTTTCTTTTCAAAGTTGTTTACTATAAAAGGGGGCCATTTCTCTGTTTCTGATAATTTATCAATTTATCAACAAACAAACTAACTAACTAACAACTATATATCAACTAAACATAATGAATCGCTTGAATAACCTCTCTTCTCATCTTTGTACTGCTTTGGCTCCTCCAAATCATCCTTTGGACCCGTTGTCTACTGTTGAGCTTGCTGCTGCAGTTAAAATCATTAAGCGAGCTTATCCCGGACGTCAATTTTCCTTCAATACAGTCACTCTTCGTGAACCCCGCAAGGTTGATATGACTGAATGGCTTAAAACCCCTGCTCATCATATCCCTCGTGAAGTTTACTTTGTTATTTTGGAAACTGGAACTCCTGGTTTAATTGATGGTTATCTTAGTCTTACGGATGGTCAAGTCAAGCTTTTTAACCACATCAAGGATGCCCAGCCTATTCTTACAGCCTCTGATCTTTCTAATACCGAAAAAGTTGTTCGTACTGATCCTCTTGTCATTGAACAGTGTCGCATTTCTGGTATTCCCGCTGAAGACATGCACAAGGTTTTCTGTGATCCCTGGACCGTTGGTTTTGATGAAAAATACGGTAACAGCCGTCGTCTTCAGCAAGCCATCATGTATTATCGTTCAGACCCCGATGATTTTCAATATTCTCATGCTCTTGATTTTTGCCCTATCATTGATACAGAGCTTAAAAAAGTCCTTTACGTTAAAATTCCCAAAATCCGTCGTCCCCTCTCTCAGGCTCCACACCCCAACTTTTATCCCAAGGATATCGAAGCTGGCATTGGTTTTCGCAAAGATATTAAACCAATTAAAATTACCCAACCCGAAGGTGTTTCATTCAAAATGAATGGGAATGTCATTTCTTGGCAAAACTTTGAGTTTCATATTGGTGTCAATTATCGTGAAGGTCTTGTGCTGTCAAATGTGCGCTATTACGATAAATTCGAAGGCAGAGTCAGGCCCATTTTCCGCAGACTTTCCATGGCTGATATGATTGTTCCTTACGGTCATCCAGGCGATCATCACCCCCACAAGCTAGCAATTGACATTGGTGAATACGGTTTTGGTAACTGCGTCAATCCTCTAGGTCTCGGCTGTGATTGTGTTGGTAAAATTCATTACCTTGATTGGTCTCATGTTCTTAGAGATGGCTCTGTTTCCACTATTAAAAACGCCATTTGTATTCATGAAGAAGATAACGGTCTATTGTTTAAGCATGCCGATTTCCGTGATGAGTTTCAGACGTCTCTTGTGGCTCGGGCCCGCAAACTTGTTGTTTCGCAGATTGCTACAGTCGGTAACTACACCTACTGCTTTTACTGGAATTTCCATCAAGATGCTACTATCTCCCTTGATGTCAAGCTTACTGGTATTCTAAATACTTACGTTGCTAACCCTGACGAAAAGACTGAGCCTTATGGAACAAAAGTTTACCCAGGTGTTAATGCCCAAAACCACCAACATATGTTTTGCTTACGCCTTGATCCAGAAATCGATGGCTCTGATAACTCTGTGGCTATGGTAGATGGTGCAAGATCTACATATCCGGTTGGTCATCCTGAAAACAAGTATGGCAATGCTTTTTTTCCCGAGCGCACTGTCTTTAAGACAGCTAAAGAATCAATGGTTGGTTATGATGGTTCTCGCTCTCGTACTTGGGATATCTTTAATCCAAACAAGGTGCATCCCTTTTCTGGCAAACCTGTATCATACAAAATTGTTTCGCGTGATGTTCCTGACCTTTTGCCTAAGGACGGTGGTATTGTTGCGCGCCGTGGTGCTTTTGCAAAACATGCAATCCACGTTGTGCCTTACAAGGATGACCAATTGTACCCCGCTGGTCAGCATGTCCCTCAAACATCTGGTTTCCCTCCTGCAGGATTGCCTGAGTGGATTGGAGAAGGTAATCAGAACATTGAAAATACAGACATTGTTGTTTTCCATACTTTTGGAATCACTCATTTCCCAGCTTCTGAAGACTTCCCTATTATGCCTGCTGAACCAATTACGTTGCTGCTGAGACCCCGTAACTTCTTCCTCATGAACCCTGCAATGGATGTCCCACCCTCTTATGCAATTACGGCATCCGAGGTTCGTGCCCAAAAGTCTGGCAATCAAGCTATGTTTGATAAAGGGTCTCAATTGGCATTTGGAAATGCGCCTGTAGCACCTTCTAGTGACTGCTGCAAATAAATTTTTATTCAAATGTTTATTTTAATTAATGTTTATTAATTATAAAATTATATAATAAAAACCTATACTAATGTTAGCAATGACAATTAAAATTAAGTCCCCATTGATCCCTTGATATAAAAATAAATGTATAATTTACTCATGTTTGATTTGTAATGGTGTTTGTTTTTCAGCAAAAGATACACTTGTTATGTGTGGTGCATGAGAGAAACATCTAATCATTGTAAAGTGCCAGCGGTTTTTACTCAAGAAAGGGAATTATATTGAAAAAAAAACTTACATTAAACAATGGATCCTGGAAAACAACTTCTACAAAATCTTTGAAAAGTTAGTAAATATCGCAAAAGCAATTTAAAAAACAAGTAATTTAATCGAAGTTCAGAAAAATTAACGAGATTAACTATGGTTGTCTCCATGTAGTAGTCAGAGAGATTCCCAATATAGTGATATTCATCATTTAAAATAAAAAAGAATTTTTCTTTTAGAAACTTACCAAAATCCAAGAGTGTTTGTTGAAGAAAAGAAAAAGAAGATTGAAAAACTTAAAGATCAAGAAGTATTTATACTTTTTTAAAATAAAATTTTTCCTTGGTGTCCACCACCAAAAAGTTTTGAGAACGTGAGTAATTCACATACTTATACTTCAGCCATTTCACTATCTAAATACAAATAAGATACAAAAAAAAACTACCAAATCCATCCCCGAAAGTTTTCAATCCCATCTTCAAGCTCTTCATAGGTGTGCTCGTTAAAGTCGTTGACAGTGCACAAACGAGATTGAGATGTCGAGGTAGAATGGGAAAATCCATTTTGAGTGACACGACAATTATCATAAGATCGATAATTGTAGTCCATTCCGTGTTTCCCCACCAAGTTCCTCGAATACTTTTGACGCCATCCCTCGATATCAATCATATATGTCTTAAAAGAAGTCAAAATTGGACATCTAGGCTGAACCTCACTAGTTTGTGGGCGCACCACTGCCTTTATGAAATTTTTAAAGTCAACAGGGCCATATCGACAATATGCACTACTTATAACTGAATTGAAGCAATGAATTTGCTTCATCTCTAGTACATGTTTTTCCCCTGTAGAAACACCGCTGTAGGGATCGTTTTTTCGACGAACTTCAGAAACGGGGTTAAATGAAATAGGGGGCGAAGCACTATTAAAAGTAACTTGTTTGATTTTGCACGTTGGTTCCTTAACCATAGTATAAAAGCGGTAACTAGTCAATACCCTGTCACACTCATTGCCAGGAAGGTCCAAAAATTCCAAGCACTTCATTTCTGAAATTGAATTAAATAAAACTTCCCAGTAACAAAAATTACCCAATATAAAGTAAGGAATACCTCTTTGAGTACCAATTAATCTCTGCAAATAAGTATCAAACAAATACTCAATTTTTTCGCTTGGACATTTGAGCAAAAATAGCAAGCCAGCATCAGATAGGCGGTACTTCTTTTCAGCCTCTTTTCCACTACTTTGATTTGGAAAATGACTATAATCCAACTCAATTTCTGGGTCAAGCTCATCCTCTGGGTTTTTGCTTGATGACCCGACTTTGCGATATCTCTTCAATGAAGCTTCATACAACTCCTTTTCAAGCGTTGAAATAACCTCTTCATGTGTTTTTCCATTGATTGAAAGCTCACGTGCACGTGCTAAAAAGTTGCGCACTTGGACTTCCACAACATCTTTATGATATTCAATATGTGCAGAGTACGGCAAGTTGCATTTGATTTTAAACGACAACGATAGATACCGAACATAATTAAAGTGTGGAAGTGCATAGTGCATGCCCTCGAGTGCACGACTTGAAATGAACCGAAATTCAAGGCACAAGATCTCGGGTCGTACTTTACAAGGGTCTTTGTCATCTGGGGGGATAAGCAAGTCACGAACCATAACTGGATCATACTCGTTTGCAATTTGCTTCATACGAAGATCCTTCAAGTTGGGAAAGCAGATTGGAGAAAAAAGTGAAATAAGCTGCTGAAAAGAAAGCATACCAACTCTCAAGTGAGTTACTTGTTCAACTCTCAAAGCCTCTCTGTCCTGGGATATGCTTCTTTCACGAAAAACAGCAGGGTTTCGGCCTCTAGGTCTTGGTGCTCTTTCATCCCCTTCAACGTGAAGCATTTCACGAACAAGGCCATCAACTGGAATCCGAAAAAAATCTCTAAGATGTCGAAGCCCATCAGCAACTTGCTGTCCTTCTCTCTCATTTTCAGTATTTGATCTAAGCTCGGGAATAGTAACGCAACACTTTGTATATTGATGTGGAGGAAGCATTGTACTAAGAACATGAAGAGACCGTAAGTCGTAAATAACAAAAGAAACTTCCTTTAGTTTTTTCAATTCTCGAACACTGTTAAACACAACACCATATTCCCAGCTGGAAAATTTTGAGGAAGGAAATAAGGAAAATTTTTCCAAGTTTTTGAATTCACCAATATTAAAATTTTGAACGCATTGACTTCCAGTAACAAAATTTGGTCCCATCCATGCGTTAACTTCGCTCTCCACACTTGGACTATCTCTAAAGTCAATTCCCATTTTGTTAGCAATATGTCGCGCATTTGAAATGGCTTCAAAAGCTCCAGTAAAGTTGTGATTGATATCCCATTCGTTGGTATTTCGTGGTGGATCGTAAAAGATTTCCAGCGTGTGTAAACAGTCCTTGCTTACCAAGCTTTGACATAGTTCTCCCATTGTTGTTCTCAAGCTTAGTTTGATTGGAGGTTTGCCTTTATTTGTTTTTTTTTTAATTCGTGGGTTAAATTGAGAGTCAAACATAAAAAGAACAAGATCATCCCATACAACTTGCTGACGTGTTTTCAGATTTATACCTTGATAAACAAATTGATTCTTTAGAACCACTTTTCCAATAGACTCAACATTAACGTGACGAAGCTGGACATAGCTGGCAATGTCTGGATGAAAAGTCATTGATCTGTTAAAAAGCAAATTGCTGAGTAATTCATGCTCATTTTCGTAAGCAGTGGACTTAAATCCATAAGGTGGAAAACACCCAGCCATTCGTCCATATGTGTATATTTGTTCAGTTTCCCATTTAAACACCAATCCTTCAATTGCCTCCTGAATAAATGTAAGTGTACGAACAGAACCATGTTCAAACCAAGAGTAATTATTAGCAAACAAAAAAACTGATGCCGGAATTGGTCTTTTTCCAACATCATAGTTATTATGGTAACTCAATATTTCCTTTTCTGAGCGAATGGAATTCGGAATTACCATACAGTTGCTAAAAGAAAGGGGCCGAAAAAAACATTGAAGAGGATAACAAGTTTGACTTAAATTGCGCTGATCAAACGGTGAAAGAAACTGGCTGATCACTTCAAAAATTTCAATCGGGAGTAAGTTTATATTAGACATTGTTTTTTATTATGAAATTTCCAGAAAAAAGAACTTGAATTATTAAAAAAAATATGAAATATATCAAACTGAATAAAAAAAAATATGAAAAATGCTTCTAGTTTAATACTGATATAAGATATTTACAAGTCTCTTCTAAATTTTTTGATGTTTCCTTTTTTATAAAAATAAAAACAGACCTTTGTTAATGTTAATTATTGTTACTATATTTTGTAGATCGACCTGATGTTATGCATGAATATAAAAAAATTAATTTTTCTTTTTATAGCTGTTACAAAAAATTAAAAAATAACAATAATTTATTCAGAATCTTGTGGATTTTCAAAATAACGAATGGCAATCGCTAAGTATATACGATGTTGTTTACATCTTGTTGAAAGGTGTCGCCGAAACCCAGATCGCAATCGCTCCAAACTACCACAATGTAAACACTTGATATATTGATCGGGATTGTCGCCTTTAGAAGCTAATTTTTGGTACTCTGCATCACTATTATTAAGAGATAAAGTGCGAAAATAAATGCGTTCAATAGATTTCCCACTTGGAGTTAAATTTTGATCATAATCTAATGATGGTGGGTACTCATGAAGTCGATGAAAATAGTGCTTATATATGTAGAGCCGCAGGGAGTCATAATATTTTAGTACTTGGGGCTTGGGTTTTTTGGTAGATCCTAATACATCTAGAGGTTCGTTTTCAGCCATTTTGGAAATTATAGACGTAGTAATTTCTTGATATTCTAAAAGTAACAATAAGTTAGAAGCGAAGTTTGCAGAGATAAAAACTTACCATTCTTGGAAGGAAAAGCGTGAATTATTTCAGAACGCCGTGGAAGACTATGGGGAATTATTGGACTTATTGCCAGTGCATTATACAAGCTTGGGCTTAGTTGAGAATCTGCAGGATCGAGATGTTGAATCACAACTTTGTTGATGCCAATGGTTTTACGCAAATGCGATACGATTTGACTGGAAACTTTAAGAGGAAACTCTTGAGAAGATATCACATGAATTGCTTTTAAACCTGCTTCATCAATCTCTTTATTATTTTTCTCTGGGATTGCTAATTTTTTGCTTCCCTTTTCTTCGTTTTTTGAATCGTGTTTCTTGAGCTGTGGTACAATAGCAAGAGTATTTGAAAGCTTGAGTGTGCTACCCCACTGTGAGTGTGTATAAAATGGTAAATCGCCAACAATATACGTTAACTCTTGTTTATCGATTTTATCACAGTCGATCATAATTTTGTCTATCATGGCCTGGTGAAATAAACGATGCAAGAATATGTAAACTGTTGTACATGGGTTGTCCATTTTCTCCGTGATATGATTGATAAGCAAAAACTATTGAACTATAGTGGGGGCGGGGTACTACTATGATAAAATTTGGTGGTAATTTCCTTATTTTTTCTCTTGATAAAAGATGAGTTCGAATATTTCGCTCAAAATATAAGGATATTGATATTCAACCAAAGTTTTTAAACGAGAAAAAAAAACAAATTTCTTAAACTTTTGAACTCTCAAAAGTTTTTTTTTTTTTCATATTTGTATTGGTGGTTTAGATGGCAATTTTGGTAAATGAGGGGTATTGTAAGAGACAAAAAAAAAAGACAAGGTCTGTTGTCCGCACCATTGGTCGTGAAGCCCCTAACCCTGGAAAAAGATGACCCTGGATGTTGACAATTTAAAAAAAATAAAAATTCAAAAAAACTACTCGGCAACGGGGAATTGAACCCCGGTCCCCCGCGAGCTAAACATATGCTTGACAGGCGGAAATTCTAGCCACTAAACTATTGCCGATGAAAAAAATTTAATTTTATAAACTATATACTACAATATTTTTAATTAATATATTAAATTAATCGCTTTTTAGAGAAAATAGTGGGAAAGGGCTGGATGGTGTAAAGGATAACACGTTCGCTCGAAAGCGGAAGATACTGGGTTCGATTCCCAGAATACCCCCTTTTCCTGAGGATGTGTACGGGAGTATACACCTAGACTGAAAAACCATAGGCTACCCTGGTTACAGGAATGCCGACTCTTCCGTACAGTCTAAATAGCCTGCAGGTGATTGCGGGCCGTATCTCTGACGGAAGAGATTAAGAAATACATGGGCGTCCGTGAAGATAAGTGGAAATGGGTTGGGAAGGTTTTGGGACCGACAGACTGGTTCTCCCTGTTCCTCGTAAGCTGGCATCAGGGCCCATCTTCCGGGCTACCGGAGACGCACAGAACAGAAACCACCCGTACTAAAAAGGTACAAATGAAAACCGGCAAGTCACATAGTCAGACAATAAAAGGATAGCGCAGATGCTGATGTTATATAGTTCTATAACCCTTGAATAAAAACAAACAAACAACAACTTTAGAGAAAATAGCACAACTCCTATTGCGGTACTACAAAAGGAAGCTGGTATTATGCCATATAGTATTAGGCTAAAATTTATGGTGGCACGAAAAGCTATTCGTTTACACCTAAATATTAGCAAAACTAATCCTATTAATGGTCATTTGTTAACATTGATTGAGAAATCTCCAATTGCAAAGCTAACCACGCTTTACATGTTGGCGAAAGATGATAGAGACTATATGATTAAAATAGATGAAAAACGAAAATGCAAGAGGGTTGAACCTCTTACACTGAAACAACAACAAAATCAGACGATTGGAATTTTGAAAAAACAAGCAATGGAAGAATGGCAAGAAATGTATTGGAACAGCAGTAAGGATCTGTGGTATCATAATATCACAGTGGAGTCGAAATGTACTGATAATCTTTCCAAAATGGTTACGGGAGTGATCATGAAGAAAGATAGTCGAAGGATCTTGAGTAATATTACTCAATTTCGCACAGGCCATGGCAACTTTGGCGCATGGTTTAAAAAGTTTGGAATTGAAAAGGATAGTTACAACTGCAAATGTGGAGAGCTGGAAACAGTTCATCACATTTTAGTTGAGTGTCCTTTGCTTGAAGAGGAAAGAAAAGGACTGAAACGGATATCTCCAGAGATGGACATGTCGACTCTCTTAAACAGTTTAACTGGCTTACAAGAGATTGTAAGCTTTATCTCTGCTTGGAGGGATTAAGAAATACAATTACAGCGTTGATGAAGACAAGTGGAGATAGGTTGGGAAGGTTTGGTTATTTTAACCCCCTGTTCCTCGTAAGCTGGCATCAGGACTTATTTTCGGGCTGTTGGAGATGCAATGTTGAAGCCAAAATTAAAAGTTTATTATCAAAATGAAAAAATATATAGTATGGACAAGAAGGATAGTTTGTTTGTTTGTTTGTTTGTTTTTATTCAAGGGTTATAGAACTATATAACATCAGCATCTGCGCTATCCTTTTATTGTCTGACTATGTGACTTGCCGGTTTTCATTTGTACCTTTTTAGTACGGGTGGTTTCTGTTCTGTGCGTCTCCGGTAGCCCGGATGATGGGCCCTGATGCCAGCTTACGAGGAACAGGGAGAACCAGTCTGTCGGTCCCAAAACCTTCCCAACCCATTTCCACTTATCTTCACGGACGCCCATGTATTTCTTAATCTCTTCCGTCAGAGATACGGCCCGCAATCACCTGCAGGCTATTTAGACTGTACGGAAGAGTCGGCATTCCTGTAACCAGGGTAGCCTATGGTTTTCAGTCTAGGTGTATACTCCCGTACACATCCTCAGGAAAAGGGGGTATTCTGGGAATCGAACCCAGTATCTTCCGCTTTCGAGCGAACGTGTTATCCTTTACACCATCCAGCCCTTTCCCCTCAAGAAGGATAGCGCAGATGCTGATGTTATATAATTCTATAACCCTTGAATAAAAACAAACAAACAGAGATAAGTTAAAAAAATTTATGCTTTAACCCTCTGTTTTTGATAAGCTGGAATCAGGACTTATTTTTGGGTTGTTGGAGATATAATATTGAAGTCAAATTGGAAGTATAGTGAAAACGGAAAGTTATATAACAGGGGGAAAAAAAGATGGCATTGATTTTATGTGATTCAATAACCTTTAATAAAAGCAAATATAATCAAGATTTACTTCAATAATTTTATACGCTTTAAAAAATTAATTATTTTTAAAAAATACAAGGTTGTATTTACATTTCGTCCTGAGATATTTGATCTTTTAATCTAGATTTTTATCTAACCTTTATGGCAAATTTCATTAATCAGCAAATGATTCCCTTAACTTCTCTGTAAGGCAAGTTTTCCTCGGATTTATAAAAAAAAATTCTCAATACTGTTACAGTATTTTGGTTTTTAAGAAACTTGTTTCTGGTTTAAATTTGTTTTAAAGCAAAAAAACTTAAAAAAGTCAATTGATGCTTTACTTCTCAGCAATTATTTAATATAGCTAAAGTATCTGTTTTTTCCCTCTAGCTTAAGCTAAAAAACTTTATTCGATTTTCAACGGCTTTACTTTGACACATCTTCGGACTTCACTTGGCCATAATACAAAGTTTGATTGCAAATATAATTTGCGCTTTTTTTTTTTGTTGAACCTTCTGATGGTAGCAAGTTTGTGGAGAAATATAAATGAGAGATTATTTCTTTTCATCTGTGTTTTTCTATTTCTTTATTTAAACACCAAAAATTATATCCTTTTTTTATTTATCAATATGGTATATCCAGAAACTTTTCAGGCTGTTGGAGTTGTTGACTACGACGATTATCACAACCCTAAGCGATTCGAATACAAACCACAGAAATTCCGCGATTATGATGTGGATGTCAAAATTGAAGCCTGTGGTGTTTGCGGTTCGGACATTCATGCTGCAAGCGGTAATTGGGGTCGTCCCTATGCCCCGGTTGCTGTTGGTCATGAGATCATTGGCACAATTGTTAAAATTGGGCCTAAGGCCAAGTCCGGTCTTAAAATTGGTGACAGGGTTGGTATAGGTGCTCAATGTGATTGTGATAGCACTTGCTCTGCTTGCAAAGATAATACGGAGCAGTACTGTGAAAATTCTGTGGGGACATACTTTGGTACTTACAAAGAGTCTGGGCTCCATACAATTGGAGGAAACGCATCACATATTCGCGTCAATTCAAAGCTTGCTTTTAAAATTCCTGATGATTTAGAAACCAAGTATGTTGCACCTCTTTTGTGTGGTGGTATCACTGGATTTAGCCCTTTGCTTAAGAATAATGTCAAGAAAGGCACAAAAGTGGGTATCATTGGCATTGGTGGTATTGGCCACATGACCATTCTATTCGCAAAGGCATTAGGGGCCGAAGTAACAGCTATCTCGCGTGGAAGATCCAAGGAATCTGATGCAAAACAGCTTGGTGCTGATCATTACATTGCCACTTCAGAGCCTGAATCTCTTAAAAAGGCAGTGCGAACTTTGGACCTTATTGTGAGCACAAGCAACTCGTTTTCTCAGACCACATTGACGCCAGTCCTTAAACTGCTAAAAGCATCTGGTACATTTAGTTTCATCACCGCGCCCCCTGAGAAGGAAAAGATGGAGCTTATCCCCATGGAGCTTATCTCTTCTGGATATGGTGTTCAAGGGTCTATGATTGGTTCTCCAAAAAACATAGAGTATATGTTGGACTTTGCAAGCAAACACAAGATAAAACCATGGGTCGAGACCATTGAAATAAATGAAAAGAATCTTGGAGATGCTTGGAAGCGTATGGAGGATGGTGATGTACACTATCGGTTTACAATGGTTGGATACGACAAGTTTTTCAAAAACGCCTGAATGGTAAACAATTGAAAAAATAAGATGAAAAAACTTAAAAATTTTCATTCAAAGTAATTTATGTTAAAATAAGTGACAAGTATTAAACTAGTTAAACAAATATTTACCTTAAATACTATCAATGCTATATAAAAAAAATCATGAAAACTGATATTGACGATTATAAGCTGACCGGTTATATTTGGTAGAAAAAAACAAAAAATGACTAATTTCATTGGTAACGCTTATCAAAATAATATTATGCAAGCTATTTTGCAGTCGTATATTAAATATTTTAGACAATACCATTTTGACAGAAAAAAAAAGACCCAAAAAATTTACAGATTTGCATCTTGATGAAATTCTTTTGACTGAACTAAAAAAAAAAATGGAATAATTCATTTATTAATTAATAATTAATTACTTCATATATCTTAGAGTTTATTTTTTTCTTATTAAGGTTATTTATTAATTTAACTAACTATCATTGTGCTTATTAACATGTTTTCTAAAACACCAACAAAATAACACATTTGTATTCATTGTATTTATTTGAACATTTTAACTGTCAAAAAAATACTTCTAAAATATCTAGAAAAAAGCAAAAAGTTAATTGATTCGATCCAGGATCGAACACAAAATTGTAGTAATAAGGTTTTTAAAATCAATATATACGTGATGAAAAAAAAATAGATAATTAAAAATTGCTTAGAAAAATTAAATTTAATACCATCTGTTCTTTCTAAGCTGGCATTTGGACTCATATTTAAATTGTTGAAAATGCAATTTCAAGGTCAAATTAAAATTTTATTGTAAAAAAAAAAGTATGTATATATATATTAAGAAGAAGAAGGATAGCGCAGATGCAGATGTTATGTTAGAACTAAGTTCTATAGCCTTTGAATAAAAACAAAAAAAAAACAATTGTTTGCAAACAATTATTTATAAAAATTACTTATTTTTAAAGTTTTAATTTTAATCTAAAGTAAATAAATAGTAAATTTAAAATAGTTTGAAATATTTACTATTACTAGTGTTTTAGTTCTCTTGATATCCTTTTTTTTGTAGACTATGGAACTAATTGCTAAATAGATTTTAGCCCTCTAAAGATAGAAAACGTTGAGCCAAAAAGTTAAATCTACAAAACAAAAAAAAAAAGTTCTTTTTAAGGGAATTGTTACTTGCAAGATCATTGAAACCATCTCAACGTTGATATGGTTTTAAAGAATAAAATTCTCTTAGTAAATAGATGCGTTTTAACTCGTTTTGTTTTGTCAGACTTTGAAGCTTCGACAACCAGGGTTTCATGAATTTGTTTGTTAAAAATTTCATATTAAAATATTAAAAAAATTACGTAAAAATTTTTTTTAACATGATTTGGATTAAATATTTGACATTCAGGTAAAGTTCGGGGACTTCAGATTTTAAAAATCTCTTACGAATCTCAACTGGTTTCATAATTATTTGATTTGATTTTAGCTATATAAGTTTTTTTAGAGCAAATTTAGCATTACCAAGCAGATATGCACCCGAATCCAAGACCCGAGTGCTCCGCCAGGAAACCCCAGGAAGCACGACGTGGACGCTTGCTCAGGTTACTTCCCATTAGTAGTTACTATGCCTCATTTGAGGCTAGCCAGCAAAACTTATCTTGCTGTTGCTTGTGCCTAAAGTAGGAACCATTGTGCACAGGTCATTTAAGTTCTCAGCTCTGCCATGCCAACTTTCTTCTCCAGCAATAGTTAAACTGGATGGGGTGGAAGAAATGAAGGAATTTGAAACAAGAGGGAACAAAAGCGACCAAAACATGAAACACCAGTAAGCCAGAAATTTAGAAAAAAACCAGAACCATGGATAGAAAATAAGAAATAAGAGATGCCAAAAAAACCAGAAAATTGAAAATATAAGAAAAGCCAGTGCTATATGATTAAATTAGTTAGAAAGGTTTGTTATATTTATCGAAAAAAAAATTATTGCTGTAGGTGCCGTGGTCGTGGTCGTCGCTGTTGTGAATACCGATATTGAAAATCCTAAATATAAATAAAAATAGAAGAGAAGTTAATTAGCCAAATAAACACACAAGTTCTCAACTTCTACCAAGACTTCTAAAAGACGAGATCAACCAAAGAAGAGATTCTGGAGTCCTCCGTTCCAACAATTGTTCCACCGCAGTTTAAAAAAGCTTTAAGGTCCTTCTCAAGCCCACCTTCAAAAAGCGTGCTGCTATCGTCGGGTTCCTTTCCACTTGCTCATCCACCTTCATTGCCAGAGAAAGATGCTCCAGAGGAGAGACTTTAAAAAACCAAGGAGATCCACCCCAAATCTCACAAGGTATTGAAATATGCATAAACACAAATGAAAAGTGTTTTAAATGGCTCCCAGTTTAAAGAAATTTTTTTGAAAACTCCAGGTCTTGGAGACTTTTGGAGAGAGAACGACTCTATATGGATTGCAAAGAAATGACAGAAACTTAGCAAAAAACCCTCTCCGCATGTTGTCCCAGTGGTCATGGCGCTTGCTGAAAAAAAGCGGCTTAATTACTATTATGATATTGCTGAAATTTAAAGCTCTGAATGTTAATTTTTTGCTTGAAAAAATTCCCCTATGGATTTACTTACGACGTTAATTATTTTTTTATGTTATTTCCTATAATTAGTTTGAATGTTAGCTTCCTTTTTTTCTTCCAGTTTTTTTCTTACGTACCGTGGTAATATTTGAAATATTAAAAGGAATGCTATTGAACCTGTTAGCTCATGAAGCAAATTGTTAAGTTGACTTACCATGCCGTGCTTGTTGTCAATCGCGAAAGTGAGCCGGCTTTTAGTGCATTTAACAAATGATGATAAAAAACTATTTAAAAATACAAGGTAGTTTGGATAGTGATAATAGTGATGATAATAGTGATGATAATAATGATGATAATAATGATGATAATAGTGATGATAATAGTGATGATAATAGTGATGATAATAGTGATGATAATAGAGATGAATGGGTAGAATAAAATGGACAAAGTCAAACAATAATTTTACGTACAACTCATTAATTAATTTTTTTTTACAAAAAACTCGCCTTGTATCATGTTAATTTTTTTTTTTTTTTGAAACGTACCGTGAAAGAGCCATGATGCGCCAGAAATTAAAAATTAAATACTATATCAAAATTCTCATAATTTACTTCTAAATAAAAAAAATACTCTAAAGCTTTCCCTTTGATCCAATTTCGTTAAACAAACCAACAGATTCAATAGCCATTCCAAGGCCAGACTGATAGCCAGTACCTCCAGCACCATAGTTATGAACAATGTACTTATCTTCGTCAAGACGCTCGGTCTCAATGCGTACGCCGCCCTTTCGCGATGGTCTCAGACCAGCAGCTTCACGAACAATCTCAAGTTCATGGATAGTTTTATTCTTGCCAGTAATGGGGTCACGCAACAGCTCAGGGTACAATGCAGTAGCACGGTCGAGAATGTTGAAAGTTTCGTGACCATAAGTGTCACCCGAGTAGTTGCCTTGCTGAAGAAATCCACCAAGAACAATGTGACCAACATTTCCAGTCTTACCAGTGGATCCGGAAACTGTACTGCCAACAGAACCTTCGGCTTGGGTATCAACAAATGAATAAGGGCGAGGAATGATATAAGTTGCAGAGTAAGGACTCCAAATAGCTCTGTTTTCGTTGATATGAGGAGCACGAATCACGACAACCTGGCCACGTGTGGGGTAAACGTCCGTGTCAGCAACTCCGCCGAGAGTTTGTGCACCAATGCCTGTGCAGTTAAAGATGACAGTAGGAGACAGTGGAGACGAAGGGGTTGCGTACTCAAAGGCTTGACCAATGTGGTCAAGCTTTCTGCGGATAAAGGTAGCACCTTGTTGAGAAACATATTTGGCGAGGAATTTAAGAAACATAGGCGAGTTGAAGTTAAAAGTGGTATAAGTCACACCAAAGAGAGCCTTTCCAGGAAGTTCGTTTTTGGGAACAATACGGAGGTCTGGGATATAGCTCTTCAGAGACTCAATTTTGGCATCAGAGGGAAGTTGTGTCTCCCAGTACTCTTCAGTGCGAAGCATGGCCAGGCCGGCCTGGGGTCCATAAAGATCGTGAATTTTGCGCAGATTAATGAAAGAGAGCTTATCATGACGAAGTGCCTTGGGAGAATCCGAAGAAATGCAGGAAAAGTTACCACCGGCCCAAGGGGATGTATAGTTGATGGATTGGTCACCAGGGAGGTATTCAGCAATAAAAACGAGGTCTTGGCCGCGGCCCTGTTGGCATAAGAGGTATCCAGTGTAAAGGCCAATAATACCGGCACTGAAGTGGTCGAGTGTTAGCTGCAGTTTATAATACAGTATCTAGATTGATGCATACCCAACAATAACAATTTTCTCGCCCATTTCGTCTATTTGATCAAAAAAAAGAAAACAAAAAATAAGTGTAGGTTTAAGTGAAAGAGTGGAGAGTTGATTGGAAATGAACATGGAGGATTTTTGTTGCCTTTTATAGCCACTTGCTACCCGGGTTTCTGGTGTGAGTTTCTGTTTTCATTCATAGTCCTGGGCGGCTATCTTTCCAAACAGATAAAAAAAAAAGCACTCAACAATTGGTGGTGGGCCCATTTTTAATCAGCCGAGTGTCCCGATATAAAATAAAAATCAACAAAAGAAAAGAAAGATATTCTACAGAGCAATATTATGGGAAAAGGAATAGCGAAAGAAAACTTTGGAGATTGTATCACTAAAGCATGAACCCAACTGCCAGATTTCGTCTTTAAACGCTCGAGCTCTGCACCAGTCCAGAAAAATATTATAATTTAAACGGTTGCCGCACGTTCGGTACCGTTGATAGCCGTAATATAGGCATACAAATTTTCAATAGCTCTAGATCTTGGGATATTTTTTAAGCTTACCAACATTGCACGCTATCAACAAAATTTAGCTTGAGACCCTTCAATAGTTTTAATAATTCCATTATTGTGTCAATCGTCATAATATATGGGCACCTCTTATTTGCAACTCTAGATTGACTGGCAAAACGAAATTGGAAATTCCAAGTTATAATTTTTTTTTTTGCGAGGTACTCTTTAATTTACGATCTGGTACCCCCCCAAAATTATGGCCTAATCATTCAAGTTAATAGGGTGATCATGTTTTGTTTTAAAAATCTCAAAAAAAGTTAACTGATGATACATCCCATTAATCAAAACCAAGTCACCAACCCTCTTTTTTTTTTTTTTTTTTTTTTTTAACTAAAATAGGTCCCTTTTACTGAAAAAATACAAGTAGGCAATCGGGACAACCTTTAGTGTATCATCAGGAAAAGGGGGATATTCTGGGAATCGAACTCAGTATTTTCTGCAGTCAAGCGAAAGTGTTATATTTTAAACCAACCAGCTCTAAAAAAACCTTTCCATTTGTTTGTTTGTTTGTTTTTATTCAAGGGTTATAGAATTATATAACATCAGCATCTGCGCTATCCTTCTTGTCCATACTATATATTTTTTCATTCTGATAATAAACTTTTAATTTTGGCTTCAACATTGCATCTCCAACAGCCCGAAAATAAGTCCTGATGCCAGCTTACGAGGAACAGGGGGTTAAAAATAACCAAACCTTCCCAACCTATCTCCACTTGTCTTCATCAACGCTGTAATTGTATTTCTTAATCCCTCCAAGCAGAGATAAAGCTTACAATCTCTTGTAAGCCAGTTAAACTGTTTAAGAGAGTCGACATGTCCATCTCTGGAGATATCCGTTTCAGTCCTTTTCTTTCCTCTTCAAGCAAAGGACACTCAACTAAAATGTGATGAACTGTTTCCAGCTCTCCACATTTGCAGTTGTAACTATCCTTTTCAATTCCAAACTTTTTAAACCATGCGCCAAAGTTGCCATGGCCTGTGCGAAACTGAGTAATATTACTCAAGATCCTTCGACAAAATTTGTTTGTTTGTTTGTTTTTATTCAAGGGTTATAGAATTATATAACATCAGCAACTGCGCTATCCTTCTCCTTCGACAAAAAAAACCTTTCCAAAATATTTACAGTGGTTTAGGTTTTTAATAGGTAGTCTTTTATACAATAATTTATATCACGTGATATCAATCTATTAGGCTCGATGGTTTAGTGGTATAATTCTCGCTTAGGGTTACTAAGCAATTTGCGAGAGGTCCCGGGTTCAATTCCCGGTTGAGCCCGTTTCTTTTTATATTTTTTTTTAGCTCGCCTTTTGAAAAGCTAGCGAATTGCTCTATTGAATTTTTATAAAAAAAATGATGAGAAACTCATGCTCATATCGTTTGCTTAGATTAAAACAGAAATACAATTAAATTCTATATCCTTCAAAATAAAGTGTTCAAAAACCACATGTGATAAATTGAACCGCAATGAAGGCTGACTTTTGCTTCTTAAAGATGTACGTTATCGGTATTCTCTAATTATTACCTGCCATTTTGCTAGGCCCCAATTTCATTTTTGCTTGAATAGATGACGTCACAGTAAATGCCAATCTGTCTCTGAAAAATCATGTTCACTGTTATGATTTGTGTGGAATCTCTGTTAACAGAGACCTCAACGGTGCCAGAAACTTTCTAATAAAGTGTTTGGTTTCCTCCAGTTAATGTTTATTTCAAAATATAAGTGTACGTCCATGTTCCTTTAAAGGGGTCGGCCATTTTATCGTACATTTTCATGAACGATGTTCTTCCATAATCTTTAAATAAATCCTTAGAGCAGTTCAAATTAAAATTAAAAATACACTTAAAATATATAATTATATTATAAAGAAAATTATGCAGAAAGTTGATCTTTTCTAACATTCAAATCTCGTTTAATAGCAATGTCTGTGTAATCTTCTCGTGATTCCAGTACAAGACCTTTCTCATTTGCCAAGTGAAGTAGCGAGATAAAGCAAAAGCTAGTTGAAATATCTTGAAGCTGCCGGCCCTGATATATTGTGTCTAAGTTTTTCATCATTGAAGAAAACATGCGCTCTTCGTGGTGGATAGAAGGTGACTTTTCTGGAGGTGGCAAACTTTCTTCTTCTGTTTCAATTTCCATTTCTTCATTATTGCTGGCTTCATCGAGATCCAATAATTTCCAAAAGTTATCTTTTAGACGCTTTAGATCTACTCGTTTGGCTGACCGGGCATATGGAACGTATTCTGGTCGAGCCCGCACACTTCCCAATAAGTCTATACGGGTACCATCCAGTCCAACACTTCCCAGTCTTTCATCACCATTAGAACCAAAAGGATCAGCCTGTGTGGCGTCTGGGAATGTGTTTTCATCCATATCGTCGTCCCCATAGTCGCCACCGTAATCATTGTCATCATCGTCTCCACCATCATTATCAAATGCCGGAAATGCATCGTCTCCAAAGCTTGGATGGATATCAGTTTGACCATTTTCATTCATATGACCAGCAAAAAAATTTTCATCAATGAAATCATCTGGCTTCGGTAAGCCTTCGGCATCAACGTTCTTATCACCAATTGAATCAATGTGAACACTAACCTCAGTGACACTGTTATTTTTGCGAAAAAGAGTTGCCTTTGGCTTGTAAAAAAGATGAATCAAATCATCAGACTGGAAATGCATATCTTCTGGCAAAAGGTTTGTAGTAATGTTGCGTTGATTTCGTGGAATATATATCCGGCTTTCACCAGAAATAAAAATGTCATCATCCATAACATCCTGGTCGTTTAGCATATCAATGGTCATGATCTCTTTTCGTCTTCGAACTTTTTTCTTTCCATCTGTTGTGACAGGAGGCGCTGGTTCTTCAGAACCTAGTTGCAATGGGTCTATACCATCCAAAGCTTCTTCCTGAATCTCTTCAATAGGTTTTGGAGCTACCGCATCGGGTTCCTGGGGATTTTGATCAACGCAAATAAGATTCTTTACTTTTTGAATTTTCCAGTGAACTGGGCCAGCCCAGTTAGACTTTAAGTTTTCATCAAAGTATGCCATAATCTGAGTAAAAGCTTCCTGTCCTTTTTCGCCGGAGACTTCATTGGCCTTTTCATTGATCTGTTGGGGTTCTTCCATGTCAACATCATCATTAATATTCTTTTGAGTCGGTACATCTGGCTCGCCAAAAGTGACTTCTCCATCAACTTCAGGGTCTATCAATCCAAATGCACCTATATCACCATCATCGTCGTCATCATTGCTACCATAACCACCGTCATAGTCACCCCCATAATCATTATCATAATCACCACCATAGTCACCGCCTAATTCGTTTTCACCGCTATTCTGGTTTTCTTGTCCCACATGCTCTGATCCATTATTGGGCTGTGTTGCAGCTAATTTTTGCTGAATAAATGCTGCACCGTCTACTATGTCATCATCGTCATCTTCATGAGAGTACTGTTGCTGGTTTTCTGAAGGAAGTGTCGAAGAAATTGATGTGCTTATACTTGTTTGCATCATTCTTCTTTGCTGCTCTATGCGATCAGCTTCTTCCATTTGTAGCGTCTCCACGTCAGGTATAATAGAAACAGAGTTAGATGGGTCCTTGACAATCTCTTCCAAACGAGGTAAAGATGGACAAACGCTCATCTCATTAAGCTCTTCTATATCAGGGAAAAATCGCTCTCGGAGAAGATCTAAATCAATTTGAATGACATTTTTTTGAGATTTTAGCGTTTCTTGTGCTGTGGGTATTTGTGTGTCTGGTGGGGGCATTGCTGTATTTGATTCTTTCTCTGCATCTCCATTTGCATCACTTTGTCCATCAAAAACGACGCGACCGGTTCCATCAATGCTCAAACTGTTTAATAATAGACTATGGGCTCCACCCTCGTTAAAATCTGCCATGACTTTACGAAAAAGTGGATCGACAGCAAGCTCAAGCTCAAGTTTCTTGGCCTTGATTTCAGAAAAATCCTTAGCAAGTGTTGACTCTCCTCTGTTTCGTTTTCGAGATTTTTGTCTTGATTCAACAATATCACCTTCATTTTCATCTTCCTGATTCTTTCCATCCTTTTTTCCGTTTCCAGATTGCTCAGAAAGACCACTTAAAAGTTTTGTAGTCTCTGAAGACACTGAGTCAACACGCGACGTATAAATTTTAACACACCCATCAAGGGTAAATGAAGCCTTTTGAAAGTTAATTCCATCTCCTTCTTTGAGTACTGACATGTCATGGAAGTAATCAATTAGTTGATAATTCCACGAGTTACTTTCTGTAATCTTATTGTTTTTGACAAGATTCATCACATCTTCAAAACTAGCCATAATAGGAACGGTCCTGAATCCTGGAGAATCAGCAGCAGAAAACACTGGGCCTGGTGTAGCTGAGTTCCGCATTGGTGTCGCATTTACATTTCGATTTCCAAGACCTAATGACTGACGACGTGGGTCATTGGTAGGCCTATTAACGCGTCGACTGCGTTTTTCATTTTCATCGTCATTAAACTGTCCATCATATTCCTTTCCTATTTCATCGCGCATAGATCGGCGCCTATTATTTGACTTTGAATTATTTATAGGAGGCATTTTCTTTAAGGTATTATAATAAGAAAGTATTGTTGGTGGTGATGATGGTGATGATGGTGGCAGTTTATATCTATTTTTTTACAGAAAAAAAAATAAACACAATATTACTCAGACTTTACCTCAGCAACCCCAAAATACATGTGTGCGGCGGTCCTGACGACTTGAGTTTCAATGAGCTTTTTGATTAGAATTATGAGGCCAGCAGAATAAAATCCTGCCATTATATATATAGACTCTTTTCGCCGTATTTCAAATAAAAAAATATTAAAGTATTTAAATAAAAAATTAAAATGATTGAAATATCTACTTTATTTAAACAGCTAAACCGTCAGACAGCATTAGAATCTATACAGCGTGAAGCAGCAATTGCAGAACCTGCGATACCCTACACAGCTTTGTGCGATAAAAGTGCTAATGAGTGCTCAGAAAAGCAATGCGGTACTTGCAACAAGATCCACTTTGATGCTATTGTTGCTAGCAATACTGATGTTTCTTTGGGAGATTGTTCTTATCTTAATACTTGTTTTAAAGGGAAAAACTGTCGCTATGTGCACTATCACATTTCTCTACCCGATAAAGTGCAGAAAAAGATACAAGAGCAGTCTAAGTTTGATACCTTTATCTACCCATGTGAAGGTGTTATACACAGAAAGGTAAGCGCATTTCATTCAATCATAGCAATGCTAATAATGTACTCAGGAGCTTACCATGCAATGGATCAATATTGATGTTCGAAAGCTGGAATTTTCGGCGTTAGGTCAATTTGCTATTGTTATTGCAGATCGTAAGTACAGCTTTTTTTTTTAAAAAAAAAAAATTAAATACTAACAATAGTAGCACCATGGGATATTCATACAAACACTATCGTAAGTTCAAAAAAAAAAAAAAAAAAAAAAAGTTCAGAAAAAGCTGAATTCTAAATTTAATTAAGAGTCATACTCCGCATATTCATGAAGCAACTTCTGATGAAGACATGCTGCAGTTCCACATGGAGTGTTTGCAGACTGAAGGAGTCTTTTTCTTATGGGTCACAGGCCGTGCCATTGACATTGGGCGTAAGTGTTTGCGCAAGTGGGGTTACAAGCACATTGAGGAGCTGATTTGGTGCAAGACCAACCAGTTAAGTCGAACTATTTGCACAGGCCGTACTGGTCACTGGCTTAACCATTCGAAAGAGCACGTTCTCATGGGGTTAGTATAGCAAGCTGACTGATTTCAAAGTTTTTAACAAATAGAAGAGTCAAAGGTAACCCACAGTGGCTTGCTCGTCGGCTAGATGTTGACGTGATTGTTTCAGGGACCCGTGAAAAGAGCCACAAGCCTGACGAGTTGTATCATATTGCAGAGCGAATGGCTGGGAAGCATTCGCGTAAACTTGAACTATTTGGTGGTTTGCGTAACCTAAGACCGGGTTGGCTAAGTAAGTTAAATTAATTCAATGAAAAAATGTTTTTAACACTCTTTATAGCTATTGGAAATGAATTGGGTAGTACGCATCTGGTAGAGCCTGCGTTGGTTGAAAAGTTTGGTGGAACGGCTTAAAAGGAAAGTGATAGTATTTATTGTTCTACTGTTTGAGTTATATGGCAAAACTTTAATGGGTTTAATCAAGGGTTTTTTTTTTTTTTCTTTTTTTCACCACTACCACCATTATTATAATTTTTTTCTCATCGTAACTCAACTCGTTACACTCACAACGAATGCCAAAATGATGTCTCGACGGGCCCGGATTCGAGCTCCGAGAAAGGTACGAATATTTTTTCATAAATCAATCTATATATAGATATAAATATGTTTTGCTTGAGTATATGTAATGCTAATTCAGATTTAATTTTAGAATCTTACTGTGGACGCCGATTTTGAGTCGTCTTGGCCCATTTTGTCGGCAGCTATTAAAGAAATACACAGGAAAGATGCTTCTCGGCTTTCATTTGAGGAACTATATCGAACAGCATATACTATTGTCATTAGGAAAAACGGAAAGCGGTTGTATGAAGCAGTAAAGGCTGAGGTGCGGGCTCACCTGGAGTCAGAGCTCAATACCCGCCTGCTGCCAAAGTACAAGGGCACTAAACTAAACAAGGCCGATGATGGCAAATCAGCTTCATCAACATCCTCAACTACAACTCTGGCTTCAACTGAACCAAATATTGAGCTTCTTACAGTGACGCTTGGGGTGTGGAACGACCATTGCATCTGCATGCGGATGATTAGCGACATTCTCATGTACCTGGATCGTGTCTATTCCCGCGAAGCCGATGTGCCTTTGATTTATGATGCTGGCTTATCAATATTTCGTGATGTTGTTTTTAATTCTGTTATAGAGAAAGAAATTTATTGCGCTATTCTAGGGCTACTACGCAAAGACCGCGAAGGCATTACCGCTGACCGACCTATTATCAAATCAGTAGTGAGCATGCTTGAGTACCTCCCTGATACAGCCCTCATGGGAAAATCGATTTATATTGGTCGGTTTGAGCCCATTTTATTTGAAGATACGGAAAAGTATTATCAGGATGCCGCCGATAATCTCCTCGTGGCAAACCATAACGCATCAATTTATATTTCTCGAACAAATTCCTGGATCAAAGACGAGAACCAGCGCTGCAACATGTATCTTTTACCGTCATCTTTGTCAAGACTGCAGCTTGGTGTCCAGCGAGTTTTAATTACTGACCGATTCCCCAAGGTTCTTGCTATTCCAGAAAACGGCTTTAAGCACTGGATTGATACGGACCAGTATCAGGATATCAAGACGACCTATGAGCTGTATCAGATGGTCACTAGCACATTTGATGTTTTGAAGGATATTTTACAGGCAGCCGTTATTGAGCGAGGAATGGAGATTAACCAGCGATCGATAGCTGCGCTGCAGGCAGCAAAGCAGGCACGAAGTGGAGGGCATAACAGTACTGAAAAGGGCAAGGGCAAGTCCGATTCTCAGAGCCCGACAGCTATTGCTATCCAATGGGTGGAAATGGTTCTTACATTAAAGGAGAAGTTTGACAAAATAATCAAAGAAAGTCTTTACCAAAATAGCGGTATCAATCAAGCTGTTGATAATAGCTTTGCAGAGTTTATTAACAAGAACAACAAGGTGTCTGAGTATCTTTCACTGTTTATTGATGATAACTTAAAGAAGTCACTCAAGGGTAAGACGGAGATGGAGATTGAAGATACATTGGAGAAGTCGATTGTATTGTTTCGGTTTATCCAAGACAAAGATGTTTTTGAAAACTATTACAAGGCGCATTTGGCCAAGAGATTGCTCAACAGCAAGTCTTTGTCTGACGATATCGAGCGAAGCATGATTGCCAAGCTAAAGATGGAGATTGGTACATCGTTTACTTCAAGACTCGAGGGCATGTTTAAAGACATGAAGATTTCACAAGAGATGATGATTGAATACAAAGAAGAGAATGAAGAGGACGAAACAGTGAAGAGAGCCAAGTCTGAAACACCTGGCACGCCAACTCCTGAGACCAAGAAGGGTCGAGTGGACATTTCTGTGAATGTTTTAACGTCAACATTTTGGCCTGTAAGCGTTGTTTCCTCGCAGGTTAAATGTAATTATCCTGACGTTATTGAACAAGAGCGGCTTCGGTTTGAGCGGTTTTACTTAAAACGACATACTGGACGAAAACTTGCATGGAATTCTGCACTGGGAACCGCGGATGTTAAGGTGAGGTTTGCAAAGAGAGTGCATGAAATCAACATGCCGACGCTAGCAATGATTATTCTGCTGCAGTTTACAGAGATGACCGATCCCGTTGGACTGACTTTTGAGCAGTTGTACGAAGCAACAAACATCTCTAAACCGGATTTAGTAAGGCATCTGCAATCGCTGGCTGTTGCTCCTCGGACTCGTATTTTGCGTAAAGTACCTATGTCCAAAGATGTAAAGCCTAGTGATAAATTCTTCTTTAACAACAAGTTTGAGTCATCAATGACACGATTCAAGGTGCTAGCTGTGTCATCATCAAGCAAGGTGGAAACGGATTCAGAGAAAAAAGAGACGCTGGCTAAGGTGGGCCAAACACGCAAGTACGAGGTGGATGCAGCTATTGTGAGAGTTATGAAGACACGTAAGCGAATGGATCATGGAATGCTTGTGCAAGATGTGATTTCACAGCTCAAGCAACGGTTCAAGGCTGATCAGGCTCTCATCAAGTCTCGAATTGACAACTTGCTTGAGCGTGAGTACCTAGAACGGGACCCAGATGAGCGACAAATTTACAACTATCTTGCTTAAGGAATGAAACAAACTAGGGGGGAAAAAAAGAATAAAAAAAATACGTGCATTCAAATAAATAAAAAAATAAAAATATATTATAAAAACAGAGACCCGTGTCATAAAAAAATTAGCTTATAAATGATTAAAATGGATTTGACATTCTGCGACTGCTTGCGCGCTGTTGAAGTCGGTCGCGGCGAAAGGCTTGCAAAAAGCTTACTCGTTGAGTTTTCCAAGTATCCTCAAGACCAGAAAGTTTGTATTGAACACGCATAAAACGGTGCCAAGATGGATGCGCAGTCCAGGGATGCGCAGCCCATGGCCGACCGCATTTGTCAAAAGAAAAGTCTTGGTGAAAAAAAACTGTTGCGGGTTGTTTGACTGCATGAACACGTGCGCGCAATCGAGCTTCAGGAGATGTTGCAACGACTTTGGGAGAAGTAGGTGAGGGATAGTAAAAGTCTGCGGGCCTGCGACGTGGCGATGTAGACGGTGTATATGGTGAACTTTTGTTGTGGGTATCTTTATGATTATCTTCATATTCTACATCTTCGTCATCGTCATCGTCCTCAAAAACCTTAGTGTTGAGACAAACGTTTTCATAGATAGTTGGAAATGTGTGGCGCTGCACAAGGTTAGGGCGGGATTCCAGCAAACCACCAAAAGAGTATGCACGACCAGGTTGCTGTCGTTGCTCTTTAGGAGTATAAAGAGAGGACGGTGAAACCGTTACAGAAGCGGATCGACGACGGCAAGTACAATATGACCCTGAAGAAAGCCTACGGTGTGAAACAAAGTACTGGTATGCTCGTGACGGACTTTGTTGAAGAAGTTTGAGCAAATCTTCATCATCATCTTGAGGAGTTGTAGGAACAAAGGCTGATGCCATACTGTGTCTCCGACGAGGAGAAGCCTCTAACGGTGCCATGGGTCTATCTGAGTCATAAGAAACATATGAATCTAAAGACTGAGAGGGCGCCAGCGCATTCGTTGAGTCCTTAGAGTTATTGTAGTATTCATGGCCATCACGATCATCATCGTCAACTGAATTTTCATTTTGGTCTACAGTTTGAAAAAAGTTGCGAATTCGCTGCTGAAGGAAAGATTCTCTGCGTGTTTTTCTCAAAAGTTTAGCTTGATTTTAAGTTAGCAAATTTAGAAAAAAAGAGCTATAAAAAATACCCACCATAGTGAGCATCTGAAGAAACACGGTCATTTCGTCGAGCCGAAAGGATCCAAGAGTTCAAAGAAGATGGGATAGAGGGAAGAATGTGGGGGTTGCGGCGCACACGGTTGGTTACTGAGGGAAGGAAATTTGGTGGGTCAGAAGTTGCCATGGTAGGTTGCAAAAAAAAAAAAAGAAAGAAAATTAAAGGGTATCTTAAGGGTATTTGGGGTTCTGTGGGTATCAAATAAGAGCAGCTACATAGGGCTTTTCAATGGAATTTTAATGATGTTTTGAAAGCAAAAAAAAAAAAAAATTAGCAAATTCAAGGTGGTGATGTTAAAAGGTGTGAAGGGTTTTGAGTGGGGATTGCTCACTGCGTTTTAATGGTGGTTTGTAGGGAGAAAAAAAAAAAGATTAGGCTTCAATCAAGAGTTTATTAACTAATTAGTTATAAGTTATATTAATTAGTCATATTTAAGTAATCTTTAATTTAATAATTACATCATGTGATTTAATGTAAGCGGAAAAACAAAAATTCGGATAATTTCCGGTTTACGTAATTTTAATAAATTAATAGCCAGTTATTTTACTTTATATTAATTATATTAATTAATATATACAATTTTATTATTATGAAATGAAGATCTTCCCCTTTTAGTTTAATTTATTTTGTTTTTTTTTTTTGCCAGCTTTTAATTTTTTCCTCTCTTCTTCCCTTCAAGAACTCAACATCCAATCCAAAACCCTTCATCAATCTAACAATGGGCGTCTTCTTACGGAAGAGTGCGCTTCCAGGCCTCAAGAACTACAAGTATTCATCTGTAGATCACTCGCTGGTGTCTCGGTATATTTTGAAACCTTTCTGGACGAACTTTGTCAAGATCTTCCCGCTATGGCTGGCACCCAATCTTGTCACCCTTATTGGATTTAGCTTCATTGTCATTAACTTTATCACCATGCTTTGGGTGAACCCAGGTCTTGATACTGTTAGCAGTCCTTGGGTTTATGTTTCCTATGGTATTGGCCTTTTTCTTTACCAGACTTTTGATGCTGTTGATGGCCAGCAAGCGTAAGTTTAACCTTTTATATTCTTATCTAAAGTTTCACTAACACAACAAAAAAAAAGCCGCCGAACCGGTCAAAGCAGCCCCTTGGGCGAATTGTTCGATCATTGTAAGTACATTAAAGAAAAACACCGCAAATAGATATCTAACCTTTAAAGGTGTTGATGCAATTAACACCACTCTTGGAACTCTCATCTTTGCTTCAGCCGTCAACATGGGCTACGGCTGGCCACTCTTTATTTCTCAATTTGCTACTCTCTCCAACTTCTATCTCAGCACGTGGGAGGAATATCACACAGGCATGCTTTACCTCTCTGCATTTTCAGGCCCTGTTGAAGGCATTCTCATCATTGTTGGTCTTGATTTTTTTATTGCATTTCAAGGCGGCCCTGAACTTTTCCATAGTAATGTTATTGAACTTTTTGGGCAACAGGCGACCGAGTTTTTGGATCTTACTTTTGGCGAGGACTCTCCCGCTACAACATTTATCTCGAAACTTAATGTGATTGATATTTATATGGGAGTTGCTGCTGTTGCATTGCTTTTTAACATTCTATCGGCAACAGGAAACGTTTTGGTTTCATGCAAAAAGTCAGGCAAACCTCTCGGGTCCGCTCTTGGAGGCACTGTTCCTTACTTAGCTTTTTACGCTACTCTGGCTGCATGGGCCGCTATGGCACCAATTGTCATTCAAACTTATCTTTTGCTGCCTTTTTCAATTTCCACAGGTGCCATTGTCGCACTCAGCGTTGGTCGCATTATTACTGCTCACGTCACTTCATCTCCTTTCCCCACAGTTTCTGCACCCATGTTTGTCCCGGCCATTGCCATTGTTGTCAACTTGCTGGCAAGCAACAATATTCTATTTGACCATTGGAACCTTGATATTACTAATGCAGCACTTGTTTGGTTATCCCTTGGCGCATCAATTGCTACCTACGGGTTTTTTGTTGCGGAGCTTATTATTGAAATCACAACTTACTTGGACATTGGGTGTCTCTACATTAAATATCCCAAGGTTACCCCAGAAAGCAAAACCAAATAGATTTATTCTTTAGATTTTTATTATTTTTTTTTTTTTATTTTGCAAAAAATTCCATCATTCTATTATGTACATTTCATTTTGGAAAAATATCAGGACGTTATATATAAAAAATTCCGGGGAGTTCATTTTAAATTTTCTTCTTTTTCATTAGGTCATCACTAGTAACAGCCTTTAAGCCACGGGAGCTTGCTGGAATCCGCTTTCTGCACCAGGAGCAAGCATCTCATTGGTAGATTGGGTGAGTCTCATCTCCTTTTCCATTTCAATCAGTTGTTGCTCGCTAATGACCGAGAGCGTCAGTGGGACACCCAACAGCAGAGCGGATGTGGTAACAACCCACAAAGCCTTGCCGGTAAACGAAAAGGTAGTGCTGACGAGTGTGTTAACCACGCTGCTGACAGAACCCACAACATTGCGGTAAGCAGGAGGGACAACAGCCTTCAGGGCAATGATGCGTTCAGCCAAGGTCTCATCGAATACATCCTCCTCATATTCGTCATCTTCTTCGTCATCTTCTTCGTCATCCTCGTCTTCATCCTCGTCAACATCTTCAACTGTAGGCTTTCTAGCGGTAGGCTTTTCGGTCTCAGATTCGCCGTCAGTATCCTCAAAGTCATCGTCATTTTCTTCGGCAGCAGCTTCTTCGTCAATTAGTTCCTCAACGACCTCCTCAAGGGCTTCACCAAGGGCTTCTTCAACAGCCTCTTCAAGGGCTTCTCCAACAAGTTCAGCGGCAGCAGCAGAAACTTCAGCTTGGTGTTCGGCCTGTTCAAACAACTTCTCGGCCTGTTCGTCGTTGATAGGTGTAAGTTCAACCATTGTGATAATGTTTTGATGATTGCTATAGGGTGATGGGAATAATGAGTTTAAAGAAAAAAAAGGGTTTTTGGTGGTGGCGGTGAGTAAATTAATAGAAAAATTTTTCAGTGGAGGTCGTTTTTTGTTTCATTGGCCTGGAAAAAGAATGTATGACATTACATGTTTTGTGGCAAGTAAGAAGATATTCCTATTATAGAAATTTACGACAACGCGGCTCATGTTAGATTTCTCATCAACTTCAAAATATAAAAACGAGAAGTTAATCACTTTTGAACATTTCTTTCTTTTTTTTTTTTCTAAAAGAATTATTATTATATATATATATATATTAAAAAAAATTAATACTAAAATACTAAAAAAAAATAAAAAAATAACTTTTTAAAACTATACCAATTGATATTATACCATGGCTTCTGTTATCAGATATGCAATGGCTTCACCCAAGAAGCAGTATTTTACCGGCACTTGTACTCTTGATCTCTCCTATATCATGCCAAATCTCATTGTCTGTTCAATGCCAACCAACAATTGTATTAAGGGTTGGTATCGCATGTGGCTTGCAGATCTCCTTGTTTTTCTTGATCAAAAGCATGGTTGTAACTGGCGCCTATTTAACTTCCAGGCCGAAAAGTCAGGCTATGGTGATCAGGATGTGTACGGACGAGTTTCACATTTCCCATTTCCAGATCATAACCCTCCTCCTTTTGAGCTTTTTCCTGAAGCTATTAATGCAATCAAACAATATTTAGCTTGCGATACACGCAATGTGGCCGTACTTCATTGCAAAGCGGGTAAGGGTCGCTCAGGATCTATGACATGCGCATTTCTCATGTCAGCATTCCGTTACTCATTTGAAAAGGCGACAGCTCTTTTTACTGAAAACCGTATGCGTACTGCATTTGGCGATGGAATTTCTATTGCTAGTCAGCGCAGATATCTACGATATGTTGAAGACTGGGTTCATGTTTTAGATCAGCAATATTACGTCCCCATTTGCATTCGCATTGATTCGGTTCGGGTATGGCAACCCTATTATCCAGAAATAGACATATCCGTTGCTCATTATACAGAAGGTGGGGCACATATCAATCCTGTTTACACTTTTACCGATGCAGATGTGTCCAAACGTATGCCAGAGTACATAGTATTGGTGCCACAGGGTGGCATTGCCAATGATAATGGTCTTGGGCTTGTTGTTCCAGCCGATGTTCGCTTTTCATTCCAACATAAATTTATGGTTGGTGGTACACTACCAGTATTGCATTCGTCGGCATACATGTGGTTCAATGCTTTCTTTGAAACCTATGGCGGTGCAGATGGTTTTGACTTTTCTCAAACATCAGGATGTGTATCCTTTTTATGGAATGATTTAGATGGGTTCAAAGGTACAAGCAAACGTGGGTCGCCTCTGTTTGAGCGCATTGATATCTTTTGGTCTGTCCTTGAAGGTGCCCCCGCTGATGAGCCACTCCCCGGGACGTGCACAACGACTACGATTACAACATGCACTGAAGCTTCTTAGATTCACATGTGTTTAATTTTTTTGTTTTTTTTTAAACGCTTTTCTTTTGTATTTTTGTGGTAGTGCTATTTAATTAATATTTCCTTTTTATATCTTTATCCCATAAAGGCGCCACCCGCAATGCACAGGTTCCTACTTGTGAATTGTACTTTATACACTGGTGTCTTTTTAGTATTGAAGACAGCCAAATGGTCCGCTGTGACAGGAACTTCCTTGCGTTTGCGACCTTCAAAATCTGCAGCTGCACCGGGTTTTCCAGAAACCCCGCTAATTGATCCACCACTGCGTGTCTTGTCGTTTTTGTCATCGCTAGAATCTGTAGCAGCAGCAGCTGCTGCTGCTGCGGCCGCAGCAACGCCACCGCTTCCTCCACCAGCCGCTAGTGAAGGATCAACATAGGTTTCAATTGGTTCTGGTCCTTGATCGTTCGTGCCACGGCGCACATCCCATACACGAACAGTGCAGTCTGCTCCGGATGAAACAAGAACTGAGCCTTCTTGAGAAAATGCAAGCGAATAGATTGACGAACGTCCATGACCGCGCATAGTTTTTAGACGTAAACCGGATCCAAGATCCCATACGTTGATAACATTGTCTTCTCCAGCAGACGCAAGCCAGCGGCCATCAGGAGACACTGCAGTTGCATTGATAGGACCTGTGTGACCAGTGAATACACGAACTGAGTTTCCACGATTGATATCCCATAAACGGCACGTTTTGTCACTAGAACCTGTAACGACATACATACTGTTTGGATGAAATGAGACTGTATCAACGTCACTAAGATGTCCTGCAAAAATACGCAGAGGATAAATGTGATCTACGCTCCATAAGCGTGCTGTCTGGTCGTGTGAAGCGGTTGCAAAGTAATGACCAAAGGGACCAAAAGATACGTCCCATACAGGGCCAGTATGTCCTTTATACGCGACAAGACCTGTATAGGTGTCCGTTGACCACAAACGCACGGAACGGTCTTCTGAAGATGAGAGTAGGTACCGATTATCTGGTGAAAAACTAAGACCATAAACTGGGCCGGCGTGGCCTACCAATCGTCGTGCAAGCACAGATGTGTCTGGATTCTCGGAAGCAACACCATTCATATCCACGTAGTTATATTCGTCGTCGCGCAATACGCTTTTAAGACGCTTCCCCTTGAGACTCCAAATTTTAATAAAACTGTCTGCAAATCCTGTGGCAACTAGTGACGCATCAGCTGAAAAGGTGAGATTGTTAAGGTCATCGTGTGTATTGTGAAAAGTGTACATGCACACGGAAGGTAAGGCTGTTTGAGTTGTACCAATTGTGATACGATTACGTGAATCTTTGACAGCTTGGATCTCAGCTGCAATATCAGCTGCCCGATATGTAGGTAGCGGTAGCGCAGATCGAAATGGAGAGTCTGACTCTTTTGTGTGCATTTTTTGAAACTCTTTAATGAGCAGATCGCATTCTTGTGGATCGGCCTTGTTTTCATCAGCAATTTCCATTTCCACATCTTTTTCAAAATCCGGGTCAAGAGGCAACCGGCCAAGTTTAAGTTGCTGAGGTCCAGCCTGGGCAGTTGATGAAGAAGAAGAGGAGTCGCTTGGTTTGGTTCCGCTGGCGTTGGGGGTATATGAAACTCCAGGAAGACCTTCCTCAGGGTCCAAAACATACTCTGTTGAGAATCTGCTTGGTCTGGCCGTAGTGATTTTGGCCTCGATATACTGGTTGATGATTCTGATAATTGCAGATCCACCGATATCTTCAATTTCGTGCAAGAAGTACACGAGTAAGTCAAAAGTGGTGCGAGAGACTTTGATGACATACTTGTTGTTTCTGAAGGCCTTTGTAAGCTCATTTTCTTCAATATGGGCAGGAAGTGAAATTCTTGACAAAACAACTAAATCTTGATAATGAAGAGTCGCATGGTCAGCCGCGTTTTCTTCAAAAAAGTCCTTAGCTTGTTTAACGCAGCCCTTGGAAATAAGGTCAAGGTATATATGCACAAAGACAGGGTAGAGAACACGACGCAGCTCAGGCTTGTAAAGATCTAAAGACTTTTCAGTCCAGTCACGCAGTGCAAGGTATGGCCGATCGTGGGTATTGTAAATGTGCTGCTGTTGTGCTTGTGTCGCAACGCTAGGAGCTTTGTCAAGTTTTCGTGCAGAGGCCGCTGCTGCAGCGGCTGCAGCTGAGGTTGGTTTTACAGAAGAGTCAATGGATGAAGAAGCAGGTACTGTCGAAGCTGTTGTTGTTGTTGTTGGTGTTGTAGTAGTGGCAGGAGGACCGTTGGACCCATCGGGGAGATACTTGGGACCTGAAACAGGTCCGCTGGTGACGCGTTTTTCTGGACTCATGGTGGATTTATAGTACGAGTTAAGGCCATTGGGGTAGTAGTTACCAGTTCCAGGCTCTGGCCGTAAGTTGTTCTGAGTTACTGCAGGCGTTGCAATATGTGATGATTCTATACGTGCAGTCGCATCAATGCGTGTGAACCCTGTCTTGTTAAGATGGTCAATGACGGTGCGCGAAACACCAGGCTGCTGAGACGCGCCAGGCCGCTGTTGAGGAGGAGCAGGCGATCCAGCAGTACCCGCAACACCAGGAACTCCTAATGAAGAAGATGTTTGAGAAGTAGATTTCTGCTGCTGCGACTGGGATTGTTGCTGCTGCTGATTTGACATTGTTTTGATTGTTGTTGTGAAAGATGGTGGTAGTGAAATATGATGGTGGTAAAAAAAAAAAAAAAAAATCTTGAAAAAAAAAAAAAATAAATAAATAAAAAGGAAACCTTTCAAAATAATAGGTAATACACGTGACCTCTAATATTATTCTCATAAGACATTAAACTACAAAAGATCCCCCAATCTGACAATGGAAACTTCAATTTATTTATTGCTGCTGACTAGACCGCGTGTGTTTTTTTGCAGCAGCCTCAGCTTCCTTCTCAGCTTCAATCTCAGTAACATAGGTGCTTAAAGATTCTGCGTCAAGAGTTCGAGCCTTTTTACCAGGCTCTAGAACCATGATTTCAATGTTTTTGGCACCAGTCTGGACAACTTCAAGCAAACTCCTGACAGCCAGTTTGATGGTTGCCTCTGTGGAAAGATCAGGCTCATAGCTCTTTTCCAGTAGTTCGCGAACGGTCTTGCTGTTGCGGCCAATGGCATTAGCCTTCCATGCTGAGTAAATACCCGATGGCTCGGTCATGTAGAGCTGAGGGGTTGAGTCATTGGGATCAAATCCAACCACAATAGTGGATACACCAAAGGGTCGAACACCTCCGGATTGGGTGTAGCGTTGTTGGACACCGGCAATGTATTTGGTCATGTACTCAACAGTGGCAGGGTCCTCGACAGTGAGCTTGCGGGATTGGGCCTCGACACGAGCCTTGTCAATAAGAATACGGGCATCTGCATTAAGGCCGGCAAAAGCGAGATAGATATGGTCGTCAAGCTGATTGATCTTGCTAGGAGTTGTTCGTGTATCCTGGAGCTTAAGTGCAGAGCGTTTTTCACAGCCCACGATTACGGCCTCACCGCCCTTTACTGCAACAGCACAAGTTCCTCGCTTAACAGCTTCTAGGGCATATTCAACTTCTGGAGATGTTTGTTAGTCTGTTGTTCATGTTCAATATTGGAAGCGAAAAAAATAAAAATAAACTACAATAACGTACGAAAAACGTGTCCATCGGGACTAAAATATGTTAGTTAAAAAATGAAATAATAATAATAAACAATTGACTTACCTGAAAACAGATAAAGCTCTATCGTAGCCGCTCATTGTGAAAGTAGTTTTTGAAAATTGTAAAAATTGTTGGTGGTTGTTTGATTGAAAGTTAAGGATTGAAAAGCTTTGGTGGTGATGATAGACAAGCTTTGGTGGCGACTAAAGAGTGTGATGTAAGTAATTATGTAATATTACCCGGTATGTTAATAATGGTAAAAAAAAATTAAAAGTTATTTTATGTAACTTTTCTTACTTACCCATTCTCTTTTTTTATTTTTATTTTTTTATTTTTTTGGGAGGGCTTGTGGTCCTTAAAAAATTTAATTAACTGGAAAAAAAAAAAAAAAATTCTTTTCACCTTTTCGATATAACGCACCATGTCCTCACAGCCTGTACGCCCCGAAGGGTCCAATTCAAAACCCGGGAAGGCCCAAAAGAAAAAACAACAGACAAAGTCGGTACCTCACAGAGACCAGTACCAGCGACTTTCGTTTCTTTACCAAGCAGCTGCTCATATGGCTGGTGATCCCAGTACTCAGGCTTTGGCCCGAGTTTATGCGCAGTCTATGAAAGCTGTTGCAAAAAAAAGTGTCCTTCGATTGTAAGTTAAGATTGAGAAAAACTGTTTAATTTTTTTTAATTTTTTTTTAATTTTTTTAATTCTTTTAATTCTTTTAATTTTTTCAATTTTTATTCTAACTTTATTAGATCACCTAATGTCAAACGAACAGTATGTAAAAAATGTCATCGCTTTTTGGCTGAAAATTCAGGCTCAGTGACTACTCGCATAGTCAATGAAAGCACCGCTAATGATCCGCGATGTGATGTTCTTGAAAAGACCTGCGTATGCGGAGTCACTCGGAGGTTTCCTGTCGGTCAGAACCGCAAGTACCGCTTATGGGCCGATTCAGCGCGGGTCTCGTGAGTAAACTCCACATGTGCTTTAACGGGCCAACACGGCTGGCCAATTCTTGTATAGTAAGATTTCATGTGATAAACAATAAAAACAGAATAGGAGGGGGAAGAGGAAGGGAGAAAAAATGCAGTAAAAAAAAATAAAAAAAAAATAAAAAGTCGCAAAATCTAATCCTTTCAACTTATCCAACTTTTTACATTTCAACAAAAAACAAACAAATTCACGATGGACTCATCTGACGGTCTTGTGGCTTCGACAGCTGAAGAAGCTACTGATGCTGCGACTCCTTTACTTCCACCTACCTCCCCCCGCTTTTACCGCTCGTCGCGCCACAGCTCCACCTCCTCCATGTCTTCGTTGGACGACGAGCCTTCCGTCCCTTTTGACCGGCTCACAGTTCTCGATCTATTGGACTCATTTTCTATGGGCACTAAGATTACTCAGAAAATCAACTCTACTGTTCGTAAAAAAGGTGGCGAATTTAAGTCACTAGCCCTTCGTCAGCGCGACCGTGTTTTGAAGGTTCGTGATGACGAGTCAGTAGAACGGTTAAAGCAAAACTTTCTTAAACAGGTGGCGGACTTTGAGGCTCGTCTAGCAAAAGCTACCGTCATATCTATTACAGAAAAGCTTACATTTGCTTTTGGTCTGCTTAACGTTTTTTTTGCTGGGTACATCATTGGTGCTCTGCCAGAATACTTTCATGTTTTTTATACTGCCGAGATGGTTGTTCTTCTTCCAGTGCGCATTTTCACTTATCGATACAAGCAATACACATATTTCCTTGCTGATCTATGTTACTTTGTCAATGCTCTTTGTCTTATTTTTATTTGGGCATTCCCTTCTTCAGAAGCTCTTTTCATTTCTTGCTATGCGCTCACGTTTGGAACGCTCTCCTGGGCTGTAGTGACTTGGCGCAACTCGCTTGTGCTTCACTCCATTGAAAAGACAACCTCTTCGGCAATTCATATTCTTCCTCCAGTTGTCTTCCATGTCATTACCCATATTATTCCAGCAGAATATAAGGCACAACGATTTCCTGGTGCAAATAAGGTGGAGCGCTGGCGCATGGTACAAGGTCTTCTTTGGGCCTCTATAACATACCTTATTTGGCAGTCTCTTTACCATTATTTTATTACTGTCCGCCGTAAAGAAAAGATCAAAGCTGGCAGACTCACAAGTTTCGAGTGGCTTCGAAAATCTTACGCAAACACCCCGCTTGGTCGTTTTGTAAACGGTCTTCCGGAACCATTCCCAGTTTTTGCTTTTACCTTAATCCAATACGGATACCAACTTTCAACCATGCTTTTATGTCCCTTGTGGTATGCGAGCTCACTTCTATCCGGGCTTTTCATGACCTTTATTCTTTTCATTGCTGCCTACAATGGAGCCACATACTACATTGATATTTTTGGTAAACGCTTCCAGAAAGAAATGATTCGTCTACAAGCTGAAGTTGAAAAGTCAAACAGTATCAATGGTATATCTTCGGCTCAATCTGCACCGCCTAGCGCTACATCCAGCCCTGTATTAAATCCTGTCAGACCGCAGAGCGCTAATACTGACTCATTTACTTTGGGAGCTGCTGCTTTGGACCCCTCTGAAGAGACCAGTACAGTCAAGAGCACAGATGCTCTTACAGAAACCTCTAATGCTACCAGCACTTCTGTGGACATAAACCGAAGTTAGAATATTCCCACTGTTCCAATGGTGATGATTCCTATTGGTACCTACTGAATAATCTTTTTTTTTACAGTGATCCTCTTGTTGATTTTGATGGCCTGTGGTTTGTTTATTTGTTTTTGGTATCTGGATTGTTTGCTGCAAGCCAACTCTATTTATGGCACCCAATTGTGGGGCTTAATATTTGATATTCTTAAGAAAAGAAAAAAAGGCAAGAGGACCTAAACTATAAATGTGAATTTCTATATAGTTTGAATAAATGAAATCAAATGAAATCAAATGAAATCAAATGAAATCAAATGAAATCAAATGAAATCAAATTAAATCAAATTAAATCAAATTAAATCAAATGAAATCAAAATTGACTACCATTAATCCTTGTCTGGGTTTGATCGCACAAACCCATTGTTTTTTTTTTGTCTGCAATTATCCAGAGTATGTTTTAAAGATTATAGTTAAGTACCATTAAGAGAATAGAGAATGTCAGTTATAGATAAGTTGTTTAGAGAATTATTGAAAAAGTTATTATGTTTGTTTTAAATTGCGATTTTTTTTTTACTGTAAGCTTGAATCTAGTAATTTTGAAGTTTTTTTTTTTTGTTTCTGCTATTTTTATATAATGTTCTAGTAATATTTGGGTTGAATAATAGTTAAACCAAATTTTTAATAATAGATTGATTGAAAATTAATAATTTTAATATGTCAATATTCCTTCATGTCTGTCTTTAATGTGTTGTTCTTAGTGGTTATTAGCTGGATCATAATCCAATGTATAAATAAAAAAAAAAAAAATACCTATAATAAAAAAAGAAGAAATTTTACAAAAAAGTAAACAAATATTCAAGTTTTTCAAATTTTATTCAAAAAAAAAAATATATATATACAAGGTAAAAAAACTGTTATCACGTGACCATTTGAAGATTCTTTTTATATAAAACTTGTTTTCTATTTTTCTCAAGCGTTAGTGGTTTAGCGGTAAAATTCGTCGTTGCCATCGACGAGCCCCCGGTTCGACTCCGGGCTGACGCATATATTTTTATTCTTTTTTGATTTTGGCTTGTTTTTTTTCATGTTTGAGCTTGAGTTCTGGGAGGTTTTGTGTGGTTGTGGTGCAAGTAGTGGGGTGGTGTTAAATTTTTATCTTGTATCTTGAAAAAAAAAAAAAAAAAAAAAAAAAAAAAAAAAAAAAAAAAAAAAAAAAAACAAGACTCTGATGACCAATTTGAATTAACTCATAAGATAAATGTGATCAAAAAATAAATTTACCATCTATCAAGATAGAATGTTTTAAGAATAACAAGATGCAATGATTTTTTCAAGAAAATGATATCATGGGATAGATTGGTTCATTCCAAGTTTGGGGATTGATGAATTGTTTTTTTTTTTTTTTCAGAGTATATAGAAAAATAACAAGTTTTTAAACAAGCTAGATAATTGTATCTGGTGATTTGTTTAAAAAAAAAATTGAAGAATATGGATTCCATTTCCTATATAGACAATATCATAAACTGTGGAAGGAGTTTAGTTTGATTCATATATATAATGAATTGAGAAATAATCATTTAATTGGTTTCATATTTAATCATTATTTTTTAATTTTTTTTAAGCTGATTTGTTAAGATAATATCAGTAGTTTTGATTGTAACTAAGAGAATTATTTATTCATCCCCTATTCTATTGGTATTTTTTTTTTCGTCATTATTTTTTAACATCCGTTTCTATTGAGACTTTTTGTAAAGAGTATTAAATAGTTATTGATTTGATATCTACACTTTTTTCTTTTTTTTTTTAATTTAGAGAAAAATCATTATAAAACCTTCAAGCTTTGTAAGAAAAAGAAAAAGGCAATATAATTTCTTTTACTATATACGTCATCTACAAAAAGAATAATGTTAGAATCAATTAATAGTTTCTTGAACAAAAAAAAAAATTTGTATCCTTCTATAAAGTAATTTAGATTTTTCAGTGGACTAGGAATTAGTGATGATGTTAATATTTTTTTTGACGGGTGGGGTCAACATCGATATTGGTATTTAAGAAAAAAAAAAGAAAAAAAAAAAGAAAAAGAAAACTTCCCCAATAAACCTGAGCCTCCCTCTCTTGTTATCCCTTACTGATGTCTTATCAATGCGTTTTTTTTTTTCTTATTTTTAAGGTATATTAAATCCCTAAGAAAAGGGGCTTGGTGATAATAGTAGTGGTATCTCATCAACGTAAAAGAGAAATTCCGTCATAAAATCTGTCATAAAGTCTGTCATAAAAGCATTCAAAAAGTTTTGGTTTAAAGAAGGCTGTCGATTGTAATTGAGACGGTTAGAAAGAAAGAAAGAAAGAAAGAAAAAAAAAGATATCCAAAAAGAGAGTGGCGATTTATGTGTAGCATATGAATTTCAATAGGTCAAAGTGATAAAGAGGCGTTTATGATGTTAATGCTGCTTAAAGTTATAGGAAATAGTAACAAAGAGGCGCAATCTTGAGAGAAAAGTTTATGGGCGGTAGTAAAAAAAAAACAAAAAAAAAAATATAGTCAGAAGAAATCCGGGCATTGCTCTTGATTATGATGATGATGACAATGAATGATTCAAGTCAGAATGTCAAGGATGGTGGCAAAGCAATCAAAAAAAAAAAAAAAAAAAAAAAAAAAAAAGACGTTGGCATTGAAAAACTGGTGGTTGGAGCAACAATATGAATAGTAATAGGATTAAAATACCTGAGATTTGGGGGGGAGGACAAACTGGACTGTGATAGAACAAAGTAGTTTTATTTAAAGTCTACGGTAGGAACAGTTCCGGGATTTAGGAGAGACATTATTTACTTAGAGCATAGAAATTTTTTTTTTTAATATATTTTATTTTATTTTTTTTTTTTTTGTGCTGCAGGGAATTTGGTTGGAAAGTTTCTTGACAGGAATCATGAGAACTTTAATATATATATTTTTTTGGATTTAAATTTTAGCGGTAGCCAATGTAAATTTTCAAAATAAAAAAAGAGTGTATCGTTTAAATATAGCATGCATAAAAAAATAAATATATATATATATATATGGGTTAGGTTAAAAATTTGAGATCCAAACAATCAAAACTTATTTGAGAAGATTTGACAATTTTTAGAGGATGGGGTTGTTAAACTAAACAATTATTTCTATTATATATGGTTTTAAAAGATTTTTTTTTTATGTTTTTGATTGTTTTAAAGGGGTATTTCCCCCAATTTTAGCGATTGAACAAAATTTAATTATTTTATATTTATTAAAAATTTGGACAATTTGAGGCATAACTTGAAGCGTTAGTGGTTTAGCGGTAAAATTCGTCGTTGCCATCGACGAGCCCCCGGTTCGACTCCGGGCTGACGCAAAATATAATACCATTAATATTTTTTTAGTTTACTCATTTATATTAAAAAATTTGTGTCAAACAAAATGCATGATATTAATAGTTTTTTTTTTTAAAACAAAAAAAAAAAAAGGGTTCAATTCCAGATTTCTTCTTTATTGGTTTTTTTTTTTTTTTTTTTTTTATGTTTTACAATTTGAGAATTTTTGCTTACAAAGAGAATTAAGATCCTAGGCGATTATTTGAATGTTGCGTGTGTGTGTGAGTGTGTGTTTTTTTTTCTTTCTAAGACCATCACGCAACGTGTTTTAGTTTCTTTTTTTCTTTTTTTCAACGGTACGTTTAGTTTAAATGGAGATATATATTTTTATTTTGTTTAATTGAATGATATTGATATTGATATTAATGATGATGATGATGATGATGATGATGATGATGATGATGATGATGATGATGATGATGATGATGATGATGATGATGATTAGATAAGAGAGAGCAAGAAAATGATTCTTTTTCAAACACTAATATATTACCAAACAAGGTAAGCATAATGGATTATATAGTAGAGATATACATTATAATAAAATAAAATAAAATAAAAAGCACGGTTAAAAGTTGTAGTTTAAAGTGATCCAAGATCCGGTTTACAAGGGGAAATGGAAGTAAAGTTTAAACCAAAATTCCCACTATCAACCCTTTTTTTTTATCATATAATTATTATAATCAGTGCAAACGAGGCGCAGCAATTTCAACCAAGTAAAAGGCACTATATAGCTTATATATAGCTTATATAGAGCTTTATTATATTCTTTGTTAAATAAATTATCAATAAATCAAATATTAAAAAAATAAATAAAGTGGGTCGTTATTATTATTATTATTTTATTATATAAAACCAAATGTGGTAATTTAATTATATATAAAGAAATTCCCATTGTGATTTGAAAGGCACTTATTTATTTATTTATTTATTTATTTATTTATTTATTTACAAAAATCCAAAAAAAATTAAATGAATGAATACTAGGTCTGACACATCGGCGTGAAACCACAAACCCTAGAAGTTGCCCCCATACTTTGAAATTCTGGGGAAATAGAATAAGAATAAAGACTTAGTAGATAATAAGGATTTTTTTATTTTTTTATTTTTTTATTTTTTCAATTTTTCAATTTTTCAATTTTAAGAATTTTAAGAATTTTAAGAATTTTAAGAATTCCTATTCTCTAATCATAATCAGAATATGCCATGCCAAGGATGATTCAAAAAGCAAGAATTTTTTAAAAATTTTAAAAATTTTAAAAATTTTTAATTTTTTTAATATCATATATAAATTAATAAATTAATAAATAAATAAATAAAAATTGATTCTTTTTTAAAGCATTGTATATATATATATATATATATATATATAAATAAGATATCTTTAAATTCTAATAATTATTAACCAATGATGATAGTTGCTTTATTATAAAAACCTTGAAGTTTGCCACTTTCACAGGCGTCAGTCTATTGTAAGGTTTTTTTTTTTTTTTTTTTTATTTGGGAAAGCCCGTGATTATATAGAAATATTTAAACTCAAGGCAATTCTCAATTATATTTTTTTTTTTTTTTTTTTTTTTCAATTCTTTCATTCTACTAATCTTTTTTACAAAATCAACCCCCCCTAATAAAGAAAAAAATATTATTATTAACAATGGGAATTCCAAGTAATTATCAACAATCATCAGAAACTGAAGGACAATCAGCCACTTCTTCTTCTTCTTCTTCTTCATCGCCACCTCTTTCTGCGTCATCTTCATCAACGTCACTTTCAAGTTTTAATTCTCAAGCAAGTTATTCATCACAATCATCTATTGAATCTAGTTCAGAACCGCAACTTTCACAGGAAGAGGCTGATCGTCTTTATGAAGAAAATATGGAATTAGAATATGCTAAAAGAGAGGGAGGTGCTTAGAAATGAGACAAAATAGCAATCTTAATGAAAATAATGATTTTTTTTTTTTTTTAAATATTAAATGAATAATAAATTGTATTTTAATTGATATCTATATATATAATTGAATTTGTTTTTTGTTTTTGTTTTTTTTTTCTTTTTATTATTGATCAAATCATGATTTATATTTACTCCTTAAAAAAAAAAAAAAAGGTGGCTGTGCTATTATATATATATATATATGAATTTTAAATAAAAAATAAATAAAAAACCTCCCGTACCAAAATACCATCGATTGGTGACCAATCCATAAAGTGTGTATTTTTTCTGCCAAGGCCATTTTATTTTTTATTTAAATAATTTTTTTTATTTTTTTTATTTTTTTTATTTTTTTTATTTAAATAATAATTTATTTTAATTTTTTTTTTTCAAAACTAACCAACCATCTAAGCTTTTTCGCGTTTATATTTTAAAACTTTAAACGTTTAAAAACCACCGTATATATTAAAGATTATATATATAGCGATAATATATCCACCAATCTTTTTTTCTTTCTTTTCTTTCTTACTTTTAAAAAAAAAAAATATTCCCTTTTTTTTTTTTTTTATATTCGTTATAATTTATCTTTATCTATACTTGATATAAATTACAAATTAATTTTTTTTTTTTTTTTTTTTTTTTTTTTTTTTTTTTTTTTTTTTTTTCAAATGGGTAATTCTCAAGACTCTACGTCCTCAAAGGACAGAGTCAAAATTACAATTAATACTATGGTATGTCAAAATTTAAACCGCTCATTTATTTATTTATTTATTTATTTATTTAATAATTCATAATAATAATAATAATAATTTTTTTTTTTTTTTTTTTTTTTTTTTTTTAAATAGAATGATATATCAAATGGCTCTATAGTCGAATACCAACAAGATCAACAACCTTCAACTTCAACTTCATCTCAATCTCAACCTCAACATCCTCGTGAATCTTCAGATTGCCACACATATAATGACTTTCTTCATAAGGCCCAGCATGAACTCGATGAGGAAATAATGCCAAATCCTCTTCAAACCTCCTTTGGGGTTTCATCAGAACAACTCCAACTTTTCCACTCTCTAAAAGATCCATACCTTCTTCCTGCTCTCGGTGGCCTTCATGGTCTCGAATCAAAGCTTCAAGCTGACTTTATCAAAGGTCTCCCATATTACCATGAACCTCTCAACTCGGAATCAAGAAGACAAAGCATCAATCTTACTAACAATCAAACAGACATTGAACAACCTTTCGATTCAAATAAAGCTGTATCTCAACATCACGAAGTCCTTCCAAATAATGATGTAGGAACTTCTTCTGCTTCTTCTCATCCAATTAATAACAGTACCCTTCATGAGCCAGTAACTTTGCAACAACAACAGCAATATCCCATACCCCATCGTAAATCAACTTCCTCGGACCGAAGAAGCTCAACATTGTCGATCCGAGAACAACACATGCTTAGCGCAACTGAACACCCAGACTATCAAAACCGTCTCGCATACTTTGGCTCAAATAAACTCCCGGAACAAAAACCAAAAAGTTTCCTTCAACTTGTCTGGCTGGCCCTTCAAGACAAGGTCCTCATTCTTCTTTCCATTGCTGCCGCAATTTCCCTTGCCATTGGTCTCTATGAAACTTTTGGCCAACCCCCTCAATATGACGAAGATGGAAACCCCAAACCTCGTGTCGAATGGGTAGAGGGTGTTGCAATCATTGCAGCTATCGCAATCGTTTCCCTTGTCGGTGCTGCAAATGACTGGCAAAAGGAGCGTCAATTTGTTAAACTTAACAAGAAAAAGGAAGACCGTCTGGTCCGTTGCACCCGTGGTGGCCACACAACAGAAGTCTCTATTTTCGACATTGTTGTTGGAGACCTTGTCCAACTAGAGCCTGGCGACGTTGTCCCCTGCGACGGTATTTTACTTTCTGGTTACAGTATCAAGTGCGATGAATCATCACTCACTGGTGAGTCTGATACTATCAAAAAGGTCCCCGCTCTTGAGGTGTTAGATAAGCTTAATGCCCATCCTGGTGAAGATGCTCTCAACCCTCGTTCAAAGGGCCTTGACTACTTCATCATATCTGGATCCCGCGTTTTGGAAGGTACAGGTGAGTTTGTTGCTACCGCAGTCGGTACCAAATCCTTTTACGGAAAAACATTAATGTCGCTCCACGTTGATCCTGAAGAAACTCCTTTGCAACAAAAACTTAACGTTATTGCTGAAAATATTGCCAAGATTGGCACACTTGCCGCTGCTGTCATGTTTATCGTCCTCTTTATTCGTTTCCTGGCTCAATTACCAACCTCTACTAAAACTGGATCTGAAAAGGGTGAAGAGTTTATGAACATTTTAATCACTGCAATCACAATCATTGTGGTTGCAGTCCCAGAGGGTCTCCCCCTTGCTGTCACTCTTGCTTTAGCGTTTGCAACCACTCGTATGATTAGAGATAATAACCTTGTTAGAGTTCTCAAAGCTTGTGAGACAATGGGAGGAGCTACAGCTGTTTGCTCTGATAAAACAGGTACTTTAACTCAAAACCGCATGACTGTGGTGGCTGGCACACTGGGTCTAGAATCGAATTTTGAGCTGGTTACTGATAATTCCAAGAATAATGATTCAGAAGAAGAAGAAGAAGAAGAAGAAGTACATTCTCAAGCTTCTCAAGCTTCTCAAGCTTCTCCAACTACCCCAACTCTTTCTATTACTCCACCTCCAGATTCTCCTTCACCTTCTCAGTTTGTTGCTAATTTATCACCAGAAGGCCGTGAATTACTTCTTTCTTCTATTGCTGTCAATACCTCTGCTTTTGAAAATCTTGGTTATGAAGAGGAAGTTGCCGCTAACCAGGCTTCTGAAAGATACATTGGTTCTAAAACTGAAACTGCCATTCTCACATTTGCCTACGATTATCTTAATATGGGTCCTCTCGACGAGGCCCGCTCTCAGTATACTGTTGCACGCGTTTATCCCTTTGATTCAACTAAAAAATTTATGGCTACTGTTATTGAGCTTCCTAACAGATCTGGCTACCGTCTTTTTATCAAGGGTGCTTCTGAAGTTATGCTTTCTGCTTGCTCTTCAATCTTTGATCATGATAAGGTCCGCCCTATTTCTACAAAAGAAATGGATTCTATTAAGAATCGAATTAACGAGTACGCTGCAAAGTCACTTCGTGCTATTGGATTTGTCTATAAAGATTTTGACTGGTCGCCCTCTTGGCCTCCCAAAGATTTTGACGACGAACAACACTTATTGTCTGATATGACATTTCTTTCTGTTGTTGGAATCAAGGACCCTCTTCGTCCTGGTGTAAGCAAGGCCGTTTCCGATTGTCATGCTGCTGGTGTTGTTGTGCGCATGGTTACTGGTGACAATATTATTACCGCACGTGCCATTGCTCGCGACTGCGGCATTTATGAAGAGGGCTCTGATCAAATTGTTATGGAAGGCCCAGTTTTCCGGAAAAAAACTGATAATGAACTTTACCGCATTGCTCCCAAGCTGCGCGTTTTGGCCCGCTCCAGCCCTGATGATAAGCGCAGATTGGTCCAGATTCTTAAGGATATGGGCGAAACCGTAGCTGTTACAGGTGATGGTACCAATGATGCTCCGGCACTTAAGCTTGCCGATGTTGGTTTCTCTATGGGTATTTCTGGTACCGAGGTTGCTCGTGAGGCTTCTGAAATTATTTTGATGGATGATAACTTTAGTAGTATTGTCAAGGCCATCATCTGGGGTCGTACTGTCAATGATGCCGTCAAGAAGTTTTTGCAGTTCCAGCTTACTGTTAACATTACTGCCGTTATTCTCACTTTTGTTTCCGCTGTTGCTTCTTCTGAAAATGAATCTGTTTTGACTGCTGTTCAACTGCTTTGGGTTAACCTTATCATGGATACCTTTGCTGCTCTGGCTTTGGCAACTGATCCTCCAGATCCTAATGTGTTGTATCGTAAGCCAGACGACCGCAAAGCCTCTCTTATCACACCCACCATGTGGAAAATCATTATTGGCGAAGCCATTTACCAGCTTATTGTTTCCTTCACCCTTAACTTTGCCGGTAACAAGTTGTTTCATGCTCATACTGGCAAGGAAATTGTTCGTGTGCACTCTCTTGTTTTCAACACTTTTGTCTGGATGCAATTCTTTAAAATGTTTGTCGCTCGTCGTCTTGATAATAAACTCAACATGTTTGAAGGTATCACGAAAAATTATTATTATATTATCATTTCGTCCATTATTTGCGGTGCTCAAATTCTTATCATGTTTGTTGGTGGTGCTGCTTTCAACATTGAGCACCAAACTCCTGCTATGTGGGGTGTTGCATTACTGTGTGGTTTTGGATCTATCCCTGTTGGTTTGTTTTTGCGTTGTATTCCTGATGAATTACTCATTCGTTATTTCCCCTCTCGCTTTTTCCACTTTCTGGGTCGTGTTTATGAAAAGTGCAAGTTTTGGAAATACTTTTATAAAAGCAAAGATGATTCATCTCCTTCCATTCGTATTCAAGATGACGACGAAGAATCTCGTGTGGACTCGATGCCCAATTATATTTGGCCCGCACCTCTTGAGCAAGTGCGCCAGGAATTAATTCTTCTCAAGTTGCGTGGTGGACGTTGGAATCAAATCAAGTCCAAGCCAAAGGAGTTTATTCATAGTGTATACAAGTCGCTAACTCCAACCGATCCATCATCACCACATTTATCTGATTCTTCGACGCTTCACTCACCGCTATCTGCTATTCCACCACTCGATGAGCCGCCAACTAATACAAACAGTGAAGGATTTTTGCAAGTGCCAGGTGCCCATCGCACGGCTAACGGAAGCAGTGGTAGTGGGTTGAGCTCACCTAACGGTAATCGATCAAGGAGCCGTGGGAGCAGCACAAGCTCAGGATATAGCATTGAGGCTCTTGCTATGGTGCCTAGTTTTGTGGGTGGTGCAATTGCTGGCTGGGGTCCAGAGTTGGATCGTAATTCCACAGCAACTCTGCATAGAACGAACAGTGCAACACCACTGGTTCAACCAGAAGAAAGACGGGAGTAATAATTGGTTATACTTTTTAAAAAAAAAAATTTTTTTTTTTTCATGTTGTATAGTAATAATATATAAAAACTTTTAATGAGTAATAATATCTTTTGAAAATAAAAAATAAAATAAATAAAAAAAAAAGGTCTGTTTGAGAATAAAATGCGGAGAATGAAGAGTTTATATATAATGCAGGAGTTATCGATATTGCAAGGCAGCAGCTTGCAGGTAGTAAGTAGTCTTTACAAGACACAATACAGCATCAAGGCAATTAATTAATTAACTACTACACTTTTGAGCCTAATGATTGATCACTAGATCTTACGTGTTGACATACATGTATTTGAGTTTATTTATTTAATTTTTTTTTTAAGGCAAAGCGATGATCATCTAGAGATCGTCTTGGCCTAGCTCAAGAATTGGCAATTGATAATCCATAATAGATAAAGATAATAGTATAGTATAGTATCATAATTATAATTATGAAAAGAAGTGTTCAATAAAATATAAAACTTCATGATAAAAATAGACACAAGTGAGAGAGAGAGAGAGAAAGAGCTCTATTTTCTTAAAGAGTACAAAGTGTATCTTATGTGGCGAAGATTGCCAATTAATTACGATAATAAGGCACACCCCCCAATTGTTCATTTTTAACAGTTGTTTTAATTTCAATTTCAATCTTAAAAAAAAAAATAAATAAATAAATAAACAAACAAACAAACAATATCAAAATTTCACTTTTATTCACATTTAAGAACATTGTTAGACCGATTAAAAAAAAAAAAAACCCCTCCACTCCCATTTTTAAGTCGTCATTATGATTTTACTAAAGTTGATTTTAATGTGTCTGTTTTTATTTTTTTTTATGTTTTTTTGAATATTTGAATGTAGGCTAAAAGTGATTGACGATGATTATGATGATGATGATGATGATGATGATATTCAATAACTTGTATTGTGAATTACTATTTTGGGAAATTCTTCTATTACATAATCTAACTATTATATTTAGGGCTTTACCCTAATGATTGACATATAGCTTTTAAATTGTTTAGAGTCTCTGTAGTAGTTTTTTAGATTAAATAAAAAAAAAAAAGTGACATTGCATAATAATAAGTAGCCGTACTAATATTTGTAACAATATCTTGTAATAACTCTACTTGAGCCTTGTGAGAAAAAAAAAAATTTTTTTTTGGTGTTGTTTTGGGTATCAATTCGTGAGGCTCACGGGACTGGGTGGAATGGCTTGTGTGTGTGTATATATGTGTATGTGTGCTAGGTGGTTGGTGGCCCACTCACATACATACACACACACACACACACCCACAGAGGGAGACCTACCTACCCTCTCTCTCTCTCTCTCACTTTTTTTTTTCCCCCTTTTTTTTTCCCCCCCTTCGACCACCCAACTCGATACACCCGTCGACCTATACACATACATATCACAATGGCCAAGGTTTCTACTGGTACGTTGAGCTCGATATACTTATTAAAACAAATGAAATACCCTGAGCTTTTGGAAAGAAGATGATATATACGATATATTGGTTGAATGAGATGATGTTGTTGGAATTTTTGATCAAACTACACTAAATGTATTGAAAAAAAAATGGAAAAAAAAAATTTTTTTTCTTCATAATATCAGAGATCAAAATGAAGCGAAAAACTTTTCAACAGTTAAAACACAAACGAATACACATTTTTTTTTTCAGCATGATCTTTTGTCATTTTAAATACCCCCTCCTAATAATCAATACCATGTTACTCTTCTAATGATGCTCTAAATATTTCATCTTTGTTAAAAATCCTTAATACTAACAATTTTTTGTTCATTTTACAGCCGTCTCTAGCTCCCGCAGCAAGGCTCGCAAGGCCCACTTCACTGCTCCTTCCCATGTGAGACGTGTTATTCTGTCTGCTCCTCTGTCCAAGGAGCTCCGTGAGCAGTACAAGGTCCGCTCCCTCCCTGTCCACAAGGACGACGAGGTTCAGGTTGTCCGTGGCTCCCAGAAGGGCCGTGAGGGTAAGATCACCCAGGTCTACAGACTCAAGTGGGCTGTTCAGATTGAGAAGGTCACCAAGGAGAAGTCCAACGCTGCCACCGTCCCCATCAACATCCACCCCTCCAACGTTGTCATCACCAAGCTTTCTGGTGACAAGGACAGAGCTGCTCTCATTGCCGCTAGAGGTGGTGCTGTTGCTCAGGAGTAAATGTGTTTATGTGATGTACCTTATTAAAAAAAATAATATAAACGGAATGACGAAAAAAAATGATAAAAAAGAAAGAAAATTTTTTTTTTTTTTTTTAAATTTACAATCTATGTAGAAATCGTTGGATAGCTATATGATCTTCAGGCCGTCCAAATGTAACATTGTTTAAAGCAAGGTTGAGTGCTTTGCGTAAACTCTTGACAAGACCTTCAAAGTATCTAATGTTTGTATAAAATCGCTCTTCTCGGTCAACAACTAGCGTAACTGCACAATACTTTAAGATTCTTCTTAATGCATTTCGAACGTTTCTAATGTACAATTCCCGTGAGTTACTACTGTCTTCTCCAACAATTGGCAAAAAACACCGGTCACATACTGATTGCAAAAATAAATCGTGGCTTCCAACAACTGCTTGAAATGATAAATATTTTGATTGTCCAGGCTTTACTTCAACAGTTGAAAGCACTTCACGCCCAAGAATTGCAAGCACTGCATCATGAAGATACCCTTGTACTGTTCCAAGAAATATCACAGCTGCATGTGTGGCTCGACAAACACCAGCTGCTGCACTTTCTGGAGATACTACACCTGAAACTCGTCTTCTAGGTGGTGTATTTTTTCTATCAAGAGCCTGGGTCTGTTGTAAAATGCGAAGAGTAGTCAGATTTTCTCCATGTACACGCTGTGCAACACGTGAAGCCCATGCCAACTGCTGAAGTAATGCCCATACACGATGATAAGTTGGTGCGTGGTCTCGAATTACTTCTTTACCTATCCACGGTGTTGGATACGCAACTCGAAGTCGAGCAAGATATGCCAGAGCGCGTCGTGCATTTCCACCACCGTCTTTATCATCATCATCATCATCATCATCATCATCATCATCATCAATCACACTATGGTCACTATCCTCCTCATCATTAGGCCCAATTTCTGTTTGACTAAGAACCAGTAGTTTAGGACACAAATCAGAGTCCACAGTCGAGGCTGCACGCCGCACTGATTCTTCAAATTCGTCTTGTACAAGGTACTTATCTGGTTCTCGCCAGCGTTCTACCGTACTAAATGCCCATGTTTCCAGGTGATCAAACAAATGCTGCGCAAAATCCAAAGCCTGGCTTGCCGCAGAGAACTGTAATGGTGTTGTTTGACTTTGAAGATCAAGCATAAAGTACACAGATATGTACTGTGCAAGAAATTGTGGTAGACTTTTTTTACTACTTTTTGAATATAATTGTGCCATAAGTTCCCGCGTGATGGCTGTGTGGGATTCCTCTGCCCACTGGTTCAAGTTACTTTGGAATCCAGCCCACCATTCCTGTGTGTTTGTTTGTTCTGGTGAGCTAATATCTGGAGGCAACAAATTCGATATAGGTCGACTTTGTACTGCACATTCAATACGAGCGCTTCTATTTACCAATCGCAGTAGCTGAGTCGAAAGTCCGGCTTCGTAAATTTTCTGACATGTTGCACGGTTTAAAAATAAGGGGACATGAGATTCAGTTTCTAAATATTTTTGTTCCCAAAAATATGTGTGTTCTGATGAGGGCTCCTTAACAAATAAGCTGGTGTTTTCTCCTTCTATCCAATCCTGAATTGTATGGCCATAATACCCAAAAGCCTTGTTAAATATTAAAAACAACCGATCGAATGTGTATATTCCTGGAGAAGAAGGTTCCTCATCATGTGAAATTGCCGAGAAAGCAAAGTTAGTAACTCCATAAAGCTCGTCAAGTAGTTTGGAAAATTGTTCGGCTGGAGGTGTGTCTTGAGGACATTCAATAAGGTGTTGTACTATAGGAGTCAAGTGGAGCCATGGTAGTACTACAAGCCGCAGTTGCTCTAAAAACGTAAAGATAGAAACAGCCATGTTTCTGGGATTGCTTCCATTAGAGTAGTCAATAAGATCCACCTCGTACTGGTCCAGAGCCGCGTTGAGATCTTTAAAAACAATGCTTTCAAGAGCCACACAAAATACAGACAATGGTGCGCGATCTATACCTTCGATGTTGTAAACCCTTCGAAGAACATTGACTTCTTTAGTATACTTTGCAATGATCTGTAGAATGCTAAACGTCATTTGCAATGACAGGCCCGTGATTTGTACACCAGGAACAAATGCCAGAGATTTGTTTCCTCGTAATGAAAAAATTGCTTCACGAATGGCTGTTGCTTCATCAATATGTATGCCTCCTGGATTGTTCCAAAACCTGCTCTCATAAAGTGCACGATACTCTACTTCTAGAGCTGGAATATCAACACTCGCAAACCGATCCGGCAGTTGTTCTTCATCCTCCAATGTCAAGCCGTCAAGAATTAAACTAAAATCGCTATCGTCTGTTTCTAATTCAGGCTCTACAGGACTAAGCTTTTCAGGCTCGTCCTCCATACTTTCCTGAGATGATTCATCATCACTTAGATTATCCTTCCAGTACTCTTCATTTAGAGGTAATGGGTCATCCTTTATTATATCTTCCCATGTTATCTCCTTGGTTGATTTTTCATCCGCGTTTATTTTTGGACGCCATGGAAGAGTCTTTTCTGGATTTTTAGTCAAATGATAAAGCGTGACAAGCACTTGTGCTGTGGTGTAGTTACTTTTGTCCAAAGTCTTGACACGCTCCTCCAGCATATCACCTAGATCTGTACGCCCTAAAACATTAAAGCGTTCAATTATTCTAATTTTTGGTCAGTTTTAAATTGTTACTACTTCTCGTAAACTTACCTGTCATATCCTTCGTAAACTGATGGTGCATAAGTTGCTGTATGATGATGAGAGCACGCGTTTCTTGCCCACTTCAATGCAGTTTCAATTTCCTTCTGTTCTAGAGCCGTGGCATTATACTATTTTAAGTTAATATAAATCAAAACATAAATCAAGTAACATACTCGATCAACTCCAAAATTACAAGTAATTAAATCTAGGAGTGTGGTATTTAACTTCTCAGACATGTCATGAAGTGTTAGTGCTGGGGGAGGGGGGAAGAAAAAAATGATTGTAGTTGGTTCAAGAGGTTTTGATAAATTTCATATTTTTATGCACTCTAAATACACTATATATGTATTTCCAAGATTAGAAAAAAAAATAAAGAAACAATTTTTCTTCTCTTTTTTGCAACCACTTCCTCCCCCCCTCCTCTTCTATTCACCACACTTATTCATTTTTCTAAATTTTCAATTCTTTCTTTATTACCGTTATTTTATCAAGATAACATTTATTTCATTCATTTATATTAAATACAGGATTTTTAATGGATAACTCCGAACTCGTTGCACAGTTTTGTGCAGTTACACAGGCAGATACAAGCACAGCCGAGCAGTATCTCCAAGTCGCCGACGACAACCTCGAACAAGCCATTACCTTGTTTTTAGAGGGCGGAGGAGTTTCTTTAGACAGTCAAATTAGGGCTGCTAACCAATCGAGTCATAGTGCCGAGGATAGCTCATCTAATGCTGATAATCACTCGGGTGGCAACACTTTGGAAGATGATGAGGCTCTTGTGCGGAGACTACAGGAGGAAGAGTATCAAAATCATGAAAGCGTCAGAGAAAGAATACAACCAGTTACTGAGACTTTGGTTGAACCCGAATTTAGTATGTAACCAAGCCAATTTTTTTTCCCTTTAAACTTTCTAACATTTCCAGCTAATTATCATCATCGGCCATTGGGTGTCTTTAACCAGCAAATCCCATCACAGAGACCAATTAGTGCGTTCGACGATAATGATATGGACGAAGAGGAAGATGAAAATTCAGCCAATGAAGATGACCATGCTACATTCTCTTTAGAAGATACAACAGGTATAAGCAATATGACGACTGCCCAATCTCGCTTGGCAACCATTTTCCGACCTCCCTTTGACCTTATCAAAAATTTGGACCTTGACCAGGCAAAGGAATATGCTGAGAGCAAACAAAAGTGGCTGCTTGTTAATATTCAAAATGTTGCCGAGTTTCAATGCCAGGTTCTCAATCGTGATCTTTGGACAAATCCTGGAGTTAAGACAGTTATTAAAGAGAATTTTGTTTTCGTTCAGGTATGCTTTTAAAAATGGGAAATTTTTTAAAACAATGATTAACAAGGAATAAATGCTTTAGTATAATCACGACTCTGTAGAAGGCATGGATTACAGACAATACTACCCCTTTTCTTCCTTTCCTCATGTCTCTGTTCTGGATCCACGGACTGGTGAGCAGATTAGAACGTGGGATGTGATTCCCAACGCAAACACATTTACTGAGGATCTTCTTGAGATTCTTGCAAACTTTAGTCTTGACCCTACACACAAGAATCCACCATCTAAAATTTCAAAGCGCAAGGTTGATGTCAACCATATGACAGAAGAAGATCAGATACGTTATGCAATGAGAGCGTCGCTTGGGAAAAATGGCGATGAAACTTCTGGAGACGAAGATGACGACATGATGATGTATGAAGGAGATGACAATTTTGAAGACCAATTTGACGATGATGATGACGATTTTTATGCTGTTGAGCGTTCTGAGGGTGAAGAAGAAGACGAGGATGATGACGATTTAGAGATTATTGATTCGAAACCATCGAAACCATCGAAACCATCGAAACCATCGAAACCATCAAAACCAGAACATTCGGAAAAAGCTCTAGAATCAAGCTCTATAGAAGAAGCCCCTAAGACACCTCCTCAGACTGAGGAGTCTCATCCATTGACTCAAGAAGAAATTTTTGCAACAATTCTTCCTGAAGACATTCCTGAACCTGCACCTGGGAAAGACACCACACGGATTCAGTTCCGTTTAGGAGATGGACGACGAATTATTAGACGATTTAGAAACACAGACACAGTGCGGGATATTTTTGCGCTGGTGAAACATTTAGTGGAAGATGCGCGCTACGAATACTTTTCCTTGACAAGCGAGCGCAAAAAACTGATTGATATGCTTGACAAGACTATTGAAGAAGCTGGCCTTAAAAATAGTACCATTCTGGTAGAGATTCTTGAAGATTAGGGATTTTAATTGAAGTTAATGATAAAAGACGTGTAACACTGTAATGAATCACTATCAAATTTTATAACCACCCTTTTTCTCCCCACAGTTTTGTGCGGCTTTTAGGTTTTTTTTTTTTTTTTTTTTTTTTTTTTTTATAATGAGCTGGTTTATTTGCCCAACATGGACTGTGTTTCCATTTTAAAGCAAATTTCTTTGCAGTGTAGAGAGACTTTATCCTTGTAGATATCCACTTTGATAGATTTTTCTAAAAAACATAAAAATAAAAATAAAAATAAAAATAATAATAAAAAAAAGATATCACATCTTATTTTGCCATCCGAATTAGCGACTTTCTTATAATTTTTTTTTTTTGGTACTACGTTAGATCCGATTTCAACTCAGACTAACACTCTACAGTTTGAAATGTCGTCATTGTCCTTGCACCGGGGCCTCAATAAGCACCACCAAATCAGTCTTTCAGGTGACTATAACCACCAAAATAACAGTTATAGTGACATGTATCCAAAGTGAGCAAATCTCTCCACAATATCTTTCTAACTAACTAACTAACTAACTAACTAACTTTTTTTTTTTTCCCTCCATTTTATTAATAGAAAACTTGACAAAGCTTTTGATAGAATTGAATTTTCGCCCAGTGACGATATGTTTTTTGGGTATCCTTTGAAGCTTGATCATCTTGGTGATGAAAATGAGCAAGAACTTGAAGCTCGTGACTTTAATCCTTTTTCTTCGCGATTGTCACTACTAAACCATCATATGGAACACGCCATTCCACTATCGGACTCGGACGCAAGTCCCGACGAAGACGACAAGACCAATAAAGCAACAGCAAAAGAAGCAGCAGCTACAACAACAATGCATCCACCACCTCCATCTTTACATTGCTTTCTCAGTCCGAGTCCATTTTCACCAGCAGATTTAAAAGACCTCAACTTTGGGAAACTGTATTCACCCATCTTAGAGTCATCTGTGCGTCAAGACAAATCATCCACAATATCGACACCTAAGAAACTGACCTTTTTAAAAAACTTGGAGTCGATACCTACAGAAGCAGACATATTTGCAATTCGTGGGCGTATCACTGCTATAAGAGCAACATTATCAAGTACACCAACAATAGACCACCCGGAAGCTTTGCTGGCAACGCTTTCGGCATTTGCAACTGAATTTGAGGACATTTCGACACGAGCGAATTACTGGGGCTGGGCCCCCAAGTATTTTTCCTTTATATACAAGATTTTACAAGGTCATCACGGCCCCATAACAGAGCAGGCCGTATTAAACTACTGCTCAGCGGTACTGTCATATCTGGCATGCCTCATGACAAAGTTTGACTACTGCCGGGAGCCCTCAATCCAGCGGTACTTTGTCAAGAAGGCACTGCCGCGCCTAGTTGAAATCACAGGCAAACACAATACAAAATTTGACACGCCAAGCCTGGCTATGATGTACATTTGCTTTCACTTGAACATTGATGAGGCTGTAGTCAACTTTCTGATTGACATTCGGACAAAAACACCAGACTTGTTTACCAACAACAATTATAAGATTCTTCGCTATCGGCGCGCATTTTGGCTGGGGTCAGTGTGTAACCGGTTGCTGATTCAAGGCGACTTGAACAACTCGTCATTAAATAAAGAACTTCTGTTCCAGTGCGTTTCAGAAGCACAAACATGTTACTCTTGCGAGCGTGAAGAGGTCATCAAATCGGCTTATAATAAATTTTTTTACTTCAACGATAAACAGTATGCTTAGTTAACTACGTCAAACCTAATGGGGTTCTTACTAACTTTTTTTTTTTTTTTTTAGACGCAAGTATCCCGATGGAGAGACTGAATACCGCAATTTCGGCGACAGCCTTGTGGACATCCCCAATATGATTCAGAAACAAATGTGTGTGATTTTGAAGAATGATGAAGGTAGAATGGGAGGCAAGCTGATTAGCCGTCTCAAGAAGCTCATTAAGAATTAAATAAAAAAAAAGAAGTATAAAAAGTATAAAAAAATAGTCATAAATTCATTAGTTGGACACAGGAGGAACAACGGTGTAGTCGATCTGATCCGAGTTTTCAAACTCGTACATGTCGAGGGCAACAAGGGCAGACTCGCGAACGACGCGTTCATTGTCCTTTGCAAATTTGTTAAGAATGGGGAGAACATCATCGGTAGCGATGGAACCAAGAGCTTCGGCAGCCTCGTGACGAACCATACCCTCTTCCTTTTCGTTACTAAGAACAGTGATGAGGGCTGGAACACTAGCTGGGTCGCAGAGCTGACCGAAAACGTAAGCAATTTCGTGACGGAAAAGAGCTGAGGGATCGTTGAACCCAGAAGCTAAAGCAAGCACTGCATCAGTAGTGGCAATGTCACGAAGACGGAACATGGCACGATAGCGTTTAAAAAGAGACTCTGACTGGTCGTTGAGAAGCTCCTTAAGTTTGGGGATTTCAGAGATCTCAGAGGGCAAAGGTGGAGCAGGGTCAATGGAGGTAAATGCACTCTTTTCAAGATTCTCACGCTTGGCAGCCTCAGAGTTTTCCCAGGCGATGCGCTCAATGGCAAGCTCGCAGGTTTGGCGGATGACCTCGAGGGGGTCGTTAAGGTACTCTTTAAGAATATTTAACGAGTCCTTATCACCAAGGGCACCAAGAGCCTCAGCGGCCTCGTGGCGGACCATGGCAGGTTGTTGGGCATCGCCCAGTACTGAGCGCAAAGGAGTAGCAGAGTAGAGGTTTTTTGTTTGACCAAGAACGTAGGCAAGCTCATGTTTGAGCAACTCAGACTCGTCACCAAAACCTTCAGCAATGATATCAATGGCCTGATTGTTACCGTCATGGCCAAGGCCCTTGAGGTTAAAGAGCGCACGGAAACGGTGGGCAAGAGGGACGTCGCCGGTGAGGTTAAGAAGCACGGCACGGAGATCACCAAGAGTTTCACCTTGGTTTTCGACTTGTCGAAGTTCGTCCATTGTGGTATTAGTGAGAGATATTAGGGATCTGGTAATAATGGTAGCTGGGAAGAATCTGATCTGGCCAGATTTTTTTTTTTTTTAAAAAGTCTTGGGAGTGTCGTGAAATACGAATCTTTGAGCCTCACGTAGGGGAAAATTTTTCTTTTTGGGGTTTTGAAATTCCTATAAATCGGGGTTAGGGTTTGAAAAGTTTTTTTTTTTTTTTTTTTTTTTTTTAAGGAAGCTTTTGAAGACCGGGTTCTTTTAATAAACTCAACCATATATATCTACATCATGGCTACCTTGGTTCCTCCACCTTCAAAACGCCAGAGACGTGAACTCCAGGCACCTAAGATCATTGACGAGATTCCTGATGATTTGCCTCATGTGATAATTAAGTTTCAAGCCTCTGATACAGGCGATGTTATTGGCGGTAACATTCGCGTGCCGGGCAACGCGAGCGAGAAGCAGCTCGAGACGTTGCTTAACAAGTTACTGGAAACAGATGATGAGCCGTCACCTTACACATTTTCTTTACTTAAAAGCGAGGCTGCACCTGGATCTAATGAAGCACCTACACTTGTTGATATTACAGATAACATTTACAGTTCGGTACTTAAGCCGGGCCATAAAACAACCGAAGATCATCTAACACTAGTTTATACACCACGAGCAGTATTTAAGGTAAAGCCTATTACACGGTCGTCTTCTGCAATTTCAGGACACGGATCAACGATCCTTGCGGTTGCATTTGCGCCACACACATCAGGGCGTATGGTGACTGGTGCTGGAGATCATACGGCACGCATTTGGGACTGCGATACACAGACTCCGCTGAAGACACTTGCAGGACATTCGGACTGGGTTCTTGCAGTTGCATGGTCACCTGATGGACGACTGATTGCAACGGGTAGTATGGACAATACTGTACGGGTTTGGGATCCCAAGACTGGCAAACAGCAAGGTGCGCCGTACATGGGACACAGTAAATGGATCACATCACTAGCATGGGAGCCGTTGCATTTGGTGAAACCTGGAGACACTCCAAGACTTGCATCCTCCTCCAAAGACGGTACAATCAGAGTATGGGACGTGGGCCGCCATGTGCCATTATTTAGCATGACTGGCCATCGGGCCACGGTATCGCACGTCAAGTGGGGAGGTCTTGGTGATATTTATTCAACATCTCATGATAAGAGCGTGCGGATATGGTCTGGCAAGGACGGCCGGTTGGTCCAGAACTTGCAAGCTCATGCGCATTGGGTTAATCACATTGCTCTGTCGACTGATTATGTTTTGCGGACGGGTCCGTTTGACTACAAGGGGAAGAAGGGGGATGTGAGCAATGAGGATCTGGTGAAATTAGCTAAGGAGCGATTTGAGAAGCAAGCATCTGTTGGTGGAAGCATTTCTGAGCGGGTTGTAACTGCAAGTGATGATTTCACCATTTACTTGTGGGAACCTGCCAAGTCCAACAAGCCTATTTTCCGTATGACTGGACACCAGAAACCTGTGAATCATGTTGCATTTTCTCCTGATGGACGATATATTGCATCTTGTTCCTTTGATAATTCTATTAAGCTATGGGATGGCCGTGATGGCAAATTTATTGCAACGTTCCGAGGCCATGTGGGTGCTGTTTATCAATGTGCGTGGTCAAGCGATTGCCGACTTCTGGTGAGCTGTTCAAAAGACACAACATTGAAAGTTTGGGATGTACGAACGAAGAAGCTAATGAGTGATCTTCCTGGTCATCAAGATGAAGTATATGCTGTGGATTGGAGTGTTGACGGGCGTCGGGTTGCTTCTGGTGGTAAGGACAAGCAGGTCCGGTTGTGGACCCACTAAATTTTTGTGTGTATGATCACGTGGATATAAAATTTTCAATTAAAATATAGAACGTCCCCTTTTAAATAAATGAAAAAATAAAATATAAAATAAAATAACAACTACTATTGTATCCTTCAACAATATACCAATGAGTGCTAAACACCCATTCCATGAGCTGGCCGTAAGTGCTGACGGAAAGTACTTGTTTGCTGCTGTTCAAAGCAGCATTCAAAAATTTGATTTGGCAACTGGACAACTTGTTGCGACATTTACCGTGGCTAGTGAGCCTGAGAGCGAAAAGAAAGTCACATCGTCGACTTCTGGAGAGGGTGCCAAGTGTGCTCGCGATCTGATTGTTACTCGGGATGGGAAGCATGTTGTTGCATTTACAAACGCAAACAAGTCTGTTCTTGTTTTGAACTCTTCTGATTTGACTCTTGTGAGTCAGCGCAAGTTCCCTAAGCGGCCATCTACATTGTGCACATCATTTGATGACGCGCGACTACTTGTTGGCGACAAGTTTGGAGACGTTTACGATGTTGAATTATTGTCTACGGAGGAGATTGTTAAGCCATCTGATGGCAAGACAGAGGACGTTGCATCGATTGAGCCAATTTTAGGCCACGTTTCGATGTTGACTGATGTTGAGCTTGTTGAGAAGAATGGGCACCAATACATTTTGTCTTCTGATAGAGACGAGCATATCCGTGTGACGAGATACCCTCAGGCGTTTGTTGTTGAACGGTGGTTATTTGGCCATGAACAGTTTGTGGCTGCAATGGCTGTGCCTTTATGGGCACCTGGGTTTGTTATTTCCGGTGGTGGTGATGACTTTGTGGCCGTTTTCAAGTGGTGTCCAGAGCAAGGCGAAGAGCCTCTCAAGTCTACGTTGGATCTACGGCCATATTTCGGACAATATTTGAGTGAAGATGTGCATTCTGCCCCACGCCGCAAGAAGGATGCGCCGAATCCGGACGCACCTCTGGAGATTACAGTTGACCGGATCGTGGCTGCCAGGGACGGACTGCTAGTGGTACATGCAGAGGCAACTGGAGTGCTTGTGGTTTTGAGTCTTGACAGGGAGTCTGGTGCACTGCAGCACAAGCATACATTTGTACGGGCCGGCGGTGCCCGTATAGTGGCGGTAGCCACAGATGGATCTGGCCGGTTGTATGTGTCTTTGGACCCGAGTGTTGGCGAGGCCGTTCCACTACTGGAGGTTTATAATGTTTCTGAAACTGGTGAGATTACACTGGCCGATAGCGCTTCTGATATTTCTAAGACCATTGCTGAGGTTGGGTCCGTTGCTGTGGTTGGTGAGGAGCCGTCTGTTGCACTGTATTCAGTTCGGCACCTTCGCAAACGCGGAGAGCACTAAGCCTTAATTATTAGTATATATAGAGTAGTGGATGAGGAGGAGGATGAGGAGGAAGAGTAGGAAGAGAATTATAAACTTACCATAGATAAGTTAATAATAATAAAAATATATTACAAGTTACTAGAGATTACCAAATAATAAGATAAACATTTATATACACGTGACTTATTATTATTGATTGGGAAAAAAAATGATTCTCGTGTCACGCAAAATGCAAATTTGCTGATTTGTTTGGCTGCTTTTTTTTTTTTCAGGGCCTTTTTTTTTTTTTTTTTTTTTTTTTTTTTTCCAGTACTCCTTTGCTCTCTTACGTAAGAAGGAATACTGTTTTTTCAAACTTTCCTGCCTAACCCCATCAACATTGTTGGTTTTCTCATCAAAGTGACCCTAAACCATCACCACCACCACCACCACCACCACAACCACCAACAACCCCCGGCACGCCTCACACACCGTTATCTGATTAGTTTTTTGAGGCACCGGCCGTCTGTCCGTTCCCGGTTTTTTATCTTGACCCGTTCAACAATTTTTTAATAAAAAAAACCATTTAAATACCACCCTATAGCCCAATTTCTTGTTGATATTTTTTTTTTTTTATATTTACTTTTTATTTTTTCATCACCATTACTAGAACAATGTCTACAGCAAGCTCGTTTTTTAAACCCTTTATGTCGCTAGTCGTCTACATCTCTGTGCATGCAGCAAAACGACCAATCCATACCATAGTATCCATTGCAGCCCTTGCAACTACAGCATATTTCTCCATCCTTGATCTCTCTGTAGGCCCAGCCAACCTCGATTCGTTTGCCGTTTCTTATTACCATCCAGGTGGCCCAACATCCAATGCCTCTGAATGGGTCCCAGTCTCTTCGTCTGCTGACTATCCAGATGCTCCACACTATGCATCTGCAAAACTTGTGTTTGCAGGCCTTCCCTCTGCCCAGGTCCCCCCAGTCGTCCCCAATACTTTTGATTCGGATGTAAACCCACACGAAAAGAGCCTTGTTGTCCCTTATGACGAACTTTCTCAGTGGCTCAAGAATTCCGCCGTACTTGCTGGTCCTGACCAAGAACCCTGGCGTCTCCGTCAATCTTTCAGCTGGGTTCTTTGGGCTAAATGGAACTTTACTCGTTTGTTGGACCTCATTCATGCCACCGAGACCTTTGATCTCGCCGTTGTCTTTATTGGCTATCTCGCCATGTACTTTACCTTCATTTCTCTCTACATTTCAATGAAGCATCTTGGATCAAAGTTTTGGCTGGCTACTAGTGTTATGCTTTCCTCCACATTTGCATTCATGTTTGCCTTTGTTACTTCATTTTCTCTTGGTGTCCCCGTGTCCCTAATCACCCTTTCTGAGGGTCTCCCCTTTTTGGTCGCTACTGTGGGTTTTGGCAACAAAATCAAGCTCACAAGAGCAACCCTTAAAGCTGTCCGCTCACGCCCTCCTGGATCATCCATTGAACACGTTGTTTCTGATGTCCTTTCCACTCAGGGCACTTTGATGCTTCGTGATTATTCTCTTGAAATCATTGCCCTTCTTGGTGGTGCTTACTTTGGTGTTAATGGTCTTTGGCAGTTTTGCTTCCTTAGTGCTTGGATCCTCTTTTATGATTACATTTTGACTGCCACTTTCTACTCTGCTATTCTTTCCATTAAAGTGGAAATTGGCAAAATCAAGCAAAAGGAATCAATCCGTCAGGCTCTTGAAGAGGATGGTGTTTCTGAATCTGTTGCGGAATCTGTTGCAGAAACATCTACTGATACCCCTGGAACTAAATCCAACCACTCGGTTACTCTCTTTAAAATCTTTATGGTTTCTGCCTTTTTGTTTTTAAACTTTGTCCAACTTTCTCCCTCTGTTTTCCAAACTTTTTCCAAAAAATCGTCTTCTTCCGAAACCTTGTTTAACCTTGTTCCCTTTGCCGATACCGGCGTTGTTGTCACCATTCTCCCGACACTCATTTTTGAACATGCAAGCCTTTCAGCTCGTTTTGACACTGTTTTCCACAGAATCCTCAATCGCCTGACTGAAATTGTTGCCGACCCTCTGATCTCCAAGTTCATCGTTATTGGCTTGGCCATTAGCATTGGCCTTAATGCTTACCTATTTCGTGCTGCTCAGGATCCCGTTGTTGTTAAGGTTGTTGAAAAAGTTGTCGAGGTTGAAAAGAAAGTTCATGTTTACCTCCGCAAAACCGATACACCTCCATCTGATCGTTCCAGTGTTGGCTCAAGCAGTAGCAACGACGCTGGCCTCGAACTCCAGCTTGGAAAGACTATTGTTGAAGAGGATTATGAAGAAGTCAAGCTGCGCTCGCTTCAAGAATCTGAAGTTTTTCTCAAGGCTGGCAATGCTAAGCTTCTTAATGACGAAGAGCTCGTCAATCTGGCTCTTGCAGGCAAACTCCCCCTTTACGCTTATGAAAAAACTTTAGGTGACAATGCGCGTGCTGTGACTATTCGCCGTGCCGTTGTTTCTCGTTTGTCTGAAACCAAAAAACTCGAGTCATCTAAGCTTCCATATCTTCACTTTGATTATGACCGTGTTTTTGGTGCTTGCTGCGAAAATGTTATTGGCTATATTCCCCTTCCCATTGGTGTTGCCGGTCCCCTTGTCATTGATGGCAAGGAGTACTTTATTCCCATGGCTACTACAGAAGGCTGTCTTGTTGCTTCGACCATGCGTGGTTGCAAAGCTATCAATGCTGGTGGTGGTGTTACAACTGTTTTGACTCACGACGGCATGACCCGTGGTCCTTGTGTTCAGTTCCCCTCTCTTCGCCGTGCAGGTGAAGCCAAACTGTGGCTCGACTCTGAGGAAGGTCAGCGCACAATCAAAAAGGCATTCAACTCCACGTCACGGTTTGCCCGTCTGCAAACTATCAAGACCGCCATGGCCGGAACTTTACTGTTTATTCGCTTTTGCACAACAACTGGTGATGCAATGGGTATGAATATGATTTCCAAGGGTGTTGAGTACTCGCTCAAGTACATGGCTGAACAATGCGGCTTTGAAGATATGGAGGAGATTTCTGTTTCAGGCAACTACTGCTCGGACAAGAAGCCCGCTGCTATTAACTGGATTGAGGGCCGAGGCAAGAGTATTGTTGCTGAATCATTAATTCCTAAGGCTGTTGTTGAAAAAGTGCTCAAGAGTGATGTGGACGCACTTGTAGAGCTCAACATTAGCAAAAACCTTGTCGGCAGCGCCATGGCCGGAAGTATTGGTGGAAATAATGCTCAAGCTGCCAATCTCGTTGCAGCAATTTATCTGGCAACTGGTCAGGATCCTGCTCAGGTCGTGGAAAGTGCAAACTGCATGACACTCATGAAGAATGTCAATGGTGATCTTCACCTGACTGTGTCTATGCCTTCGATAGAAGTCGGTACAATTGGTGGTGGAACAATTCTCGAGGCACAGGGCTCGATGCTTGATCTGTTAGGAGTTCGTGGCCCCCACCCAACAGACCCTGGCAGTAATGCACGCCAGCTAGCCAAGATTGTGGCATCTGGTGTAATGGCTGCTGAGCTTTCGCTGTGTTCTGCTCTGGCTGCTGGCCATCTTGTGCAGAGCCACATGGCACTGAACCGTTCCAAGGCTCCGACGCCAAACCCCGGTGCGTCGAGTGCCGACATTAAGCGGTTGACGGAGGGTTCTCAGATTTGTATCAAGTCGTAGTTGTATAAAAAAAAATAATTTATTTAGGTCCATAATATTCTATTGTAGGGATTTGTTAGTTGTTACTTAATTGTATTACAAAATTTGTACACTCAAAAATTTTAGACGGGTTGCCTCGAAAGTACTATTTTCAACCGCCACCAACAACTATTGACGGCAGACGCAGAATGTACTCTGCAGAACCCCACCAGAACCACACCTTTACGACAGGCATGACTAGTACTGACGGAGCCTTGGTCAAACAGGAACAACAATCACAGAAGATGCAGCAAGCTGTGCGACCAGGGATCACATCTCCCGGGATTTCCGACATTGCTGCAACGACTACAGACGACTCAGAAACTGTGTCTCCTCCGCCACATTCATCAACATTACACGACGAAATCACACAAGCTCCCAAACCACGAGGCAGGCCTCCCGGGTCTACTAACTCCGTTTCAAAGCCCTTTATACTTGTTTCTGGGACTGGTCAGGTCACAGGAAGCGTTGTTGGCTCTGGACCTGGGGTGGGACCTAGGAGAGCCAAGGCGTGCGAATATTGCCGGTCTCTCAAGGTACGATGCATTCCTAGAGACGAGTCACGACCCACAGATCCCTGTGTACGCTGTGTCAAAGCCAAAAGAGACTGCATTTTCCACTTAGGACCACGAAGGCGCAACAGACGAACCGACAAGTAAGTATATCCTTGAATGATTTTTTTTTTTTTTTGGAAGAAATCTTTTTGTTTATTTGACCAAAGTAAGGTTTGTGGGGGCTTCAAATTTCCAAAATGTTAGTTACCGAGGACGGTAGAAATAGCAGCCCCCGCGGGGTAGTACACATACCACTGAAAGTAGCAGTTACCACTACAAGTAGCCTTTTGGTACTGCCCAGATACAAGCATAAAAGAAGGACATTTCTTTTTTAAGAGTTTAACTGACACTTTTTTTTTTTTAAATCTAGGGTCGCGGCACTAGCAAAAAAGGTAGAAGTTTTGTCTGCGGCGCTGGGACAGCAAAAGGATGGAAGTTCTCCTGGTTCGGATGAAAATAAGCCAGCTTTAACATCTTCGGGTGGTACCGGAGGTGCAGCCACTGCATCGGGAACGGCAACAGGAGCAGTTGCAGCAGCCCAAACCGGGACTTCTCCATATGGTAATTTTATGACCTTTCAAGCGTTCGACAAGAAAAACAAGCCACCTTCACCTATAGAAAAGAAACCGGCCCTATCTATCGGGCCTACCGCACCGACAACTGTGCGACATCCAAGTTCTCCAGAAACTTCTATCTTTGATGGGGCTTCGGGACCCCCAGCGTCTCCATTTGCAGCACTGGCTTCATCTCTCACGAACAAGTTAGGGAATAATAACAATATGAATAACCATGCCTCGTTTGCCATTCCATTACCAACATCGACAACTTCAACAGATTTTGATATTGTTGCTATTCGCAGCAAGCTCATTATTCACTGGAAAAGCATGACGGCTCAGGACAATGCGCGTGTTGACAGTATCCGTAAATCTCCGCGTATGAGATCGCCATGCCTTGAAGAGGATCTTGTGTCTCAAGGAATAATATCTCTTGAGGAGGCAGAGTTCCGGCTAATGCTATATCATGAAAAGTTACACAAACAATATCCGGTAATTGAGCTGCCAAGTTCATCAGTTTACGAGATGCGCAAAAACTCGCCAATGCTATTTTTAACAATAATGGCAGTGGTTTCGGGCTCTATGGAAAGCCCTAAAAGCGGGAAAAAGTTTACAACGGACTTTAAAAAGGCTCTCATAATTAACAATCAGTGGATTGATGGCTTAATGTATGAAGTCATGATTCTAGGGAAGAAAAATCTGGATCTTTTAAGGTGTTTGATCCTATCAACCATTTGGTACAATACACCAGAAATGCAGCATTATCACAAATCGCATTTACTTACTCACATGTGCATTACTATGGCCTTTGATATGGGCCTCGCTGGACACACATCGACATCTTACAAGGGCAATTCCAAAGATGTTAATACAGTTCACCCTCAACCATATTCAGTTGGCAGTCGCGGAAGTGTCCGGGATATTAAATATGACCGAATACTGCGACCCTTCACATTACTAGATCCGCGCACTTATGAGTGTCGTAAAATGTGGCTATGCGTGTACATTTGTTCCATTAATGTGTCGATTGCACTCAAACGACCTGTTTATATGATGTGGTCACGGCACACAGAGGAATGCTGCGAAATGCTTGAAAAGGAAGACCGACCAGATGACGAACGGTTGATTGCAACTATTGCTCGGTTAAACCGGTTACTTGAGGAAATTTCTTCATCATTACAATCGGGGAATCCTCATGAACCACCAGACATGAATGATCCACGGACTCAAACGCTGGTTCGCTCATTTGAGCAGCAGCTACGCTCACAATTTCCTCAAGGACTTATTGGGCGCGTTGCCAACTTCACCTACTCGATGCTTATGGACTATATTTACTTGCATGAAAATGCACTTTATGTTGCGCTGTCACCGCGTCTTGGACGATCGCCGTTTAGCGATTTCAGCCTCGCGCTCGGTGAACTCAAAATTACAAATAATATTGCCTGGTCTATTGGGACATGTTTTACAGCGGCCACGGGAATCATTGATGTGTTTTTATCACAGTCTTTACCACAACTCGCATGCAACTCGATTTTCTCATATTCGCGGCTAGTTGTTGGTGTATCGATTCTTCTTAAATTGCGGCAATTGTTTTTGACTGTGCCAGACTTTAAAGGGGTTTGCAGCGTGACAAGCGCAGATCTTAAGCGAATCCACGTGCTTCTTGAGAAACTTGATCAAGTTGCAGAGTTGTATCCGTTTGCAAATACGGCTCTCAACTACTGTCTGGTACTGAGGATTTTGATTTATCACTTTGACCGGCAGCTTCACTTTTACTTTGAAGACCTCAAGATGCGAATTGATCATGAGGAGAAGGAAAGGCAGAAGGAAAAAGAAAAAGAGCTGGAAATGCATTTACAACAGCAGAAGCAGCAACAGCAGCAACAGCAGCAGCAACAGCAGCAGCAACAGCAGCAACAGCTCCAACAACAGCAACAGCTCCAACAACAGCAACAGCTCCAACAACAGCAACAGCTCCAACAACAGCTTCAACAACAACAACAACAGCAGCAACAACAACAGCAGCAGCAGCAGCAACAACAACAACAGCAACAACATATTCCTGGCTCTCCTTTGGATATTTTATCAAACGTTGCAGTCGAGTCTTCTTCTTCAGTTGGAAAGCGCTCAAACAATCTCAAACAAGAGTTTGAGGAGCAATCTGAGTACTCAGAAGTGCCACCAACTGCGGGATTCAATGGGCCCTCAAACGACCAAAACATTCCTCAAATGCAGTTTTTCCCAAATATGGCACCTACATCAGTTCCCGAAGGCCCTATGCAATCGTTTAACTATCCTGGAGGCACAGCCCCTGTGGCGGTATCCGGAGGTGTACCGGGTGTTCTTGGTGTCTCTGAGGTCTCAGCAGTCCCGGCGGGCCCGGGGCCTGCGCTGGGTACGGGAAATAGCCCGATGAGCTCAGTGTCTCCGGAAAACCTATTACCAGCATGGCTATTTACTGATGACTCATGGAAGGACTTGGTTTTTGGTGCTGAGTCGCTTTCAGGATTTGAAATGTTTGGCTAGTTTAGTATAGTCTGTAATCAAAGCTACTTCTCCGGATTATTAATGAAGAATTGTTAGACGTCATATTTTAATTTTTAATGTTTAATTTTTTAATTTTTTAATTTTTTAATTTTTTAATTTTTTTTTTTTTTTTTTTTTTAAACTTTGGTACTTACCACCAAAATAATCAACCAAAAAAAAACTACACCAAATGCCCGAGATAGACGAACAATCCCCAAGCGAGAAACCAGCAGAGCGCCGAGCAAAGGCTTGCAATTATTGCAAATCTCTCAAAGTTCGGTGTATACCATTTGACCAGTCAGATCCGGACGGAATTTGCGTGAGATGCCAAAAGGGCGGGCGCGAATGCGTCTTTTACTTTGGCCCCCGAAAGAAACGCCAATCCAAAGAAAACCGTATGACAGTACTTGAGAAGAAGATTGAACAATTGTCTGCAGCTTTACAAGCCGAAGAGGGAGTTAGGATTAAGCGTGAAGTGTCGTCTTCTGCAGAGCCTTCATCAGCACCATCTTCTGTTCCCCATTCGCCACCCAAAAACGTGGTCCCGGCACCACCAATCCCGGTCCCCACCCCAATACCTGCACCGGCCACAAGGCCTGGATTTGTTCCTGACTTTGATATCCAAGACATTCGTACCAAGCTGAGAGATCACTGGAGAGCCATGTCTGAGCACGACAGTGCACGACTTGAAAATCTTGAAAACTCTCCAAGACCCGAACGGCCTGGTCCTAGAACTGACATTGTTGCCCAGGGACTTGTTAGTGCTGCTGAAGCCGAATACCGACTACACTTATTCCGCACATGTTTCCACCAAAGACTACCAGTTTTGACTCTTCCTGAGGGAATGACATGTGAAGAGTTAAGAAAGGACCGACCTATGGTTTTCCTGACCATCATGTCGATTGCAAGTGCAGCTATGGAAGGGACACCTAAAGATGGTATTTCTAAACCGGGAGTTTTTTATACTGACTTTAACACAGCGCTTGTAATTTCGAATCAGTGTATCGAACTGCTCATGTATGAGATTATGATTCGCAACAAGAAGACTCTTGAGCTTTTGGAAAGCTTGATTCTTATTAACCTTTGGTACAACTCACCTGAAATGCATTTGTACCACAAATCCCACATTTTGACAAACCTCTGTATTATTATGGCTATAGATATGGGTCTTGGAGGATACTCATCACCTTCACCAGGTTCGAAACGAACAGAACCTCAAAGAAACGTTCCTCTTACAGAAATTGTAGGTACCGGACCCGCTGATGGCCGGCGACCTCCTAAGTATGATCAAATTATTCATCCATTTAATTTGCTGGACCCCCATACTTATCAATGTCGCAAACTTTGGCTCTGTGTTTACATTGCTTCAGTTCAGCTTTCTTCCCAACTCAAGCGGCCTATGACCAACGTTTGGTCAGTGTATACAGAAGAATGCTGTGAGATTCTTGGTAATGATGACCGTCCCCGTGACGAACGCATGGCTGCTATGCTTGCTCGACTTTATCGCATCATTGAACTTACTGGTGAAGGATTTCAATCTGCCGACCAAAAACGGCCCCCAGATGTTAATGACCCGTGCATGCAAACGCTCATACGGTATCTTGAGTTGCAAATGCATAAAGTGGTTCCTGCACGATTACAGGAAACTTCGCGCGACTTTGCTGTTCAATGGCATTCTTTGCAAATGTTTTTACACAAGCCTGTACTTTACACGCGGTTATCGACGCGACTTGGAAGATCACCGTATTCTAACTTTTCTTTGGCAATGGGCGATTTAACCATTACACTAAATGTTGCACGATCACTTGGCGCGTGCTACACATCATCAACAGCCCTTATCCGATTGTTTAATGATATGTCTGTAGCAGAACTTGTCAGTGCTCCATTGACCACATATGCCAGGATTGTCTTGTCTGCATCCATTATTCTTAAACTGAGAGCTCTTTATTTGACTGTACCGGAGTTTAAACGAGTGTGTTCGATCACGTCTTCTGAAATGCAGGGGATTCGTACTCTTTTGACTAAGATGGATGAGGCCTTGACGAAATATCCATTTTCTAATTGCGTGCTTAATTACGCCGTTGTTTTACGGATCTTAATTTACCATAGCGACAGACTACTCAATTTTTACATGGAGGAATTTACGGCAGAAAAGAGTGGTCGGCGCAAACGGCGGCGAGGAAGCTCGTTTGATGGGTACGAAGGATCTGGTGATATCCGTGGTGGCGAATCCCCGCTTGACTTGTTATCAAACATTGCTGCTGATCAACGCGAGTCTGCAAGTGATTTGAGCGATGTTCCGGCAGCATCTACTATAGCGAATACAATTTCAACAACAACCGCCAACATTTCCGGTCCTGGACCTTCTTCCACAACACCTGTACACATTGTTCCGCTGGTCACCTCAATGGATCAAGTGCCTTTAGTTCCTTTAAGTTCGGTTCCGATGGCACCTCAGATCAACCTGACTTCTCCTTTGCCTCCTCCAAGGTTTATAGTAAATCCCCGTCCGCAGTCAAGCACAGGATATTCAGCTCCGTCCTTATCGGTGCCAACACCTGTTCTTCCCAGTAATAACCACATTCCGGGCCCGCAGCAGCAGCAGGAGCCGTTGCAACAACAACAGCATCCTCACCATCAATCTTCTTTGCCTCCTCCTCTTCCTGCTCCTCAGACTGACGATTTATTTCCTGTCTGGCTGTTCACCGATGATTCTTGGAAGGATCTAGTTTCCGGCGCCGAAGCTCTTTCCGGGTTCGAGGCGCTTTAATAATTATATTCAGCCCTAACCCAAATTCACGTGATTCTAAGGAATTTCGGCATTTTGGTGTATTTTTTTTTTTTTTTGAATTTTTTTGAATTTTTTTTTTTTATTTATTTTTTTTATTTTTAAATTTACAAAAGTTTTTGTCCAAAAACAATTAAAAAAAAAATAAAAATAAAAAAAAAACAAAAACATAAAAACATGCAAAAGGCAGATGACCGGAGCGGCGCCGCTGAAGATACCGGATCCGGAACCGGAAAGACGAACGGCTCGTCAGCGGTAACAGCATCTTCATCTTCATCAACAACAGCAACAACAACAGCAACAGCGGTTCCTGTTATAGCGGCACCTGCTTCAGTGGCTTCATCTGCATCTCCGCCTTCGTATGCTGCTACGACCACGTCTCCAGATACAATCACACGCCGGGCAAAGGCCTGTGAGTACTGCCGATCGCTTAAAGTTCGGTGTACGCCAGTTGACCCTGCACGTCCAACAGACCCGTGTTTACGATGTGTCAAGGCTGGTCGTGAGTGTATATTTCATTTAGGTCCACGACGGCGTGCGCGCAAGTCCGACAGGTAAGTCTAGTATAGTCTTGTAAAAAAAAAAGCATTTTGAAAAAAAAAAATATATATATATATATATAAACATATTAAGAGACACATTGCTAACCCGGCAGAACTACCAAGACAACACAATCGCTCGTCGCGGAGCTCGAGAAGAAAGTCGACCTGCTTTCTTCAGTGCTTTCGCAGAGCGTTTCTAACGCGCCGGCAAAACCAATTACTATTTCAACCCTGACTGAAGAAGGGCCATCGGAACGACAGGTACACATACCGGCACGTACCACAGCTGTTACTCAGGCCGACACGACTATTACACTTGCACTCCCACCACCTGCTAGCCTTGAAGCTTTGCGTCGAACGCTTATTCAAAAGTGGCGCGTACTTTCATCGCACGACACAGCACGCGCAAACCATCTATTAACACTTACCCATCATGTTGCGCCAACAATCGACACAGACATTGTTGCGCAGGGCATTTTGTCTGCACGCGATGCGGAATACCGACTTTGTCTCTACCAAAATACTTATCATGAAAAGATTCCCATTGTGTCTCTCCCGCCAGTCGTCACAGTCGACATGCTAAGGCGTGACACTCCGATGCTTTTTTTGACAATCATGGCTATTGCTTCCGGTGCAGTAGAACGCAGCGGGGAAGTAGCGGCCACTTTTGAAACAGCTTTGAAAATCAACTGTCAGTTTATTGATATTTTAATATTTGAAACTATGGTTCTGGGCAAACGTTCAGTAGAGCTTCTTAAATGTCTTATTCTTGCCAATGTATGGTATAACTCACCGGAAATATTACCATACCAAAAGGCCCAAGTTCTCACTGAAATGTGTCTTATAATGACGCGTGAAATGGGTATTGGCGGTTGCGACTCTACGGCCCAGCTAGCTGGAATCACAGGGTTAAACTCTAGATCTGAAGCTGCTGCTGCTGCTGCTGCTACTGAAGTTACGGCTACAAGCAAGCTAACTCTTTTAAGGCCTTCTTCATATGAGTGCCGCAAGCTTTGGCTAACGGTCTATATTTCGTGCGTCAATGTATCTGCTGTATTGAAACGTCATTCAGGGTCTCTTTGGACCCGGTATACTGAGGAGTGTTGCGAGGTCCTTGCACACGATTCTCGGCCCATGGATGAGCGCCAGACAGTGTTTGTTGCCCGGCTTAATCGAATTCTTGAGCAAATAATGAAGTACATGTCTGGACCAACACCTCCGGATGTAAGCGATCCACGGACGCAAGCTCTCGTGCAGCATTTCGAGCGCGTACTAGACACTCAGTTCCCGCCGGCACGCGTACGCCAGTCAAAAACTTCCATAATTACTGTTAACTTGGTGCGCCTGGTGCTGCACGAGGCGGTGCTTCATGGTCCATTTTCCCCAAAGGAGGGACGAGCACCCTTTAGTGAGTATTCACTACGAGGGCCTCAAAATGAGCCTTTGGACCCTGACTCTGCACGATCATTTGGGACTGTTAGATATGCAGCTACCGAAATTCTTGTGGCCTTTTCCGAGTTTCCTGTGGATCAACTTGGGTCCACACCTATGTTACTTTATTCTCGGATTGTTCTTGCGGCCGCTTCGCTACTCAAACTGCGTGCCCTTGCGGCTATTTCACCAGCAGTGCGAGCCGTTTGCGCAGTGGCCGATGCGGCGCTGGCGCCTGTACATGCTATTATTGCAAAGCTTGATGCTGTCACGGAACAGTTCCCATTTGCCAACGGAGCTGCAACTTATGCTATTGTACTGCGATTATTACTTTGTCATCACCACAGTTTTATACGTGAAGAACAGAAAACCGGACATATTGAGTCCGAAAGTGAGTCTGATAGTGATATAGAGGCCGAAGTTGATGGTAAAAAACATGCGTTATCTGTGCCTGCGTTTGTACCTGCCAAACGGAGACGTCACGAAAAGAAGACCGAAGAAACTTCTGAAAATCCTGTGCCAGAACCCGAACCGATGCGCGATGACAATGCACTTCCAATATGGCTCCGTGATCCACATGAATGGCGGGGGCTTATGGGTGGTGCTGAGACTCTTGCTGGATTTGAGTTGTCAAGTTGAGTTAAAAAACTGAGCACGTTTTTTTTTTTTTTATGGTCGTCTGCCCAGCCAAGACTTTTTTTTTTCTTTTTTTTTTTTTATGGTTTGTTCCCCTTTTAATATATTTTTTTTTTATAGAAACACTTTAAAACCCAACAACCCCTAAAAAAAAATATATTTCCAGCCATTTAAATCTTTCTAATTGTCAAATTATCAAATTGTCAAATATTATTATTCAACTATATCATGCCTTATACAACTCCAGCTGAAATCAGGCGCAGAAAAACAGGCCAGGAACCAAATGAACGCCCGGCTCTTGTGCGTGATGAAGCTACCGTGGTCGACTACGAACATGACTTTGCATTTCTCCCGCTTTTCAAGGCATTATTTGGTCTAATCATCCTCAACTTTGCCGTGTCATTGCTAGTGACTGGTACACCTTTATGGGGTGAGTCTACGAAATGGACTAACCAGAGGTATCTTGCACATGTTTCAAGAACAATATTTCGTCCTCTGCCAGAGTTTTCTGATGCAGAGCTGGCGCTTTACGATGGCGAAGCTATTCACGAAGCTGCTGTGGCAAATAGCCCATATAAGATCCTGATTGCTTTAAACGGAACAGTCTTTGATGTATCTGGAAGCCCGGAAACTTATGGTCCTGGAGGTCCATACCATGGGTTTGCTGGCCGTGATGCTGCTCGTGCATTTGTGACTGGGTGTTTTTCTAATCCTGCTGAATACACTCACGATATGCGTGGACTTGATCCGACATTGGCTCAGGAAACTGTGACCGGCTGGACTCGGTTTTTCGATACTAATCATAAGTATTGGCGGGTCGGCACTGTTGTACACGAACCTTTAGAGCTTGACGAGGATATCAATCCTCCCCCAGAACCATGTTCCAACGGACGCGGACAAAAACCTGGGTTCCGCGACGAATACATTTTACGCAAAAAGAAAAAGATGGTTATCAAAAACAAGCTTTTTGAGTAAATTTAATTTGAATGTAAATTAAACAAAAAAAAATGAAGGAATGAAAAGAAAAAAAAAATTCTAAATAAAGTCTCGGGTCGTGTTAATAAATCGTTGGCCGCAGTGACCCTCGGCACGCAACAGTTCCAACATTACAAGGTTTTGGACATGTATGATTCGCCATTGTGACCGGCTCAGAAGCATTTGGATAGAGCCAGAAGGAATATTACTATTACTTTCTTCGCCGCCGGAATCCGTTCTTGGCCGTTTTCTTGAAGAGCTGTCGGGATCAACTGGATCCACAAGCTTTCCGTTAAGTAAAATGCTGGCATTGTCTGCACAAACGTAGTATCCACCACGCGGTGCCCGTGGAACCGTTACTTGGTCACTCAGTGGTGCACCGACATCTGGTGTCAGTGCTGGTGCACCATCTTCTTGTTTTATGGCAATACCGTCCTCATCTAGAGGCGCGTTGGCTGCAGTTACGGCAGCTTGGACAAGAGCAGCCATTTGCCGTGCTGCTGCATCATAAAATACAACTTCCCATTGACCTTGTGTTTTGAACAGTCCAGCTATTTCCTTGAACTCGCAGTCAGTGCCTTTGACTTGCACTACAAGTTCTCGATCCTCGGAATCAATATATGGTCTGCGATAAAATATGGTATAAATCTTTGGTAGTGGTGGTGCCTTGAGGTCGACTGTTTCTTGTAATTTGGCAAGTAAAGTTGGCGTGTTATTAATAAGCTCCATGCTACTCCGCGGAATTAAAGCCCGGGCAACTTCCTTGAATTTGGCAGTTTTTGGGCGCACATCAGGTAGTCCAATAACAATTTCGGTTGTTTGACGGACCCGGTTGGTACGAATAGCATGAGCAACCAGGCGCTGTTCAAGACCCAGAAATCGGTAATACCTGCACTCGGAAAGAAGACGAGCGCGGTGATCGTCGTCTCGAATTTTCAACTGGGATCCTTGAAGAACAACTAACAAGTCGCGAAATAAATCTCCGGAGCGATGTGGAACCGTAGGTGGAGCCACTGGAGGTGGCCGCTTAAAGGTCTTTGAGGGAGGGGAAATCTCGCTCCCAAAAAATGTGGAAAACCCGAGCGAGAAAAAGTTTGGAGAATCTCCAGGACCCGAAAAGATATTGCGCGAGATACGGAACCCTTTCGACCCAATACGTACAAAAATCTCTGCTGTTGCAAGCTGCCGAGTTAATCGAGGAAGGTGGAAGTAATTTGCATCCAAAAGCAGATACACGAATTCAACGTCGGACTCCGGAACAACATAGTATCCTTGCAAATGGGAAACAATAAGTTCAAAAACCCGTGGCGATCGGTCAATGTATAATGTTGGTGCAGAATGGGCTGGGACATCACGATGTTTTAGAAAGTAAGTTGTGAAGTATGACGGCGCGTCTGATGAAAGCGAAGCTCCAGATAGCTTGAAAAGACGCTCGCCGACTTGGATTTGGAAAACTTGTTCATGCGGAAGAATATCAGGAATCCGAGGGTCAAATGAGCCAGTAGGTTTGTCGATTGTTCCTGTGCGGGCAGATGCCGGGACTGCACGGTACGCATCCTCGAGGTCCTGTTCTGTGGGGGGATCTAAAATTGAGGCCGAAGAAGAAGAAGAAGCCATGGTGATTATTGATGGTGGTGAGTGGATGGACAGAAAAAAAAAAAAATAATAAAAAAAGTAAACAAATAAATAAAAAATAATCCAACCTCCAAACATTACCACCATTACCACAAATAAGGCAACCATGTACTACGATCTAGACGACATTGCAAAAGACCAGCAAACTCTCCCATGCAAGTTCAACGTGACAGTTCCTAACCTTGGGTACTTGGTAGGTGCACCCGGTACCGAAATGAAAAAAGATGCAACTGTAGACTTGCCAGTATGGTTGCTTCGCATTTTAGCCCAAACACCAATCGCTCCTGATTCTACAACTCCATTTGTCACACCACTACCCACAAAGGAGTTTGCTGCTCGAGTACTCAATGCTCTTAAATCAGATCCGTCCAGTGTTGACCTGCGATTACTATCACCGGTATTTTTCCGTCTTGCCGAGCAGTGGCTTACACTTATGGACGCTCCAGAACTTGCCAGTGTTCTCATTGAATCTTTTAAAAATCGTGCAGCAGAAATCGCGGATCTTGCTACTGCAAAAACTACTCGAGATGCATCTGAATTCTTACAACGACTGGATTCTACCGAATCCCGCCTCTATCGGTCTACGCATGAAGCAAATAAAGATTTGAAAACGTGGCTTGCTACGAACCAACTGTGATTAATACTAGGCTTAAGCTTTTAGTGCTGCGACTTTACTATTCTAATATCGGTTTATTTATTGTCATGACCATGGTCGTTTGAAAACGTTACCAAGCCAAAAAAAAAAAAAAAAAAAAATTATTTCTGAGGTTTGTCAACCAGAAGTATTCAATACAATATATCTCCGTGATGTAAATCGTCATAGTGGTCATTATGTTTACATTTCAACTATTCATGACAATCTGAGGGTATATTTTTTTAAACCAACTCCTGCAATTTTTATACATTAATAGACAAGTAATTGAAATTAAAATGTTTGATTTTAAATTCTCTTGCTTGTCATAGTAAATAATGAAAACAAACCAAATTCAATAACTGAAAGAAAAGTATAAAGAAGATATTTTCTTTTTTTTTTTTTTAAGAAAACCATAAAACGAATAACCAGTGTCTAATCATTAACTTCTTTCAAAATTTCATTTCTTTTCTGCAAAAGTCTATCTTTTAACCTAATGCCAAGTAAAGCTTATTGTTAAATTAAACAAATATTTCATTTAAAAAGTAAAATAAGATCTAAGCTGTTGAGAATTTTCAAATATTAACCTTTTATTTAAGAATATCGAAATTTGATTCTTGCACACTAATAAAAATGCCTTTGCGCATTTACTTAGAAAGAAACTGATTTGAGTTTTAGGGAGTTTGAAGTAATACGTTTAACTAATGAACTTTAAATCATCTTTTAATGTACTGAAAAAAAAAGTTTCAACATTGCAGTAGCACTACCATAGTAATTATGTTTGGATACTCAACTAACAAACATCAAAATTCACAGTCAATCCAACTTCTATTGAAAAATTAAAAAAATTACAACTAAAAAAAATTATGCGTCAGCCCGGAGTCGAACCGGGGGCTCGTCGATGGCAACGACGAATTTTACCGCTAAACCACTAACGCTTGAAAATAAAAATGGATAGGTAGTATATATTCAGAAAGACTTTTAAAGTCACGTGACAAACAATTTATTTTACAAAGTATTTTAAGTTAATTGCACACAACATCACCCTTGAAATGGTTGATGCAAACAAGAAACACCAAACAATAAGTATATTAAAGAAGCAATTTCATCTTTTGAAATAAGTAATTAGTAAATTAAAATAAATAGTTTTAATGTTTAGGATATGAGCTACAATGGAATTAATTTTTGATATATGTTTGTTCAGAAAAAGTGGAGATATAAGACCCAAAAAATGGGGGAATCAAAATTCACATCAAAACTCAAGGATTCACACCTAAAGATGTCCCTCTGCCCCCAAATTATAACCTGTTCTAATTTTCATTCTAATTTACATTGTAAATCTTTTTTTAATTACGATGCCCAATTTACAACCTGTTGTAAATGACCCAGACCCGACTTTTCTTATTAGGCTTCGGGTCCGGGTCTTTAGTATCTCAATAGAATCCTTGCATCTTCCCAAATATAAAAATAATATTTTAAAGTCCACCCGAGATATTAAGTTTTACCGAAAAAATCTTCGGAAGCTATCCGAAGCCATTTTTGACAAAATGTCCAAGGCTATAGCCTTGGTCAATTTCGCATTTTTGCTCAAAATCTAACCCCCATTTTTTATTACTTTTTTAGACTCTCTAAAGCTCTAGGAACTCATTGCAGTACTTTGCTAAACTTTTAAGATCCAATTTCCAAAATTATAAACTTTTGAAATTTTCCATTTATTTACAACGGGGGCTTTAGTTGACCCTATATTTCTGTTGTAAATTAAACTATGGGGGGCCTAAGAGTATAGGACCTAACAAATTACTACTATGGTACATTAAATCATTCCGGTATATACATAGTCATTAAGAATATTTAAGTCCAGTACCAAATGTTCTTAACAGTTAACGGGGTAAAGTATACTTAACTGAATATCCAAGCACGGGTCTTCGGGTAATGTCTTTTAAATACAAATAATATTTAACAGTTTTCCTAACCTTTTACCTTTACAAACAAGCCGGTTTTCTATATTAATCCCTTTCTCAAAACTAAAGTCATCTCGTTTTCTTTTTAAAAATAAAGTAATATATACAATGTAGAATTTTATCATCGAACTACTCAAATAAATAATAAAAACTTAATAATTAATACTAAATATCTAAAATATTAAAGATGTCATGAGCTCAAGACAGATTTACAAAAAAAATTAAGTAAAAAATTAGATATAGGTTTGTTAGCTAAAAATGGTTTAAGTTGTATTGATGCTGAGAAATGAATTTGAAGTTCCAGCATTCATGAGTAATTTCAGCTATCAGCACTTTAATATAGTACCCATAATTTCGATTCGGACAGCATTTCAGTAGAGCCCTAAATATTTCCTTTGCAGACAGTACTCCAGTAGAGCCCTGTTTAGTTTTTATGCTGACATCATACCAGTAAACCTCAGAGTAAACCCATTGCTGACACTATCTCAATATCCAATTGACTTTCTCTCCCACTATGAGAATCATGTTCAGCTGTAAACCACTTTAAATTTAATTGTATCTTTCTTCTAATCCAACAACGTCTTCATATGAGTATTAAACCAATTTAATTTTTAATGTAGAACAAAAATAAAACACATGAGGTAGAAGCTTTTGTAGCCCATACAAATGGAGTTTTTGTAGATCTATTATCGGCAATCATCTTGTTTCAACGACGTAAAAGCCAATTCCCTGTAATTTCAAAACTTGAGACTTGATTCAATGGTGCATTTAATTGCTTGTCAAAATAATATGGGTTGTGACATATTAAATCAACTTGGATACTAGTTTGCAATTACAAAGATATGGACTTCGTCTAGTAAAGACTTAGATGTTAAGTTTGAAAGATGAAAAAAAAAGCGGAAAACAAAAAGAAATGCAATGATTACCTAAAAACATTTTTATCGTTAGATTTTAAATCAAGTAAGTTGCAGTGATATACCCTCCGTACCTTTTGGGAATAAAGATGTTTATTGATTGTTTAGATAATGCAATTGAAATTATGGTAGATACATCTCTATGGATGATATTCGTGTGAGATTTATTTTTTTTAAAAAAAATAAATTTTAAAAAGAAAAAAACGTTTTTGAAAGTTAGGGAAATTCTCTTTATTTATACTTTGGTTAATTAGATCCAACAAGGCTGGTGTGTTGGTGTCAGGCTTAACATTATCAGAATTAAGATTTTGGCTGACTGAATTAGTTGAAAAATTATACAAACTCCATATTATTTATTGAAAATACCAAAGCTCAGATAAAAAAGCAATTTAAATATATTTATCCAAAACTTTAACATAAAAAACTTACAGGAATCTTAAACTTGTAATTATTTTTTCATTTCTCAAACAATACCTGATTTCCATTAAAAGAAACAAAAGGTTTTATTTGAAATTAATCTACTAAAATTTTACAAATTAAAGAGATTAAAGAGATTAAAAAAAATAACAGTTTCAGCATGTTTCTGTTCAATATTGTTTGGTTTATTTCCACTTATCTTCACAGACGCCCATGTATTTCTTAAGCTCTTCCATCAGAGATACGGCCCGCAATCACCTGTAGGCTATTTAGACTGTACGGAAGAGTCGGCATTGCTGTAACCAGGGTAGCCTATGGTTTTCAGTCTAGGTGTATACTCCCGTACACATCCTCAGGAAAAGGGGGTATTCTGGGAATCAAACCCAGTATCTTCCGCTATCAAGCGAACGTGTTACCCTTTACATCATCCAGCCCTTTCCCCTTTCTGTTCAATAATTGTTTGTTTGTTTGTTTGTTTTTATTCAAGGGTTATAGAATTATATAACATCAGCATCTGCGCTATCCTTCTTTCTGTTCAATGTTTGTTTGTTTGTTTGTTTTTATTCAAGGGTTATAGAACTATATAACATCAGCATCTGCGCTATCCTTTTATTGTCTGACTATGTGACTTGCCGGTTTTCATTTGTACCTTTTTAGTACGGGTGGTTTCTGTTCTGTGCGTCTCCGGTAGCCCGGATGATGGGCCCTGATGCCAGCTTACGAGGAACAGGGAGAACCAGTCTGTCGGTCCCAAAACCTTCCCAACCCATTTCCACTTATCTTCACGGACGCCCATGTATTTCTTAATCTCTTCCGTCAGAGATACGGCCCGCAATCACCTGTAGGCTATTTAGACTGTACGGAAGAGTCGGCATTCCTGTAACCAGGGTAGCCTATGGTTTTCAGTCTAGGTGTATACTCCCGTACACATCCTCAGGAAAAGGGGGTATTCTGGGAATCGAACCCAGTATCTTCCGCTTTCGAGCGAACGTGTTATCCTTTACACCATCCAGCCCTTTCCCCTTTTCTGTTCAATATGTTTGTTTGTTTGTTTTTATTCAAGGGTTATAGAATTATATAACATCAGCATCTGCGCTATCCTTCTTGTCCATACTATATATTTTTTCATTTTGATAATAAACTTTTAATTTTGGCTTCAACATTGCATCTCCAACAGCCCGAAAATAAGTCCTGATGCCAGCTTACGAGGAACAGGGGGTTAAAATAACCAAACCTTCCCAACCTATCTCCACTTGTCTTCATCAACGCTGTAATTGTATTTCTTAATCCCTCCAAGCAGAGATAAAGCTTACAATCTCTTGTAAGCCAGTTAAACTGTTTAAGAGAGTCGACATGTCCATCTCTGGAGATATCCGTTTCAGTCCTTTTCTTTCCTCTTCAAGCAAAGGACACTCAACTAAAATGTGATGAACTGTTTCCAGCTCTCCACATTTGCAGTTGTAACTATCCTTTTCAATTCCAAACTTTTTAAACCATGCGCCAAAGTTGCCATGGCCTGTGCGAAATTGAGTAATATTACTCAAGATCCTTCGACTATCTTTCTTCATGATCACTCCCGTAACCATTTTGGAAAGATTATCAGTACATTTCGACTCCACTGTGATATTATGATACCACAGATCCTTACTGCTGTTCCAATACATTTCTTGCCATTCTTCCATTGCTTGTTTTTTCAAAATTCCAATCGTCTGATTTTGTTGTTGTTTCAGTGTAAGAGGTTCAACCCTCTTGCATTTTCGTTTTCATCTATTTTAATCATATAGTCTCTATCATCTTTCGCCAACATGTAAAGCGTGGTTAGCTTTGCAATTGGAGATTTCTCAATCAATGTTAACAAATGACCATTAATAGGATTAGTTTTGCTAATATTTAGGTGTAAACGAATAGCTTTTCGTGCCACCATAAATTTTAGCCTAATACTATATGGCATAATACCAGCTTCCTTTTGTAGTACCGCAATAGGAGTTGTGCGATAAGCACCAACAATTCTTCTTAAAGCCATATTCTGCATTACTTCCAACTTGTGGATTTCTCCTTTCAAAATTTTGTGATGCCAAATTTCTAAGCCATATTCGACAATTGGTCTCACGCAAGCAATATACAGTGATCTGACTGCAGACCCTCGCATACCTTTTTGCACGCCACCAAGATGCCAAATAGCACCAACAGCTTTTCTTGCTTTATTGATTTTATTCAAAATATGAGATTTAAAATCAAGCAGATTGTTCAAAGTAATTCCAAGCAATTTAACTTCCTTCTGGGGTTCACGAAGTTCTCCATTAGGTAAAGTAAGTTGCACTTTCTCATCTTTAGGTTTCACATTTTTTGTAAAATGAATAAAACCCAATTTGTCACCCAAATCAATTTTGGTCATTCTTGATTTAGCCCAATTACAACATTTTTCTAATATGTTGCTTAAGCTTTTGGTATTTTCTTCAATTTTACCTTCAACGGTAATAGTCACATCATCAATAAAGCCAAAAGGAGTTCCACCCCATTCTTTAATGGCATGATACATTGGTGTGGAATATATCAAAAAAGTAGTGGTGAAATAGGTGAGCCTTGCGGAATTCCAGTACTAATTTTTTGTACTGATCCTTTTCTTCGGTCCATGAGCATACTAGCTTCTCTTTCACTTACAAATTGGTACGTCCAGTTTATAAGTGCTTTGGGTAGTTTCATATCCTCCATTGTGTGTGCCAATATATTTCTGTTAACATTATCAAAAGCTCCTTGAATATCAATGAGCATAGCTGAAATTTTTCCTTACTAGTTACAATTCTTTGGACAAGTTCCAAAACAGCATCAGTAGCACAATAACCTTGTCTTCCCCATATTGCTCTGGTGGAAGTAAGTGTGTTGTAAGCTTGGTCATTCTTTTTTGTATAATTTTTTCCAGTACTTTAGATGGAATCTTAAGTAAGGAAATTGGTCGGTATGCTCTTGGCTTTGAATAGTCAGGTTTCTTAGGTTTAGGTATAACAACAATAATGCCATGTCTCCAGACTTTTGGGTGGTATCCAAACTTCACACAAGCTTGGAGAAGCTTGAAAACCTTTCCTTAAAGTCTTTATTCAGCCATGCCATCTTTAAAACTTTGCCAGTAATTCCATCGTCTCCTGGAGCTTTATCATTTGGGGTATCAGCCAATGCAGAGTCAACTTCATCAAACTCTAATTTTGGCCATCGAGAATCGTCATCAATTTCAAACTCTCTATCAAGACCATGATCAATTTCAGGTAGAAGTGCCTTCCATATTTCATGTCTTTTTTCGTCAACAGTAGTAGTGAGAGTTCCATCTTCTTTTCTAATTTGTGGTATAATGGTATCATTGCTTTTTGGATTAATATACTTCAAAATCTTCCAAATGTCATTTCCTTCTAAACTAGACAAATATTTATTCCATTGCTCAGTACTTGCTTCACGCAAACTGTGGTCAAAAATTTTTCTAGCTTTTTTCGCCTCTTCAATTTTGTCGTTTCAAAGCCAAAGAAGGTTGCCTTTGACGGGCTTCCCTTTTAGCTTCTAGCGCTTTTTCTAACTTCTCCCTTAATTCTTGATTCCAATAACGTTTGGACTTTTTCATCACCTTAACTTCCTTCATCGACTTTGCCATTGCTCTTTTTACAACCTCCTCAAGAACTTTAGCTTGGTCATCAATTTGGTCAGTTGATTTTAGAGTTTTGTTATGCACATTAAAATCTTTAATGGCAGAAGAAAGCTCCTTGTCAAACTTTTCCCAATCTGCATTCTTAATATTCAATCTCTTCACCGAAGTAAAAACTTCATCCCCGTTTTTACTCTGAGACATATAGATGTCCCACTCCACAATTGAGTGATCACTTAGTGTATTTTCATCCACTCCACTAAATGAAATTCTATGAAGTAAGTCCACTGAGCCATAAACCAAATCAATATTGGTTCTATTGTTGTATGTTTTTTGATTTCTTGGAGTAATTAACATCATATCATTTTCATGTAGCCACTCAACAACTTCATCTGCTTCCGTATTCGGACCTGCCCTTGACTCCCATTCCTTGTGATGTAAGTTATAATCACCTGCAATGACAATCTTTGAGTATTGTTCCTTGATCTCCCGTTTGAGAAACTCAAAAACCGGTGGCTCAGGGTATTTCTTGGATGGTTTCGGTTGATTATAGACATTGACAATTGTAATGTCTTTAACCAAAATGGTAACCATATCTCGATTTGTAAACTTTTCAATTTTAGTAGTTAATGCTCGTAAGTCAGAGTTAGACCTAATATAAGTAATTGCTCTGCATTTATTTTTTTCTTTTCCAGTTTCTGTAAAGATTGGGATCCAATCTTTATGTTTAATGGGCCCATAGTTGTTAAAGTAAGGTTCTTGTAATAACAAGATATCAGGTTCTTTTTTTATCTAAGATAGTTTCAGTAATAGATTTCGATTTATGACAATTGAGTTGGAATACTTTATAATTCATTGGATGTATTAGAATTGTTTTCGTTTTCTTCCTCATTGGATTCATCTAGTTCTTCAATATTTGTTTCTTTCATCGGTTCATCTTGTGAGTCGTCAGTGGAAACAGGATGGGCCTCATTATCCTTTTTGTCTGATTCATTTTTCAATAATCGTATCTTATTACGCATAGCTTGGAGTTCTTCAGGAGTTTTTTCCTGCTAATAAAAGGTCTAACTTTAACTTTTGTGTACTGGATAATAAGATTATCAGCACACTTTGCATAGTCTTGGGCATTTCTGAATGAAACCAATGCTGTTTGGGTAAATTGGTTTCTGCTAATGATTTTGGGTTCGGTATTCAAAACAATATGGTAATCATTAAAATTGTAGAGAGTTTCTTTCAAGTCTTCAATCGATGCCGTATTAGGTATTTCCTGAAGTACAGCCTTGTACCAAGAATCTGTGTCAAGCACTGAATAAGTAGGGTCAACTTTGGGGATCCATTCTGCAGCTTTATCAGCAAAATCTTTGTCATTAAGTTGAACATATAAATGCCCTTTGACAGTATAGCCTATTTCCTGAGCCACCGGCTTTTGTGCAACCGCATCAATTTTCTTTCCAATCGCAGGGATATTAACTCTTTTCATGGTATCTGGAATTCTTATGCACACTCTAAAAGTGGGTTTGTCTTCATCAACTTTAGTTTCACGGTGTTGTTTTTGAGCCTTCATAATGTCTTTCAACTTTGGAGTTGTTCCATTTGGGGTTTTAGGGGTCAAAGCAAAAGGCAAAGTGTCGACTTTTCTTACCGCGCTCTTGATTTCCTTTTTTGCGTAGCTAAGTTCTTTTTGGTAGTTAAATCAGCCTTAGTTGAAATAGTTCCAACTTTGTATTCCATATTATCAACTCTTTTCTCAAGATTGTTGGTCATTTCTTTGAATTCCTTGATTTCAGTGTCGATAATTCTTTTGTTTCTTGCTTTTTCTTGAGACAAATCTTGAAGAGTCATCTTAGCTATTTCATCAGCTTTATGTTTCACTTTATCGCAATGATCCTTATTATCTTTAACTTCCTTTTTGAGTTTTCAAACATTACATGTTTAACTTCTGTGTGAACCTGATTGTTTCTCAAAACATCAAGTTCTGAGCGAAGAGAATTCACTTGTCCTTCTGAAGCTTTAAGCTTTTCGGTCAAAGCAATGAGTTGTTTAGCTAACTCATTGTTTTTAAGTTCAAGATTTTGAAATTTTATTTCCCAATCTTCAATTGTAATACTCAAGTCTTCTTTAACAATAGACAATTCAACCAGAAATACATCCTTAAGTTTTAAGATGTATTCCCAGGCTTCAGAATTATCACCAAATGGATTTGCATCCGGCATGAGAACATCCATGTCACGTGATGGTGTTGCGTCAATTTCAACATCACCACCATCTGGTGAGGAGTCAAAGGTAGGGTTCAAGGTTGGACCAACATTCACAATAGGGGTTTCAACGGGGGTTTCGTGGTTTGAAGAAGCGTTATGCTTATCATTCGATTCAAGCTTTTTGTGGATAGTTTCAATTTTTTTATGGGAGTCTGGTTTTTCATTATTTTTTTGGATTTTTGTCGAGGGTTTGATGTGATGAGCTTCATGAGAATGAGGTCCTCTGGAATGAGAACTTTCTTTCTCCTTCAGTTCAACAGCAATAATTTTTTGCATATCATTAATATTAGTCTGTTCATTATTATTGTCGGTATAATTATTGTCGGCAGGGGGGTCGCCGCCACTAAACGTGGTTTGGTTGTTGTTGGGGGGGTCTGACATTTTTTTTTTTTTCTGTTCAATAATTTTAAGGGATGGTAACGGTGTTTTTAAGTAGCGACGCATATTTACTAATTTAATTAACATTTTTTCTAAGCGTTAGTGGTTTAGCGGTAAAATTCGTCGTTGCCATCGACGAGCCCCCGGTTCGACTCCGGGCTGACGCATAATTTTTTTTAGTTGTAATTTTTTTAATTTTTCAATAGAAGTTGGATTGACTGTGAATTTTGATGTTTGTTAGTTGAGTATCCAAACATAATTACTATGGTAGTGCTACTGCAATGTTGAAACTTTTTTTTCAGTACATTAAAAAATGATGTAACTGTCTCTAGTTAAACGTTTTTGAATTACCGAATTATTATTGGAATAGTTCTAGATGGTGTTTTTGAATCTGTTTTTTTTGTTTTTTTTTTGCATGGTTGTAAATTCATCGTTATTGTAAGGTGGAGGGAGATGTTAAAATGTGATATAAACATTCCAATAACGAAAATGTTGATAATTATATGGTGACTGACATTGTTCAACCAAATAAACACAAAGTGAAACAGGTCTCTTTGCAGTCGTTGAAAATATATACATCATCAACCTAGTATTAATGACTTCGAATTGATCAATAGATAATTCAAAGTAGGATAATAGATTAAATTTGAAAATTTAAAAAATCTTTTTGAAAGATCCCTTTTTCAGAAAGCTTTTCATCATTTTTTTTTAAAAAAAAAAGCAAATCTGCCTGAAAAACCGTTGTAGATCACTTATATATAATGCACTAGCTTTTAGATGTCCCAAAATTGAGCTTAAGTTCCAAGCTTGATTTTATTCAAAAATTTTGTCTTTTGTTTGTTTATTTAGATTATCGACTTTTAGACTCTAGTCGTAGTATCAATGCTAGAGTCAAAGGTGAAGGGGTGCTAGATTTATTCCTCATCGTCACTATCCATAATACGTCGGCGTTTGGGTCGTTCATCAGTTGCTTCGTGAGCAGACTCTTCGGCCTCTTCGGCCTCTTCTTCTTCTTCTTCTTCATCATCCAATACAGGGTCCTCCTCGAGATCGTCTAAGCCTTCATCACTATCTTCAATATCAGAAGCACTCTTGAATTTCTTTCGAGATTTTCTAGGCTCCCTAGGCTTGCGAGGTTGTCTGGGTCCACGAATCCGTTTCTCACCGCCTCGGCTACGCTTTTTAGTTGATTTTTCTTCTTCTTCATCGTCATCAATCCTCTCAGCAGCAGCCTTTTCAGCCCATTCACGAGCTTGTTCCTGTAATTGCATGCGCTCTTTGACAAGCATCTCTTCGCGTTCCTTCTCTGCCTTTGCCTTGGCCTCTTTCTCCCGTGCTAAACGCTCCTTCTCTGCAAGTTGTGCCTTTCGAGCCTGATCAATACGGTCGTGATATTTGATTTCGTACTCCTTTTGCAACTCCAATGCTCGCTTTAACCTTCTGATCGTTGTTTCCTCTGCAATAGAAATACTTTTCTTTAAGTCCTCAGGAGGGTAAGGAGGATGTCTGGATTTGGCAATCTCTTTCATTGAAATAATTGCAAGCTCAAGGCCCTTTATAGCTTTTTCAATATCTTTGGTAGTCCGATCGCGCTCAGCCAGTTTTTGAATGAAATCCGCCATTTGGAAACGTAAAAATGCAACGTTAAACTTAAGTCCCATGTTTTCAGGGTACTCGTCAAAAGCCTTTTCAGAGTAGCTCAAGGAAGTCTTGAGAGCCTCCATACTGCGTTCCGTCATGCCACGAGCATACCATGCACGACCGAGCAAAATCAAAATTTGTGGATCGCGTCTATATCTATTAAGGGCAATCTCGTAGCACTCAATTGCCTTAGAAAACTGCCTTAAATCAACAAGACAATCACCCATATTAATGTAAATGGATGCATCGTTTAACGTCTCACGAATTTTACTAAAAATTTGAAGAGCCTTGTCTGACTGTTTAGTTTCAGCAAATATAATTGCAACGCCCTGCGCTGCAAACGCATTGTTTTTGTCTGTCAGCAACGCACGCTCAAAGTATTCAGCAGCCTTTGAGTATGTCCACTCTTTCTTTTTCAAGTCATTGTCTGAGTTGACACGAAGACCACGTGCAACACCAAGGTATAAATTTCCAATTGCAACCATTGAATATGTGTCGTGCTTGTCGATTTCAGTAAGCGTCCGCTTGTAGTGCTTCATTTCAACATCATCATTCAGACTCTTGACTTGAGGCCGACGCTGGCGTCGCAGATAGTAACCATAAAGCGCCCTTACTTCCAAATTGTTTTGGTGCTGAGCCATAAGCTCACGAACTTTAGTTGGGCCATTCTGTTCACCAAGAGCAAGACACAGGTATGCTAGACGGATTCTAGCAGAAAGGTAATCTGGGTGTTCATCCAAAATTTCTTGGTAAAGTTCTCGCGCTTTTTCAATGTTACCACTGGCATCTTCAAGGCGAGCTAAATTGTATTGAATAGAGGTTTTGACGTTTTTGTGGAAAACATGGCCATCTTCCTCTGCCTTTTTTGCCATGTCAAAAAATAACCGTGCCGAGTCATAACTACCTTTAGTATAATGAAGCACACCAATATTATTGTATAGTTCAGCTTTAACAGGAATGTCTTCCTGTGATTGAATGAGTTGAATCACTTCGTTCAATGTATTAAGAGAAGTGGTGGTATTCTTTTCTTCTGTAATTTTTGCCAAAGTAAGTAAAGCTTCAATTGGTGGTGCTTCGTCTTGTTCCTTAGAAAGCCGCATAAACTTTTCCAAATATGTAATAGCTTTATCTCTATGCTCAATACCAAGGGCAGGTTGTTGTTGCCAGCGTTGGACATATGCCAGAGCTAAGAGAAAAAGCGCCTCTGTACTCTTGGGGTTTTTTTCAACAATTTGTTCAAATGTGAAAAGAGTTTCGCTATCATTCTGAGCCATTAATACAAGACCCTTACCCACGCGTGCAACCAAGCTCTGCGGATTTGCTTCCTCAGCCTTTTTGTAATATTTGAGTGCTTCTTCGAGATTATCAAGATAGTGATACGCACGCGCCATCCAAAAATAAGCGTCACTAATAACAGGTTTAACATTAGAGTAATCAATGGCTCGTTTGGCCAGTTTGATGACACTGTCCATTTCAGTTTTTGAAAAAAGGTAACTTGCAATGATCAAATCTGCGGCAGAATAATTTGGGTTAGCCTTGTAGGCGCTTTGGATGTGATTCAATGCTTTGATATAAGTAGCTTCAAAAGATGGGTCGTCCACATTCTTGACAGCTTCGTCCATGTAGTAAAGGCCCATAAGAACATTAATTGCTATTCCATCAGGATCAAGCTCAAGAGCACGTTTCCAAGCTGCGTGTGCCATTTCTTTGTCATTAAGATGCCAGAAACACAAACCAATGCCAATTCGGGGGTCCGGGTGAAAATTTGGTCGCGAGCGAAGAATTAATTGGTAAATGGCAAGAGCTCCTTTGTAGTTTTTCTTGCTGTAAAGGACACGAGCCTTACCGAGATGGCCAAAAAGATTAGAATCCGAAGACTCAGTAAGAACCACGCGAAAAGAATTAAGACTGCCCTCAAAGTCGCCTTTAAGGACACTAAGTTCACCACGCGTTAGGTGGCCAAGAGTGGACTGGCGATCAATCATGGCAATTCGATTTGCAGCCTGAGTAGCCAATCGACGGTAAGACTTTTTCGTTTCGCCCGTATCCTGATCAAAATTAGGGGCATCGCGTTCTTTGCGATAGTAAAGCCAAACCAGGAGTGAAAGAAAGTGGAGAGTATCTTCCTCTGTTTGGAGAACTAAAAAAAAAAAAGGGGGGGTTAGAAAGGAATGAAACAAATGAAACAAATGAACAAACATACACTCCATGCCAGTCTTGACTATTTCAATAGCATTATCAACATTTCCTAAACGAGCATAAGCAGTCTATATTGTTAGTAACAGCAGATTGTTTCTTGGATTTAAAGACTTACAGCAATGGCAAGCCAGTAAGAGCGATCGCACGACTCGTTGCGAAGAAGAGTACAAATCTCTTCAGGATCTTCTCTGAGATCATTGACAAGATCAATAGTAACAACCTCATCACCGTTACCAATCTCTAAATGGTTCGGGTTCATAGCCGTCATGTAGTTGTAGGCCGACGCATCTTCATACTGCGGAGAAGCCATTGTTAGATGTGGTTGTTTGGTTGTTGTTGTTGTTGTTATTTAAGAATTGTTGGTAGGGAGAAGGGAGTGGTGGCAGTGGTAAAGAAAAATTATTTTATTTGAAAAAGTTCGACCGGGTAACTTGCAATATTTTATTTTTCTTGATTGGGAAAAAAAAAATTTTGGCTTCTCCGAAAATTTCAACAACTTTGAAGTTTCCGACTAGCTTTCAAATTAAGAATGACAGAAAATGCAGAAGCACCGACTAAAATCAGACTATTCATAGGCTCGATTTCGCCGTTATTGGCTCAAAGTATTGATGAGCTTAGTGCTCGTTTTGAAAAGTATGGCAAGCCACTGGCTCCGATTGAACTTCATCACAAGCCCATTTTGGATTCGTACTACGGATTTCTTAATTTCGAGACTACACCACAACAGTATGATACCATGAAGAAAGCATTTGCTAAGCTTAAATTCAAAGGATCAGTTATTAGCATTGAAAAAGCCAAGCTGGATTTTCAAGATCAATGGGCACGCGAACAAGCACGGCCAAATCCACCACCATCAAAAGACGCTCTGCGGCGGCGATACGGTCCTGCACGACGAGGCATCGACGAAATTCCTGGACGGATGAGAACAACGCTAAGACGAAAGTATCGATACATGACATTTCGGATCATAGTAGGGAATAGAAAAAAGGTGCTAAATTGTCCACGCAAAAAGCTGTGGGGCTTTATGCGAGACCGTAAATTGGATGAGGTGGTGTGGCAATATTCTAATCGGCAGTGGAGAGATGGTAACGGAGATGTCATTGAAACTGTGGATTTCCGACCGGTAGCCCCTAAGAGTGTCGGAGGAGTTAATTTTGATGCAGCTGAGGAGGAAAATAGTGAAGAACAGGAAGAGGAAGAGGAGCGACAGCGGAACTTGTCAATTTTAGAGAAGATGTTTGGCGGGGCCAGCGAGGACTACATCCCTAAGGCCACCCTGGACTCTAAGAATGATCTGGATGAAGAGATTCAGGAAGATGATGAAGATGATGATGAAGATGATGACGATGATGATATGGCTGATTGGGAAAATCACCAAAACTTTCACAAAGTTGAATCCGTGGAAGAGCAAGAGCAAGAGCAAGAACAGGAACAGGAACAGGAACAGGAACAGGAACATGAAGAAGCGCAGGAAGAACAAGAACCCGAGGAGCCCACAGAGTCAATCTCTGTTGAGGAAGACATTGAACCTGCGCCAGCTACTAAACCAAGCACTAAGACCCTGCGAAGTTTGTTTAACCCGACTGAGGGCTCTGGTCAGTTTTCTCTTTTTGGGAATGATTTTGCAGACTCTGAAGATCTCGACAATACAGTTCTCGAGCAGCTCGATGCTGAAGCCGTTCGACAAAAGAAACGACCTGCAGAGGCATCTTTATTCGATACACTTCCTTCCGGTGGGGTTTCATCCGCGGAGCGCAAGGGCTTGTTTTTCGGACACTTTGAATCGCCGTTTTTGTCGTCACAGGCACAGGCCGCACAACTGCCAGCCTTACAGCAGTTTGACAGCGAAAAATGGGAATCATTATTCTACGCGCGCCGGAGTGACTGGGCAAAGAAATTTAAGGGTCGTCGGCGCGAAGCTCTGCGGCAGATTGAGCGTAAGAACAAAGCGCGCCGGCGGACTGCGGTGGTTTGATGGGATGGAAGTAAGGCGTTTTGATGTGTAGTGACTTTTACGTAACTGTGGAATGGAGGGGACTTCGTAATTCTTGATAGGTATAAAAAAAAAAAAAATCACCACCAGTTTCTTTTCCAAACCACCATTAAACCTTCGACCCAAACCGTAATTCTCCAAAGATCACCTGTGTAAGTGCCATGAATCTTCCTTACTGCCTTGTGACTGTCTGCCATGAATCCTTCTGACGATTTAGGTTTTTTTGGTTCTTGTCTCACAGCTTCATAATACGGTTTGTTACGTAACTGAAAAATAATCATGTCTTCCAACGTACAAGCCGACCAGGGAGTGCCTGCAATCAAAGTTCATCCCGTAAGTAAAAACATAGCAACTGTTCCTTCCCTTTCTTTTCTTCCCATAAAACATCAATCATCATGTCCTCTGTTCAAAATCAAGCTAACAAGTCGGCTGAAATTAAACAAAAACTGTTGTCGCCGCAAGTCTCGCAGGTTCTTAAACATGTTTGGAGAGCAGGTAAGTCTCTAGTCCTTCATTAAAAAGTCCTCAATTCTAACCTGAATAGCGCATGCTGCCGTCCTGGCTTTCGCCGTTATCTTTACCCTCTCCTTTATTATTTTTAAGGGAGGTTCACTCGTTGGCCAAATAGCTTACCGCGGTCTTTTCCTTTCAGCTACCACGGTTTATACACTTTCGCTTTTCCAGCGTTTCCAAGGCCAGATTCCCTCCTTTTATGTCTTGCTTCGCATGGACTCCTTCCAGTACGGTTCTCTGGCCTTTTTCTGGCTCTTCACCAGATGGCATTTGATTAAGATTATTCCATTTGTTTTTTTCAGTGGTATGCACATGGCCGAGTATGTGGCGGATGAGCTCAAGCCAGGAACAAAAATCTCAGATGACATTCACAAGCTTGTTTCTGAGCATGGTGCTACTCTTTACAGATACACTGCCTGGTGTAATATAACCATTTTTGTGCGTCTCTTTATTGACTGTCTCTTGCTCCGCCACGGCTCTACAGTTTCGCTATTTGTTTTTGCTCTCTTTTTCCGTATTCGCGTCGCTTACTCCCCCGTTACGCAACAAGTTATTAAAGACCTTTTGGGACACATTGATACCCTTGCAAATAATCCCAAGGTCCCAGCCAAGGTCCAAAGTTACTGGGCCCAAATTAAGAATGCGCTTGAAAACTATGAGCCCACCTCTCTTGATCCTAAAGCTGCTCGTGAGCACATTGCTCGTCTTAAAGCGCTCCGTGAAAAAGAAGCACTTGAGGAAAAGCTTGCTGAAGAAAAGTTTGAAAAGGAACACTATAAATAAAGTCTATAATCATCATCTACTTAATACCATCATCTACTCAATTGATTCTTTAATTTCAAGAAGCTTCTCCCATCCAGGACTATCCTCCCAGTATTTTTTGCCCTTGCCAATGAGTAATCTCACTGCAGATCGCGCCTTGAACTTATGGTTGGCACAAACAACAGTATCTTCTCCCAGTCGACCTTCGCGAGGACCCAAATTGGCGTATGCGTCCACAAGTTCTCCACAAAATTCCACGGCTTCGTTCCAAACGGCTTCCTCGATTTCCACCTGTGGCTGATGGGTATAGATTCGGAACCCCTTTTCGTAAGCATCTAGAGCAGCCCAAGGATGTCCACGCCATAGCTCCACACGTGAAACAACCCGCCACAATCGTGGGTTGTGTGTAATAAGGGGAGGGAGTGTTGATGTGAAAAGTTCAGTAGCCGATTTTTGAAAAAATGTAAGTGAAGAAGGATTCCAGTCAGTCCGTACAAGGACGTTAGATAATTGCTCTAGTACAGCAACATCGCCAGCTGACTCGACGTCATTTTTGCTCAGCTTGAGGACCTCACGCATGCCGAGAAGTACTTCAGACCACTCCTGCAACTCTGTTGCAACAGTAACATAATTACTCCAAACTTTCCATTTGAGCTTGCTAGTGACGTACTTTACGGCTTGTTTTAGCGCATTTAGTGCCTCCTTCTTCTTGTCGAGACGTAGTAACGCAGAAGCAAGATTACTCCATGAAACACCACTATCATCTTCCAACGCAACACATCGAGTAAAGGCCTCTGCAGCAAGTTCATACTGCTCTGTTTCCAATCCAGCACACCCATACATGAACCAAGTTTTGAAGTGCATTGGGTTAATCCTAAGGGCCTCGTTCATGTATTTGATGGCCAGATCAATATTTCTTGGAATACCTGCAGATTTAGGCGGGTTATAGTAGTACGATGCAAGTGATCGGCGAGCACCAGGGTACTTGCCAACATCCCAAGCATGCTTCCACAGTTCAGGATCTTGGTTAATATCACCAAGAATGCTCCAAGCCCGAGCATCTTTGGGATGTTTGGCCAAGTGATCTCTCAAAACTTCTTGGGCTTTGTTTTCCTGGCCGACAACTGCGTAACACAGAGCAGCTTGGTGCCACATAGCCAATCGTTCGTATACCTCAATTGCAGACTTAATTGAACCAATGCTCATGAACTGCTCTGCCAGTTTCGAATCCATAGCCCATTTTGGCAGTGGAACCAGAGAGTGGATGTAAGACAACCGCTCAGAAATGTTGTCAGTTTGTGGCGTAGCAAGAAAAGTTGCGGAATTTTGGCCCAGTTCTTCCACCAGACTTTGCATCTGCAAAGTTCCACGCTCTACTGTCTGCGCAGCACGAGACTCAAGTACACTGCGTTCCCAAAGCGCACGACTATACAAGCACCAGTTGACGCTACCATCCTTACTTTCAATAATACGGTTAGCTAATGCAAGCATTTCTTCTTGTGTTAGAATGTTATCAGAAGTAGAAGTCTCCTTAATGTAGGCCAACTTCAGCAAAACAAGTGCAGAGTCGATATCCTGCAAAGTTGGTTGTCGGTTCGGATCCAAGTTGCGCAACTCTTCCGGAAGAGACTCGTAATCGCGGAATATATCTTCGTTATCGGAAATCTTTGTGTAACTAATTTTGTCAAGCAACAAATCTGAATTGAGCTCAAGGGCAATGGGTGGTGGTGGAAGCGAATCAAAACTGTCGTCTGGGTCGTCATCCTTGTTGTGCTTAGACTTTGCAAGCAAAACTAGTTGATGTGTTTCTGTGCGCTGGAACTTGGTACGTTTGCCCTTGACACCAGTGATTGCCATTTGCAGCTGTGAAGCTTTTACAGAAACAGCCAAGGTACGCTCAGCATTGGCATCGAGTCCAAACGCAAGCTCAGCGCGTGTAAGTTCGGCGTAAAAGACTGTCTGCAAGTGTTGGGAAAGGAGATCGGCAGGTATAGTCGAATCCGTCATGTTTAATAGACCCTTAAGATTGGCAATTGAATATCCGTCAAAAACTTGTTCATGGAGACAGGACACAGTGTTATCGAGAAGTGATTGGTAAATAACACTGACTCTTGCAAGCCATAGTTTGGCAAAGGGTAATAAAGCAGTGTCAGAAAGCTTCTCATTGTCGATGATAGCCTTGAGAAAACGCGTACTAGCCAAGATCAAATGAGGGTTGCTGGTCAAAATGTAAACAGGTTCGCCTTCAATAAGCAAAGAATCAATAATCTCAGAATCAAAAGTCTTTTGTTGGTCAGCAGCCACCTTGACGGTCTTTGAATAAATGTCGATACTAGCCGCAGGGCCTGTAAAGTTTGTCTGGATAAAGAGTTGTAAAAGACAAGCGGCAGCACAAATGAAATCCGAGGTTGTTTCTATAGCTTTGACAAGATCAGTGGATTCAATTATACTGGAAATAGCGGAATCGAGTTTAGCGGGATAGTCATCGTGATCAAGTGTAAAGACTGGTTGAAGAGTAGGCAGATCGAGAACCCCATAAGTACCAGAAAGGGCCCCACCAAGAAAGACATCAAATGACTTGTACTGAGAGTCACTATTAAACTTGGCCCTATCAAAGATCAAAAAGTTCTTATGGGCTTCAATGTACTTTTCAGATGTTGACGCCGTCATCGATATTGTGTACTTATAGAAGTAGATTGAGAAGAAAAAAAAAAAATTTTGAAAGTTTAACAAAAAAAAAAAAAAAAAAAAAAATTAAACCCCTAACCCTGTTGATACGGCTAGCTGTTGTTCTTTAAAAGATGAAAAAACGGTAGTAATCAGAGTGTATTTAAGAGTAATAAGCCCGGTATGGTGAAAAATAAAAATAGACTGACTCAATAAAGGTAATAAATATAATAAATTTAAATTTTTATGTCGGTTTTATAAAACCTTTTCAAAAAGAAAAAAAAATTATGTGGATTATATTCAACTTTTATTTGCATACTTTGAGGTTCAATCTTAACATATTTACTTCGAAGTCACGGGACCCGTGGTGTAATGGTTATCACGTTTCGTTCACATTTGTGAAATCCGAAGAGGCTCCGAGTTCGATCCTCGGCGGGTTCATTTTTTTTTGGCTTTCTATTGTTTGAAATTTTTGTTGAATAAATGAATGGATGTTGTTTTTTTTTGTTTTTTCAATTGTGTTATTCTTTTATGTTTTCAAAAAATAGACAGTATTTCTATATATATTTTAATTTTTTTTAATTTTCCCCTGTTTATTAGTTTGTTTTTTAATTCAAGCTATATGATCGTATAACACCAACATTAATTCCATCTTTATTGCTTTTATTATAACCTTAATGCTATAAATTGTGTAAAATGTTTGTTTGTTTGTTTGTTTTTATTCAAGGGTTATAGAATTATATAACATCAGCATCTGCGCTATCCTTCTTGTCCATACTATATATTTTTTCATTTTGATAATAAACTTTTAATTTTGGCTTCAACATTGCATCTCCAACAGCCCGAAAATAAGTCCTGATGCCAGCTTACGAGGAACAGGGGGTTAAAAATAACCAAACCTTCCCAACCTATCTCCACTTGTCTTCATCAACGCTGTAATTGTATTTCTTAATCCCTCCAAGCAGAGATAAAGCTTACAATCTCTTGTAAGCCAGTTAAACTGTTTAAGAGAGTCGACATGTCCATCTCTGGAGATATCCGTTTCAGTCCTTTTCTTTCCTCTTCAAGCAAAGGACACTCAACTAAAATGTGATGAACTGTTTCCAGCTCTCCACATTTGCAGTTGTAACTATCCTTTTCAATTCCAAACTTTTTAAACCATGCGCCAAAGTTGCCATGGCCTGTGCGAAACTGAGTAATATTACTCAAGATCCTTCGACTATCTTTCTTCATGATCACTCCCGTAACCATTTTGGAAAGATTATCAGTACATTTCGACTCCACTGTGATATTATGATACCACAGATCCTTACTGCTGTTCCAATACATTTCTTGCCATTCTTCCATTGCTTGTTTCTTCAAAATTCCAATCGTCTGATTTTGTTGTTGTTTCAGTGTAAGAGGTTCAACCCTCTTGCATTTTCGTTTTTCATCCTTTTTAATCATATAGTCTCTATCATCTTTCGCCAACATGTAAAGCGTGGTTAGCTTTGCAATTGGAGATTTCTCAATCAATGTTAACAAATGACCATTAATAGGATTAGTTTTGCTAATATTTAGGTGTAAACGAATAGCTTTTCGTGCCACCATAAATTTTAGCCTAATACTATATGGCATAATACCAGCTTCCTTTTGTAATACCGCAATAGGAGTTGTGCGATAAGCACCAACAATTCTTCTTAAAGCCATGTTCTGCATCACTTCCAACTTGTGGATTTCTCCTTTCAAGATTTTATGATGCCAAATTTCTAAGCCATATTCAACAATTGGTCTCACGCAAGCAATATACAGTGATCTGACTGCAGACCCTCGCATACCTTTTTTGCACGCCACCAAGATGCCAAATAGCACCAACAGCTTTTCTTGCTTTATTGATTTTATTCAAAATATGAGATTTAAAATCAAGCAGATTGTTCAAAGTAATTCCAAGCAATTTAACTTCCTTCTGGGGTTCACGAAGTTCTCCATTAGGTAAAGTAAGTTGCACTTTCTCATCTTTAGGTTTCACATTTTTTGTAAAATGAATAAAACCCAATTTATCACCCAAATCAATTTTGGTCATTCTTGATTTAGCCCAATTACAACATTTTTCTAATATGTTGCTTAAGCTTTTGGTATTTTCTTCAATTTTACCTTCAACGGTAATAGTCACATCATCAATAAAGCCAAAAGGAGTTCCACCCCATTCTTTAATGGCATGATACATTGGTGTGGAATATATCAAAAAAAGTAGTGGTGAAATAGGTGAGCCTTGCGGAATTCCAGTACTAATTTTTTGCACTGATCCTTTTCTTCGGTCCATGAGCATACTAGCTTCTCTTTCACTTACAAATTGGTATGTCCAGTTTATAAGTGCTTTGGGTAGTTTCATATCCTCCATTGTGTCTGCCAATAAATTTCTGTTGACATTATCAAAAGCTCCTTGAATATCAATGAGCATAGCTGAAATTTTTTCTTTACTAGTTTCAATTCTTTGGACAAGTTCCAAAACAGCATCAGTAGCACAATAACCTTGTCTTCCCCCATATTGCTCTGGTGGAAGTAAGTGTGTTGTAAGCTTGGTCATTCTTTTTTGTATAATTTTTTCCAGTACTTTAGATGGAATCTTAAGTAAGGAAATTGGTCGGTATGCTCTTGGCTTTGAATAGTCAGGTTTCTTAGGTTTAGGTATAACAACAATAATGCCATGTCTCCAGACTTTTGGGTGGTATCCAAACTTCACACAAGCTTGGAGAAGCTTGAAAAACCTTTCCTTAAAGTCTTTATTCAGCCATGCCATCTTTAAAACTTTGCCAGTAATTCCATCGTCTCCTGGAGCTTTATCATTTGGGGTATCAGCCAATGCAGAGTCAACTTCATCAAACTCTAATTTTGGCCATCGAGAATCGTCGTCAATTTCAAACTCTCTATCAAGACCATGATCAATTTCAGGTAGAAGTGCCTTCCATATTTCATGTCTTTTTTCGTCAACAGTAGTAGTGAGAGTTCCATCTTCTTTTCTAATTTGTGGTATAATGGTATCATTGCTTTTTGGATTAATATACTTCAAAATCTTCCAAATGTCATTTCCTTCTAAACTAGACAAATATTTATTCCATTGCTCAGTACTTGCTTCACGCAAACTGTGGTCAAAAATTTTTCTAGCTTTTTTCGCCTCTTCAATTTTTTGTCGTTTCAAAGCCAAAGAAGGTTGTCTTTGACGGGCTTCCCTTTAGCTTCTAGCGCTTTTTCTAACTTCTCCCTTAATTCTTGATTCCAATAGCGTTTGGACTTTTTCATCACCTTAACTTCCTTTCATCGACTTTGCCATTGCTCTTTTTACAACCTCCTCAAGAACTTTAGCTTGGTCATCAATTTGGTCAGTTGATTTTAGAGTTTTGTTATGCACATTAAAATCTTTAATGGCAGAAGAAAGCTCCTTGTCAAACTTTTCCCAATCTGCATTCTTAATATTCAATCTCTTCACCGAAGTAAAAACTTCATCCCTGTTTTTACTCTGAGACATATAAATGTCCCCTCCACAATTGAGTGATCACTTAGTGTATTTTCATCCACTCCACTAAATGAAATTCTATGAAGTAAGTCCACTGAGCCATAAACCAAATCAATATTGGTTCTATTGTTGTATGTTTTTGATTTCTTGGAGTAATTAACATCATATCATTTTCATGTAGCCACTCAACAACTTCATCTGCTTCCGTATTCGGACCTGCCCTTGACTCCCATTCCTTGTGATGTAAGTTATAATCACCTGCAATGACAATCTTTGAGTATTGTTCCTTGATCTCCCGTTTGAGAAACTCAAAACCGGTGGCTCAGGGTATTTCTTGGATGGTTTCGGTTGATTATAGACATTGACAATTGTAATGTCTTTAACCAAAATGGTAACCATATCTCGATTTGTAAACTTTTCAATTTTAGTAGTTAATGCTCGTAAGTCAGAGTTAGACCTAATGTAAGTAATTGCTCTGCATTTATTTTTTTTTCTTTTCCAGTTTCTGTAAAGATTGGGATCCAATCTTTATGTTTAATGGGCCCATAGTTGTTAAAGTAAGGTTCTTGTAATAACAAGATATCAGGTTCTTTTTTATCTAAGATAGTTTCAGTAATAGATTTCGATTTATGACAATTGAGTTGGAATACTTTATAATTCATTGGATGTAATAGAATTGTTTTCGTTTTCTTCCTCATTGGATTCATCTAGTTCTTCAATATTTGTTTCTTTCATCGGTTCATCTTGTGAGTCGTCAGTGGAAACAGGATGGGCCTCATTATCCTTTTTGTCTGATTCATTTTTCAATAATCGTATCTTATTACGCATAGCTTGGAGTTCTTCAGGAGTTTTTTTCTGCTAATAAAAGGTCTAACTTTAACTTTTGTGTACTGGATAATAAGATTATCAGCACACTTTGCATAGTCTTGGGCATTTCTGAATGAAACCAATGCTGTTTGGGTAAATTGGTTTCTGCTAATGATTTTGGGTTCGGTATTCAAAACAATATGGTAATCATTAAAATTGTAGAGAGTTTCTTTCAAGTCTTCAATCGATGCCGTATTAGGTATTTCCTGAAGTACAGCCTTGTACCAAGAATCTGTGTCAAGCACTGAATAAGTAGGGTCAACTTTGGGGATCCATTCTGCAGCTTTATCAGCAAAATCTTTGTCATTAAGTTGAACATATAAATGCCCTTTGACAGTATAGCCTATTTCCTGAGCCACCGGCTTTTGTGCAACCGCATCAATTTTCTTTCCAATCGCAGGGATATTAACTCTTTTCATGGTATCTGGAATTCTTATGCACACTCTAAAAGTGGGTTTGTCTTCATCAACTTTAGTTTCACGGTGTTGTTTTTGAGCCTTCATAATGTCTTTCAACTTTGGAGTTGCTCCATTTGGAGTTTTAGGGGTCAAAGCAAAAGGCAAAGTGTCGACTTTTCTTACCGCACTCTTGATTTCCTTTTTTGCGTAGCTAAGTTCTTTGGTAGTTAAATCAGCCTTAGTTGAAATAGTTCCAACTTTGAATTCCATATTATCAACTCTTTTCTCAAGATTGTTGGTCATTTCTTTGAATTCCTTGATTTCAGTGTCGATAATTCTTTTGTTTCTTGCTTTTTTCTTGAGACAAATCTTGAAGAGTCATCTTAGCTATTTCATCAGCTTTATGTTTCACTTTATCGCAATGATCCTTATTATCCTTAACTTCCTTTTTAAGTTTTTCAAACATTACATGTTTAACTTCTGTGTGAACCTGATTGTTTCTCAAAACATCAAGTTCTGAGCGAAGAGAATTCACTTGTCCTTCTGAAGCCTTAAGCTTTTCGGTCAAAGCAATGAGTTGTTTAGCTAACTCATTGTTTTTAAGTTCAAGATTTTGAAATTTTATTTCCCAATCTTCAATTGTAATACTCAAGTCTTCTTTAACAATAGACAATTCAACCAGAAATACATCCTTAAGTTTTAAGATGTATTCCCAGGCTTCAGAATTATCACCAAATGGATTTGCATCCGGCATGAGAACATCCATGTCACGTGATGGTGTTGCGTCAATTTCCACATCACCACCATCTGGTGAAGAGTCAAAGGTAGGGTTCAAGGTTGGACCAACATTCACAATAGGGGTTTCAACGGGGGTTTCGTGGTTTGAAGAAGCATTATGCTTATCATTCGATTCAAGCTTTTTGTGGATAGTTTCAATTTTTTTATGGGAGTCTGGTTTTTCATTATTTTTTTGGATTTTTGTCGAGGGTTTGATGTGATGAGCTTCATGAGAATGAGGTCCTCTGGAATGAGAACTTTCTTTCTCCTTCAGTTCAACAGCAATAATTTTTTGCATATCATTAATATTAGTCTGTTCATTATTATTGTCGGTATAATTATTGTCGGCAGGAGGGTCGCCGCCACTAAACGTGGTTTGGGTGTTGTTGGGGGGGTCTGACATGGTTTTTTAAATTGTGTAAAAAAATAATCTTAAAAAAACCCTTTTATACTTCCAAATGTATATGTAGGTAAAATAGTTTGGTTTTTTAACACATGAGTAATTCGGCAATAGTTTAGTGGCTAGAATTTCCGCCTGTCAGCTTTAATTAGCAGCACGCGGGGGACCGGGGTTCAATTCCCCGTTGCCGAGTATTTTTTTATTATACTTTTTTGTTGTCAATAAATTTTTATCATTTTTTTATTTAAATAAATATATATAATTGCTGAAATCATAGTTTTTTTCTTTCTTTCTTTCTTTAATCTATCATCTTAAAGGTCTTCATTATTATTTAAAATCAGAAGTTTTGTGTAAACAATTTTTTTTTTTTTTTTTGAACAGAACCAAAAATCAAGATGTACCTTTTAAAACCTCGGCTTAAGTGTCTAATATAAGAAAAAAAAAACCTAAAAAAAGTATTTCCATTCCCACCACCACTTAAAATAAAACCTTCCCTCCATCTTCTTATTTTTTTTTTTTTACTCCACACTATATACAATTGATCCAACAATGGACAGCCAACAACATCCAACAGTTTCATCAATCTCCCAGATCCCGGTTCCTGCACCTGCAAAACCTCCCGGGTCTCGATCGCCAGCCAATCTGACACTGCCTATGGCTGGTGCTCCTGAAATTAGTATGTTTTTTTTTTAATTCTTTTTCTTTCACATTTAATTCCTCCCCCACAAATAAATCATCTCTCTCTAACTTTTTTTTTTTTTTTTTTTTTTTTTGATTTAGTCCGTGCACACCAGAAAGACACATATGTTTCTTCTGTTCTTTCCGATCACCTACTTTCCGCAGTCCGAGCTATCAAGGGCTCTCGTTATGTCCATGTACATACTTCATCGCTAACAGCTCTGGCATCTTTCTTATATCTAGCAGCTACAACTGGCGCATCCTCAAAAACCCTTGGGGAAGAGTACTGTGATCTCATGTACGTTTCTGAAACAATCCCTAAAACTGAAAGTGGACTTCCTGCAATTCCTTCAGTACCGAGTCGATGGACTTTTGTAGCTGTACAGAGCCTGGGACCTCTGGTTGCTCTAGGTTTAGGTCCAGCAATCAAACGTTCGGTTGACCGTTTAGTTGCCAGGTCCCAAGCACAGGACAATGTTCAAACCCGCAAAAGTTCTAAGCGGTCATCACCATCTACAGAACCCAGTTTGCGTACTCGTCTATTAGTTTTTTTGCAATCTTTTATTTCCCGTTTACCTATTATTTTTGCCCGTGCAACTGCCATCCATCTTGCTCTCTTTTACTTTTCAGGCAAATATTATTCCTTAATAAAACGTGTCTTGGGAATGCGTTATATGCTTGCACATGCAGAATCCCCAGAACCACCTGGTGCCATGGCCCGTGGTGGTGAGTATCATGTTCTGGGTGCGTTATTGCTGGCTCAAACTGTGGCCCAGACTGGTGTTTTTTCCGCGGCTCGTAACGCTCTCAGCAGCGTAGTAGAACGGATCTTCAAATTACAAAGTTTAACAGAGTCTTCAAGCCAAAGTGCGACAACAGTTGCTGGTCAAGGGAAAGTTGTTTTGAAAGCTGACATGACACCCGAAGAAATGATTAGTGCCATTTCTCAACATACAACAACAACTACTACTACTACTACTACTACTACGACCCATACACACCAAAACCCATCTCACAAGCAAATCCGACTTGACGAGGACCCATCAGCTTTTGCATTTATCCCAGAACAATCTCGCACATGTGTGCTGTGTTTAAGTGGCCTACGCGACCCAACAACAACGCTTTGCGGTCACTTGTTTTGCTGGGAATGTATTGCTGAGTGGTGTCGCGAGAAACCAGAATGCCCTCTGTGTCGTACTGCCAATTTGGAGCAAAACCTATTAGTTCTGCGATCGTAAAAAAAAAAAAAAAAAAAAAAAAAAAATATTCTACATTTCATTTCTCTATATGCTTCTTTGGTTTCAATAACTCTTTCCAACTATTTTTTTTTCCTTTTTTTTTTAAATTCCAGAAGAGTAAGAAAACAAAATCTTCTTTTCCTTCTTCTTCTTACCCTTACGGTCATTAGACGTAGCTCCAGAAGAGGAGGACCCTTCGTCATCCTCAGCTCCACGAGAAGGTCGAAGCACAGTAGTAGCTTGAAGCACATCTCCAATTGTATTACTGTTAAGTTCGCGTGTAGGACCAGTGTGTGTAGGTTCAAAAACAGGTCGTGGGCGGGAGCCAGGCAAAGATGGGAACTCGGAAGTGTTTAAAACAGGTCTTTTGCCACTGGATGATGATCCATGTGAAGAAGTCATACGGTTGATACTAGTAGAGCTTGAGCTGGCGCTACCTCCTCCCAAAGTAGGGAACGCAGTGGTGGACGAAGTATTGAGCGATGAAGATGAGGAGTTACTTGATGCCCAAGAGGCAGATCCAAGAGTTTTCCCCTTGTTCTTATTAGCTAACGAGGAACTGCTGGAAACTTTCCCCACAATAGTTGACGATGATGCAGTTGAATAAGATTTGACGGCTGGTTTACGGACAGTAAGTGCTGGAGCTGCAGGAGCACGTGTAAGTGGGATGGGTTTTTTGCGTGAAACAGGTGGGAGAGAGGGGAAAGACGAAGTGTCACCGTGAGAAAGAATGGCAGCAGCTTTAGCAGCTTTACGAGACACTGGGCCTGTAGACCAGGGGGCCACGCCAGACTTTGATCCACGGGCCATGGGTGCATGTCCACCAGACATGGAGGAAGATGATGATGCTGAAGCTAACGCAGCAGGAAGATGCAGACGCAGGCGGTATTCTTCCCATGCACGGTTCAAGTCACGAACCTTAACAGGGTTATGGATAATGACTTTAGTAAAACCATGGACTGTTGCCTCGAGTTCTTGAATGCTGGACTCTGGGAAGAGTTCCTTGTATTGAGCAATGAGATCGTAAGCAGTCTTTTCGCCCTTGAGAAATTGCTCATTAATTTGATCAAATTGGGCAAACTTGATTGGATCATCCTTGAGCATGATTCGTACACGCTCTTGTAATCTACGGTCAGCCTGTTCAGCCATTTCCGGTGTGACGGTCCAATTAGTTGGAGTAATTGGAGTAGAAGAGCCTGAAGCATGGGCACCAAGAGCAGGGAAAGCATCACCACGAGAAAGCTGGACAGGGGTGTCATTATTTCTAGAATTTGGAGTTTGGACAGTTGACAATTGGGATCTGTACCTATTATTGCTGTTTCGGTTACTATTGTTAAAGGTAAAGTCAATGTCCAGTCTTTTGTTGGTATAAATGTCCGGATGTTCAATACTCATATGATTTTGAAGCTCAATCTTGGAAGCAAACACAATGTGTTTCTTTTCCAAACATGCAGGGACTTTACAGGGGAAATGTTCAGTACTATAGTGTTCGGTGAGGCGATCAATATCGGCGAAAAAGCGTGGGGCCAAGGCATTTTCTCTGAGACATACGTCACAGCGGAAATGCTTTTTATTGAGGTGTTCTAGTCGGTCGTCTTCTGAATAAAAGCGTTCGCTACAGTAGGGGCATGATGGGTGGCCTTTAAAGCCATCTTCATCAGGTTCTGTTTGGGATTCGTGGTGGCGAAGGCCAGCAGAGGTATAAAGGGCAAATTCTTTGGTGAAGATTGCCTTTTTGCCGCTGATGCAGAGATAGCAAAAGTGAAGATTGTGAGCTTCCTTAACGTGGGCTTTAAGATCCTTCCATCCTTCTGTTGAATAATAGTCACAGTCTTTTATGGGGCAATTAAAGCGGAGGAGACTCATGACATCGTTTCGGACACTGCGGTCATCAAACTTAAGACCAAGTTTCTTTTCATTAGCTACGAGGGCTTTATTGCTGAGATCATCAAATTGTTTATCAAAATCTTTTGTAACAATGACCACATCACGTCGAGTACGGCACTGAGGACAGTTAAAATCATCCATTAGTGCACGTAAACGCAATGCACATTTGTGGCAAGTGATGTGGTTGCAGCTATAACGGGCAACGTACTTGATTGTGTTTGCACAGATCGGGCAGTCTTCATCACTGCACCCTGCAAATTCGTCTTGGACGGGTTTGACAACATCTTCTAGAGAAGAGAGTTAGATCGGATGAAATGAAGATAAAGTCTGAGGACTTACCTTTTTGATGACGGTGGTAATTATGGTGGCTCTTTTTGTTATTGTTATTGTGGTTATGGTTATTATTGTTATTATTGTTGTTGTTATTTTTTCTATTATTTCTCTTATTGTCATTATTATTATTATTATTATTATTATTATTATTATTATTATTATTATTAGCTGATCTGGATTGATTTCCATTAGAATTGTTGTTACTATTATTATTACTGCTACTGCTTGATGATCCGCCAGCCAATCTGTTTTGATTATGATTGTTGTTATTGCGGGTATTAGTAGCAGTTCCTGGAGCCATCCTTGATGTTGAATTATTACAAATGGTGGTGGTGGTGTTGATGATGGGTTTTGTTTCTTGTTTTTTTTTGATGGCAAAAGAAATATGGTATTTATTATTATATTAAAATAAAAATAAAATAAAATAAAATAAAATAAAATAAAATAAAAATGATGTAAATTCTAAATGTTAAATGCTAAATGCTAAATGCTAAATGCTAAATGCTAAAATAACAACGACAAAAATAGAGCTTTATATCAAAAAAAAAAAAAAAGTGCAATTTCAAAATACAAGAGAAATCAAAATAACAAAAATCGTAACAGCTGAAAAGTCTAGTAAATTATAGTTGATTGGTTAAGTTGATTAATTGATTTATTAATTGATTTATTAATTGATTTATTGATTGATAGATTGATAGATTGATAGATTGATTGATTGATTGATTGATAGACTGATTGATTGCTGATTCTCTCTATGATTCTCTCTATGGTATAGAATTACTGATTGTTAAAAGTAAATAAAAAAAAAAAAACAGAAAATTCCATATAAAAAAATTTTTTATTTTTTTATGTGATGGAAAAGAAAAAAAAAAATTTTAGTGAAGGGGGAAAAAAAAAAAAAAAAAAAAAAATTCGCCCAAACAAAATGCGGCGCACATCCGCTTTCTATTTTTTTTATTTTTTTTATTATTCAAGTTAGTGGGCCGTTACGGCAAAGGAAAACGTGAATTTTTTTTTATTTATTATTTATTTATATACTATTATATACTATTATATACTATTATATACTATAGTATATATAGCTATATATAGCTATATATAATTAATTATATACGGGGGAAAGGGCACATACAAAATCTACCATTCTGGTATATACGCATAAACAGCCTAGAATTTACGCTAAGTTAAAAAGTTTCACAAACTAATAGACTTCTCTGATTGGTCCATTTTAATGTCCGAGTAATAGTTTTTTTTTTTTTTTTTTTTTTTACTGTCAAATACAAAATATTGTAGATTTTGTTTTTTTTTTAAAAAATTTATCATTTTTTTTTTATTTATATGCTTATAATTTTTTTTTTTTTTTGTAAATATATAATAATTCTCGAATAGTAAAAAAAAAAAAAATATGAAAGATATGAAAGTAACAAAGTCAACACTTTAAATGGACTTTAAATAGTAAGCTCTGGTAGTTTATTAGCAAGAGAAAAACATGTATCATTAAAACAGGGGGTTTTTTTTATAATTCATAATAATAAAGAAGATGAACCAAATATCAACCTTCTTATTTGGTGACCTGGTTGAAACCTCTGAAAGGATTGGCCTTCTGCTCCTTGAGAATCTCATGGGAAGCCTCAGCCCATTCCTTGGTGGCAGTGATACCATCACCCTCAGAGATGAGTCTGGCACCAGTAAAGAGAACAACACCAAAGAAAACCATGAGGCCGACACCCTTGAAGATCTCAGCAACCTCACCCTTGGGGTGGATGGGCTTGCGGGGACCCCATGTACCGTAAGAAATGTACCAAGCAGCACGCTTCTCAAGGGGAGTAAGCTCAGTCCAAGAGCCCTTTTGTCGCTCAGCGAGCTGAGAGATGATGTCTTCTTGCTCATCAACAGTCATCTTCTCCCAACGGCTCTCGAGGTCAATGATAGCAGGGGTAGAGATGGCCTTGGTAGAGGCAGCACGGACAGCACGGGTAGCGGCACGAGCGGCAGTGGGCATTGGTCTAATAGCTCTCAACATCTGTAATGGTGGTTAGATGATATGAATTATAATAGGATGGTGAAAATGGTAGTGGTTGTGGTGATGATTGTAATGTAAATGAAAGATGGTCAAGTCCTTCAAAGGGTATTTATATATCAAGTGGTAATTCTTCATAGGTCTCTCTCTCTCTCTCAAAAAAAAAAAAAAGTCACCCCATTTTAAGTAAGCAGGGGAGATTTTTTTTTTCTCTCCTATCAGAAAAAATGCATTTCACATAGGTACTTGAAAAAATTGATTCAAAAGTGTGGACATCGTCAAAAAAAAAAAAAAGTTGAACAGATTGGAATAAGAAAGATAAGAATAATTAGAGACTGATGGAGATATATAGTGAATACACTGTGCTGGAGTGTTTTAAAGAATTATGTTGGGTTGTGAATTTGGAAACGTGTGATTGGTTGTTTATAAAAGTTGACAGAGAACATTTGCTGGAAAGAGAGAACAAAAAAAAAAAAAAGGATTGTCAAGTATTGAAAACAAGCATGTTAAGAAGAAGAAGAAGAAGAAGAAGAAAAAAAATTGTTCAAACAAGAGTTCCAATGTAAAGTGAAGTTTAAATAATGTTATGATAATTATTGTTGAGAGGAATAAGATAAAAGCCTACTTTAAGATTTTTTCAAGGACACCTTCAAGTATTCAAACAATAGACACACAGAGACACACACACACAATAGTTTAAAAGCAAGAAGCTAGTAAATCAATAAAAGAATTGAGACAGGAACATACCTTGAATATATATATATATGGGGGGGGTGGGAATAGAGTGTGTTATATACTGGGATGGTATATATCAAATAAAAAAAAAAAAAGGGGAGTGAGGATTAGTGTTTTTTGGGTCGGGGTGTGAGTAAATAAAAGAAACAAAAAGAGAGAAAAAAGAGAAAATAAAAAATTAAAAGGAGGAGGAGAAATTAAAAAAATAAAAATAAAAATTTGAGACTGTACAAACACACACACACACACACACACACTATGAATTTTGGGTGGTGGTTGGACTTAATATGGGCTTTTTTGTGGTGGTGGTAGTGGTGGTTGTGGTTATGGTAGTGGCTATTGTGCTTATAAAATTTTCACACACACACACACACAAAAGTGACATGACATAAATATTATTTAATTACAAGTCATTTTGTAACAAATTTCACATATACACATACACGTTTTATATATATATATATATATTTTAAACAAAATTATACAAATACTCAAAATCAATTACATCAATAAATGAAATTAACGTATAAAAAAGAGAATTTAAAATATAATAATTCTCATTAGATCAAAAAAAAAAAAATTTACAATATGATTTAATTAATTACAATTACATTCATAGGGGGAAAATAAAAAATATATATATATATATTGGGAGAGAAGGAATTTAAAAGTATTGTGTTCGGGGTGGGGTATGCTCGGGATTAGGTCTGAAATTTTTTTTTATTATTTTTAACCATACCAAAGGAATAGACGGGTTGTTTTAGAAAATAGAGAATTGTTCTTTTTAATTTTTTTTTTTTTTGTATATAAACCAAAGTCCTGATGACGAGTAATCTACGGAAATATTTTTTTTTTTTTTTTTCACAGACAAAAAAAAAAACCCCCTATGATCTGTCTTAAGCAGTAAAGATCAAAGTATATATAATAGTACCATAAAACATTCCCTCCCAACCAATCATAACTATTCCGTTTAATAAAAAACAACACTTTACCTCACAAAATGATTTCCCATTAGTGCCTCCTTTGAAAGTGGAATGACAAGTCACATGATTTATAAAGACATATATATATATATATATATATGCATAGGAACTTGTGATAATAATACATTTCAAAAAAAAAATGGAATTGATTTCAGATCTATATAATAAATACTTTTTTTTTTTTTTGTCAAAGTAACTTTTTTTAAAAAAAATTAATTAATTAATTAATCTGGGGGATCTTTTGATACCAATTGAGTTTTTTTTCTCTTTTTCGGTTAATAAATCTCGTGAAAATAGTTCTTGAGTAAACCTTTAATCCTATGTAGGACATATTTAAATGATATATAATATATTATTACAATTTTTTGTAATACTTTTTTTTTTCACCCCCCCCCCCTCCGCCAAAAAAAAAATTCAATATATCATTGCCATTTAGCTTTTGTAAATGTTTAGACTTAACTTTCAATGTTCAGATAAGAATAAACTCAACAAATATTTCTCAACCTTTTTCATGGAACTGAGCTGATAACCGCCATTTTCTATACAAAAGAAGAAATGGGCTACCACAATGTCAATTAGAAATAAGTAGTAGTAATGGTAGTTGTAATAGTAGTAGCAATCATTTGCTTGCACTCTTTTTCAAGACTCGTCTTCTTTTTCGTCGATACCTACATTTGGCAATAAAACGTTAGTTAGTTCTTTAAGGGGTTGGTTGGTTGATTGTTGTTGTTGTTGTTGTTATCTTTTGAAATTCTGCTTTAACTCTTTTACCACAGTTTGGGAATTTTCATACCACCTTTTGGTATAATCACAATAAAACAACCGCGCATTACCTTCATCTTTTTTTTTTTTTTGAAGTATTACTTGTGGCAATTACAAATTATATCTTAGGCGCATGATAATCAATTCAATTCAATTCAATTTAAACTCAACTCTTTAAAAAAAGAAAAAGAAAAAGAAAACAGATCTAACTAGAATGGGCTTTTTGGATTGCCTATTTATTTTTATTATTTATTTATTTATTTTTTTACTATATATATATAAATAACACAATTAATCACTTAAATATGCAATATTCCAATCTTTAACCAAGTCTTTTAACGCTCTTTCTTAAAATAATCTTGTGTAAGTTTTCAATTTTCTTTTTTCGGGTTCTCTGAACCGCTGAAAAACCAGCTTCGATCTCGCTTAATCAGTCTTTTTTTTCTTTTTCTTTTTCTTTTTCTTTTTCTTTTTACTTTACTTTTCTTATTTTATTTTTCGTTGAAACTTATGGGAAGAGAAAACGACACCTGGTTAAGGTCCTTGTTATTTATCGTGATTACACAAACTATCAATTAAACTTGCGTCAATTGAATTGAAGAATTCCAGACTATTTATTTATTTATTTTTTTTCAATTAGTTTTAGATAATTACATAACTTATCAATAATGAAAATATACCTTTTATTTTTATTTTTATTTTATTTTTTTTGTTTTTGCACAATAAATATTTTTAAGTACATCTCTCTCTCTCTTTCTCTCTCTCCCTTTTTATTAAATTTAAACGGCACGATACCAATGATTAGAACCGGACTGGAAAAACAAAAAAAAGGAATTCTTAGAAAAAAGAAGGTATATAAAAAGAGACAATTGTTCTGGATAAATTCATAAATCAAAAAAAAAAAGAAAAAAAAAAGAAAAAAAAAAGAAAAATTAAAATGAATTCATGAGACAAAATGGACCAAATTTGTAGTTTTTGCAGATAAGTCCAATGTAGAAAGTAATGATTCTGAATGATGTTATTATCAATATCAATAATATAATCATATAACCCTAGTATATACAAATAATAATAATAATAATAATAATAATAATAATAATAATAATAATAATAATAAAAAAGGCCTCAAGATGATATTTCTATCAACTAATTAGTGGGATAAATTTTAAAATTCCAAACTTATTAACAATATATACAAGTTTCTTTACTGGGGTTAGACAAACTCTTTCACTTAAACGAGTGAAAAGCTATGCTATCTGGATATCCTACATTGGTGTCTTTCTTTCTTTCTTTTTTTTAAAAAAAAAAAGCAACACACTTGTTTTAATTGTTGGGATAATATCATAAATATTATTATTATTGACTTCAACATATTTAGAAAATATGGAATATATTTAAGAACAGTCAGCTTGTGAAAAAGCCAAATTACGAGTAGGGACAAAAACCCGCACGCGAGAAACCTGACGAGAAAAACGAAAAAAAAACAAAAAAAAAAAAGAGTGCTGAGATTTTACTGTAGAATAAACTTGGCCGTTGGTGTACCACACGTGACTGAAAAATTATTTAACGATATGCGACAGTGTATGTTGGCAATGCACCGCTTACTATTATTGGGAGAAATTCTTTTTTTTTTTTTTTTTGTTTAATCCACTTGTGACAATCTGGTTAATAAAGATTCGTTTAATTAATGGAGGCTCATATTTAATGGAATTTATTTTAAATAACTACAACCACAATTGATAGAATTATTTATTTTATTTATTTATTTTTTTTTTAATAGGGATCAAAAATAAATTTTCATTAATTTTTTTTCGATGCGTTATTAGTAGGCGGCAAAAAAAAAAAAGGTTTAGATAATAGGTCTAAGAGAGAGAAAGAGGTGAAATCGATATTAATAGGTGCCTTGGCTTGTGACAAAAACAGATAGATAGATAGATAGATAGATAGATAGATAGATAGAGAGAGAGAGAGAGAGAGAGAGAGAGAAGGAAAGAAAGAAACGTAAAACCAGCAGCATTAAACGAAATATCAAAAAAAGGACTAGTTCAGAGTTTGCTTTTTTATTTATTTATTTATTTTTTTTTCAAATTCAAGGTTACCAAAGATAGTGGGTTTTGAAAAGAGAGAGGGCTTTTTTTTTTCTTTATTCAAGTATAGCTTGGCACAAAAATTGAGACCATTGAGAGAATATATTCCAATTGTTTGAAATAATAGACAAATGAGAAATTTTTTTTTATTTCAAATTGCACAGTTATTTACAGTTTCTAATATATAGATTTCCAAAAAAAATAAAAAATAAAAAATAAAAAATAAAAATATAAAAAAAATGAAAGTAGAAATAGAACAGAAACTTGACAGCTGGTTAACAAGGAAATGTGATGTACAACATGTTGTATTAAATACATCAAGATAAAGAGGAACAAAAGACAATGGGACTTGAGTTTGCATGAAAGAAAGAAAGAAAGAAATATAAAAAAAAAATGACCAGCATGAATCAATAGGAATGTCCTTGTAGCTATAAAA